TCAGAGGCGGGTTGTTAGCAGTGCCTGACCGGGTGTGAGTGTGGATAGAATCCGAGTCGCGGGAGAAGAGTCCGGCCCAGGTAGGGATTCTCTTCAGCCATCGCCAATGCCTCCTGTGCCTTGCTTCCTTTTCGATAATGGAGTCTTCTGGAATGCCTCCCGCTGCTTCCTGTTTATACTGCACGGCTGACTCAAGTTGTCCAATCTTGTAATCAGGGTTGGGCTTCATGTGAACGACGGGATGGGTGACCTGGAAGTTGAACAGCTGCTGGTAAACGTCCAAGGGTCCACATGTAGACGCATCGAGAGTGCCGGTAGCTTTCTCGAACTGCGCGGTTATAACGGCCAGCGTATGCTCGTTTCCGACAACGATGGCGCCCTTGACGATGTCGACGTGAACGGGAAGGAGTCGAAGGAAAGCGGGAATGTCGGCTTTCTTGGGGCTTGACGAGGTCGATCTACCCGTATCGGCTCGTTTGACATTCTTGTCGCTGTCGGTGTACGGCTTCCTCAGCTTGCTGTGGTGATGGTGCTCCTCCTTCTCCGCCTTCTCACCATCCGCCACTGACCCTTCCGGCGATTTCGCATCCTGAGCGGCGGCCTTCGCCTTCTTCTCAACTGCGTCGATAATACCGTCGTATGCGGGGCTGCGGTTGTACATGAAGGCTTCGATCCCTGAGATCTTGATGGAGAAGCGACATGGTAGCTCCTTCCGTGTCTGCTTGCCTCCCTTCTCGGCCTTGTCTAGATTCCCGCTTCGACTTCCAGAGCGGCTCCTCGGGGTGCTTGGTGTGCGTTCGCTATCGGCCTCGGAGGCAGGGTCGCCGTCGGTGTATACACCTGCATCCTTGACGCGGCGCAGCCAGTAGTTCCAGGTGATGTATCCGCCATGCACCAGTATTGTCTCGTTGTGGCCATGGTACCGTATGTCCTTGAAGAAGAGGCGACCGCCCAGTAAGGAGATCTGGAGCGAGGTGATGTCGATGTAGGCGTCGAAGGTGCGCCAGGTGTATGCGCGTATGCCGTAGGAGACGAGCGTGGCGAAGAGGCGGTTGAAGTAGAAGAGGAAGAAGATGGTCAGGATGCCGCATATGAGCAGCTCAACCAGGAAGACCCAGTTGAAGCCGTCGCGCGGGTCCAAAGGCTCGGCGACGATTCTTCCCGCCATGACTGCAGCGCGTTGTGTGTAGGAGGGTGAGTGTCTTCATGGCTCGAGGGGGAAGTCGCGCATTGTTGTGGACGAGCTGTGAGGAAAGAGCGCCCGGGTCACTATGGCGCATTCACGCGTGGTCTTGATGCCTCGAGACGGGTAGGGCGACAATGGCGTGGAATTGCTGGAGCATGTCCTAGGGACGATGGCGCTACTAGGCCAGGGCCGATTGAGGTTCGAGGCGCGTCATGGGCGTGTTGCAGGGAAGCGAGCTTGGGCCTGTTCTGCCTCTCCGCAAACCTACCACATTGTGGAGGGCAAACGTGCACAAGACCACACGCTCGACGCCTGGCGCAAGTCGACAGCACACACCATGGCTGCGCTTCATCGCTAACACCATCGCCTGTCCCTCTAGCAACGACCTTCCGAGAACTGCGACTTCACTTCTTTCCTGTTCCCTCGCTGGCCCACGCCTCGCCATGGCTCTAGGCACCCTCCCACCCGACTTCACGGCCGCCGACTTCTCGTCTGGCGGCACCGGCGCTCGGTTTGCACGTGCGATTATCATCGTGGCAGGCGTATGCGCCCTGGTCGCGAGTCTGGTCACTTTTGTGTAGGCAGTCGAGCTTCCATCTTGCATGACCTGAACTGACGTAGCTGTAGTGCTGTCTGGTTACAGACGTGAGGAACACCTCCACCTACCGATAGACGTGTGTTGAACAATTCATAGGAAGAACTATCGCAAGCCGGTGCTCCAGCGATATGTCGTCCGCATCCTCCTCATGTGAGCCCTCTCTCCAGCTGTCGTGTGCCATCGCTCACGTTATCAAGGGTCCCCATCTACGCAGGCGCATCATGGGCCAGTCTGGTGTCGACAATGGCCGCATCCTATGTAGAGCCCTTCAGAGATGTCTATGAGGTACAGCAATCAGCCCACTCGGATATTCTGCGCTAACCTTCCAGGCATTCACCATCTACACCTTCCTCCAGCTGCTCATCAACTTCATCGGCGGCGAACGCGCTCTCATCATCCTCATGACCGGTCGCGCACCCGTCTCCCACCCATGGCCTCTCAACCTCGTCTGCTCCAAGATCGACATATCCGACCCGCATACCTTCCTCGCCATCAAGCGTGGCATTCTGCAATACACATGGGTTAAGCCGCTGCTGTCTGTGGCCACCATCATCATGAAGGCTACCGGCACATACAAGGAAGGATACATAGGCTTGACGTCCGGTTACTTCTGGAGCGGCATGATCTACAACGTCAGCATCACCATCAGTCTGTACGCGCTTGCTATGTTCTGGGTGTGCATGTCTACTGATCTCAAGCCCTTTCGGCCTATGCCCAAGTTCTTGTGCATCAAGGGCATCATCTTCGCCTCGTATTGGCAAGGCTTCTTCCTATCCATTCTCGTCTTCCTGGGCGCCATACCAGACGATGTGCCTGGCTACAGCCCCGACAATCTCGCCGCTGCGATACAGGATGCTCTCATCTGCTTCGAGATGCCACTGTTTGCACTCGCCCACTGGTATGCCTTCTCTTGGCACGATTACGCCGACGATACCATATCGGCCGCCCGGCTGCCCGTCAAATATGCCCTGCGCGACGCCTTCGGTCCTCTGGATCTCATTCAAGACACCAAGGAAACCTTTGCCGGTAATCACTACGAATATCGCTACTTCGATGCGCGCGACAATGTGCTGGCACACGAGGAGTCCTCATCGCGTGCTGCACGCATGGCCGAGGGCATGAGATACGAGCGAGGAGGCAAGGGCAAGTACTGGATCCCCAAGCCTGGACAAGCGTCGGAGCATGAACCACTCCTCAACAAGGTCACATCAAGCCGCGCTAGAGCCATGAGTCCAGGGCCGCACAAGGCTCTCAAAGGCGAGGGTGCCAAGTACGGTACACCTGACGTGGTCGAAGAGCCCAATCTGGACGCCGAGGAAGAGCGCTTATATGATAACGCACGTACGCTGGAGTTCGGAGACTGGAACGTAAGTACACATACATCTGCAATCACGTCTTGTCTGACCTAGCTGCAGTACCCCGTCATCGAAGCCCACCGTCCATCTCGTGAAGACCGCATGTACGCCGATCCCAATATTCTGACCGCATCGACCAACCGAAACCTACTGCAACCCACCAAGGAAAACAAGCGTAGGAGGAAGAGTCAAATCCAAGATTTACAAGCATCTGTAGACAAGGGCAAGCAACGTGACCAGTCAAGCAACGGAGAGTCATCCCGCTCAAAGTCCCCCCATTCCAAGTCGCGTGCGCCCTTTAGCAACCTTCTCCGCCAGAAGTCTTCGTCATCCAGCTCAGCGAAATCGGACAAGAGCCAGCTCGTGGATCTTGTTGTCGAAGATCATCAGGCAGAAGAAGTCGACCGCGTCAGAGCGCGTAAGGAAGGTGGTCCAGGGTGGAATGAGGTTCCTTCCAAGCACTTTGTGTAGGTTTTCCCTGCATATTCGAGTCAAAATATGAAACTAACGATAATTGTAGTAAAACATACGAGCCAGGCGAAGAAGAAGAGGTTCGAGAGGGCTTCAACCCCGATGAGCCTGAGCCGCAGAATCCAGAAGCTGAGCACAACCTGAACCATGCGTTTACCGAAAATCAGAGCAAAGAGGAACAGCGGAAACACGACATCAAGCCGCACATTGTTAGCGAAGCCAATCACTGGGAAACGCGCAATGTCAGCGACCAGACGACCAGTGAAGAGGCCGAAGATCATCCCAGTCCGTCCTACGGCAGTTTCAGAGAAGAGCGCAACGCTTGGAATGCCGACTGATGACGCGATTCCGATCCCGATCTCAAGGAGGCATTCGTCGTCAGATTTTGGGCCATCAATCTGTTTTATACCCAAGCTTATGCCACATATTACACCTTGCGATATTTTTTTCCTGCGGCGTTAGAATGTCAGCGATATCCTGGTCCAGTTAGCATAACTACGGCGAAATTCATCATACTATACATCTGACTAACAAGTACAATGTGCGGTCCGTCATGCATTCGTTTCCGCTGTCATTCAAATCATGCGGCCAATGAACCTAGCCCATCAGAATCCTTCATCCCAAACGGGAAAGAGGTGGAGATTTGGTCTTCCTCTTCTGTGCAATGGGTGCAAATCAAGACAAGACGAGCTTTTTCGCAAGGCCTCCAAGTCTGCTTCCATGTGCTGGCACCGGTGAAAGCGGGTAGACTACCATGACTGCAGCTACCAAAGCCCGCTGCTTGGTCATGATTGGAAGAGTCGACTGTCGATTTCTTGCGTGCTTGTTTCAAGAATTATGCATTTCACCAATTGCAAACTACCAGCTAGCTTAGAGGCTTTTACCAGAAATCGTGAGTATGTGACTGATTCGCTGTGGCAGGCCCTGGGATGCATGCCGGTGCGGGAGCGAACTTGGCGAGAGCCTTCGCAACAACCGATGGGGCAGGCGCACGCGTGATTTGCACCTTCCACCAGACCCAGGCATCACGGACCCATCAACTCAACACTATCCTCATATATCGGAAATTCAACTGTGCGCGTCTCGAACGATGACGCTCGTTGCGATGCGCATGTTTCAAACGTCACAGATAAAGGCCAGTGTTCCAAGGCATCCCCGCCATGTCGCGGTGATCTGCCCACGGACGCGACAGCTGTGCGCATGCTCGAACATGGCCGATATGAAGTAACAGCCCTGATGCCAGATCTGCCAACGAAAAGGAACCCAGCGCGCCACATGCCGACAAGGCCTCTGGCAGTTTCAAGCCGCAAGCGCTATTGCCTCGTCACTGGTCCACGTTACTGCGAGTCTCCGCTCTGCCTCAAGCGCTTACTCTATTTTCCTAGCCAATCACACCCGGCACCCTACCATTTCGCCTCAATGCGCGCAAGCCTCCACACGAGCTAACTTGCGAGGTTGACAACCTCCATGGTAGGGATGCGCTGCCATTGGGCGCGTACAGAATGGTCAGGGACAGGGCTCATCTATAACATGCGAGCCACTGTCGTCCTGTGAAGTGCGAGTGGTTCGCTGTTCCTGACGGCCAGACCTACAGGATTGCGCATTCTAGAAGCGAACCATCCGTTGCAGGACAACACACTCGTCGACAGGCTGCGACTTTATCCGAATGGTTCGCGCAGTCAGCCTTTCCTCTCTCATCCTTACCTCTTCCTCCAACCTTCTTCTACTACTCTCTTCTAGTATCTGTTAGTCTTTGCTTTTGCCTGCTTCAGGCACCACACTCTCTATCACGCTTCTTGTCCGACTGCTTTTGATCATTTCGATGATGGGTTATTAGCTGTACTGGTCTACAGCGTGAAAAGAAGATGGACTACGGGAACATGCAAGAGAAGGAATCCAGGTCCCCATGGCTGGCCATCAAATTTGGATGCTGTGCATCAAAAGAGGATCTCGTGGACGATGGGAGAAATGCGCTTAGGGCCGCTGGTAAGTTCGATCTCTACTTCCACTCTCTACCCTCATGTCTGTTCCTTCACTTTGCGCTCTCTTTTCTGCAGTTGTCTCTGCAGACTTCTGCCTCGACCATAGCAGTCCGCTGTCCGTTGGTTCCCAACTTCAACGTTCTTGTTGAGATGCACCATGCCACTCGCTTACGCTCTCCTTAATCTGCTCGATGCACGACTATACCCGGGCGATGCTCCGACAGATATCCAATATGTCGGAGCCGCATAGGGTAATTCCGATCGATCCAACACAACGCTAACATCTTGACGCGTAGGGGAGACTGATATGCGCATATGCTACGAGCAACCGCGTCCCGTACCCCAACCTTGCGCGGAGCCAACACTTCAACGCCCATCGACAAGCCAGTCGGTGAGCCGCCATGTCTCGCAATGGGTTTCAAACAGTCGCGAGTACGCTACACGTGCTTCGTCTCGTGCAAGCATCTCGACCCTTGCGCGACCAAGGCGCTCCCATTCAAGGCCTAGCATCAGTCGCCCAACTAACTTTCGGCACTTCGATGGTCTTGACGATATGCCTTCAATGCTCGATGATGCTTCCATGCCTACTCGCCGTCGTCGTAGCTTCCGTCCGCTTGAGCTATCCATCTACCTTCCTGACGGTTGCGGCCATCTGTCTCCACTGCCTGACTTCGACGGTGAGGATGCCTGGGCTAGCCTACCATCGCAGTTGGAGCGTCCTGCTGAAGCCCATGTCCGCGTAAGAGACTCACGTACGAGCTCTGTATCTTCAAACCCTTCTGCCTCATCATTCGTCATCCAACGTAAACCCGTTGGTGGGCCGTCGCGAAGGAGCAGTGTCCAGAGCCAGAAGAGCACCGCCACCCACGAGAGGAGACTCTCAGGAACCACCATGGGTACCATGGCTACGCCCACTCTAGCATACTTGCCAGAGAACTCGCCGATTGCCGTTGATCAGATGCTTGAGAAGCCCACCATCCAGCGATCGCGCACGTCCGGCACCTTGTCGCCTGCCCGTGTGCTTTCACGTCTCCCATCGCCGTCGCGCAATCGTGCCAACACTGCACCATCTTCTCGCCCAGGAAGTCTTCGCCGTACAAAGACCGACGTAGATGATGCAATTCGCGAATTGAACACCATCATCGAGGAGCGCCGTGCCAGCGCCTACCGCTCGCACGCCCACTCACCCGCACTTATCAACCGTCCCCCACCCTCTCCTTCTCACCACGTACCTTACATCGCGCCGTCTATGCGTATGCACGTCCGCTCTGAGACCCTTTCAGACATCGGCTCTGCATTTTCAGCTCCTCTGGGCTTCAAGCCACTCGCCACCACCCCAGAAGCTACCGCACCTCGACGAGCAACGATGGGCCTTACACTCTCCCCACCATCCTTCGCTCACACCGGCCCCTTGACCTCGAACCCCATCACGCCACCACCACCCGCCACACCCACCACACCCATCGCCCGCCTAGGAGCCTGGCTCAAGCGCTCCACCTCCACCCTAGCCTCTTCCTCGCGTCCCACAACGCCAAAGACAGCAGACTCCTTCTACCAATGCTCGCCCTATCCCGCCCTCCCCACCTCAACCTCTCGCCCCTCAACATCTGGCTCCCGCACCCTACACACCCGACAAGAAAGCCAGGAAAGCAACGGCACAGCCACCGTAACCCTCTTCTCTACTACATCCTACGCTTCCACCCGCTCCACCTCGCCTACACCAACGACCCACTCTCTCGCCTCCACAGTTGCTACGTGCTCGCCGCCCCGCAAACTCCGCCGCGTACCCGCTCCTCTGACGCTCGTCAAGGAGAAGGAGATTGCTGCCGAAGCTAGTCTCTTGAGCGCGACGACAAGGAAGAGTGTTATCATGAACGTCAAGCCGCCTATGAGTCCTAACTTTGATTTGCTCAAGGGTATGGAGATTAGTGCTAAGGATGTCGGTGTTAACGGTAGAGCAAGCGCCATGGTGATGAGTCCTGGAGCTGTTGGTGTTGCTTTCTAAACATCTCCCGTTAGTACGAGTCTCCTATTATCATCGGTTTATCGGGTCTGTTCAGGGGAGTTGGACATCAGGTTTGGGAACGGAAAACGGAATCTAGGACTGGATGGACATGTATGATTTTGGACTCGGATTTTCTGGGATGGACTTTTGGTTGGGTACTCTTTGATGTTGTCATGTCTGTTTTTTGATATCCCCCTCTTCTTCTTCTAGCGACTTGGGCATATACCCTCCGTTTCACTCTCCTGTTGCAAGCTGTCTCGCTTGTACGGGGAGGCGGATGCCTGGGCGTGTATTCTTAGCTTCTTATAATTTATACCATTTTTTCCAGTCTGCCGTTCCAAGTTCGTGATCACTGATGCGGCTTCCTTCGCAGCTTCCATTGTTACGACGACGCTTTGAACGGAGGAAGGACGCTATACTCTTTCGGCAGTAGCGTTTGCCTGTGTCACATCCATGGATATTGTCCCTGGGGGCCCGTCGTGTTGTATACATACGCTTGCATCTCAATTCATAGACAGGCTCTAAGCTAATGTAGACATCTACCTTAAAAATTCGTTTGCAGAATTTAACACAAATTCACACGGGCGTACTCACGGCACTAAGAGATGGTAGAGCCTGTGTTGCATGTCCTGGGTTTGCTGCATACGTACTACTAAATCTTTACAATTAGACAGGCTCTCAGATAACGTCTACTTCTGCCTCAAAAAATCTCTTGTAGAATGCGACTGGAATTCTAGCCATCGCGCTTGCCATCTAGTGTGTGAGGCAATCCTTTCCACGCGCGCATCGCGATTGCTTCATTCTCAAGTAAACGCAAGAGCCTAGCTCCACAAGCTCTTTCACCTTCGATACATCGACTTGTTTACTCCCACCTTGGTATCTTTTCGACAGCATTGCGTTGCATTAGTAAGTGAGTGCCCACTGAGAGACGCTGTTTATTGACGTGCTGAGGTTATTGGTCTTCCTCACTCGCCTTGCGAACATAGTATCGTGCCCAAATTCGTACCGAATTGGCCGAAGCTTGTCCGTATTCACATCATCATGGTCCACGCTCTCGAGATCGCCAACGAGGTCGAGATGCCTTCGTCTGACGTCGACGGCTTGAACGCGGATCTATACGCATCGGACCTTCCTCTATCGCTCGCCAGTGGACTGGCCTCACTCCAAGCGACAACTCATCCCACAAGTGTCAATGGTCCCACAGAAATTGAGCTCGCGTCTAGTCCTTGCTTTGCCAAACCAGTATCCTGGCACGCGATTGACGCGGCCATCACGGAACGCAAGGCCAATATGCAGCAGGACATAGCCGCACAGGAGCTTCGCGCTGCGAAGCGTTGTCTGGACCTGCGAGAGAGTATCACTCGCACCGCCCAGGCGAAGATTTTCGACCCTGATCCGCTCGTTGTGCCCAGATCCTGGCCGATATCGGGAACTCCCATTAGGATGTTGGTGGAGCATCCTACCTTGTTTCAGGAGTACCTGGAAGGCGAACGGTTTTCCCGTGTGGCGATCAAAATACGAAGGGAATATCTTGAAACCGAAGACTGTGTTTCACCAGAGATCAGACGTCTTGCTGCCATGGAGGCAGACTTCAGGAACACGCAGTCGTCAAGGGCACTGGTCGATCTCCTGCTTGAGGCCATCCAGCATGTGACGCAAAAGCTCGTCTTAGAGATTACGGAGGGTGAAAAGACTACGAAGAGGCCTGTATCGAAGCTATGTCGTCGCCTGTTGGCTCATTCGACCCACACGAACGGTGAGCTCATTCAGGCCGTAGAAGCAATCAATGATATGGAACGAGAACATATGCCATGGCGATACAACGCTCTGGACGGTTCCAAGAATACTTCGCCAATCTCGGACATACCTTCTGCAATCCCTCCACTAGACTCACCGCCGGCTGATGATATCTGTCTTTCACCGGAGCCAATCTCTTCGCCAACACCGAACGAAACATCTCCGTCCAAGGACCCGCGTCGGCTCCGTGTAAAGTTCCAAGAGAATCTGCCATCACGCAGTTCAGGTACGTGAGATGCATTCCAGCTCTGTAGGACAACTACTAACTCTTTGTTACCACCAGGTAAATGGAGAATACCACGCAAGAGCCAATCAAATCCCTCGCGCAAGCCACTGAGTAGTCAGTCCTTGCCCCGTGGGCAGCGAGCTGTGCAGATGAGAGGTAGGAGCCACTACCGAGATACCGATATTAGCCATTTGACACATCCCATTGTGATGATGGAGTTCAGCAAAGGCTATTGGTATAACGGCCATTGGTATGAGCACTCGCAGCCGCGTCAGTCGTCTTCATCCGAAGCAAGGCCAACCGACCTCAATCCCGCTCCTGGTCTCATAATTCATCCTGCGGCTTCAAGGCCAGCGTCAACAAGGCCGGAAGCAACCCTCTCGCCAGAGTCTTCGCTCGCGAATACTGGCAAGAAGCGTCAGGCAAGCGAGGAACTGCCTGTTACAAGCGATTGCGAAACAAAGCCGGCCAAACGACCCAACAGGAGTGAACGCGACGGAAACGCCCACTCCGAGCAAGTAGAAAGTCGCGATGCCAATCTCGAAGAAGGCGTGTCTATGTTTCACACATCTCCTTCAGCACGCCATCCCGCTAATCATTCAAATAGACAACATAGTGCGATCGGCGTGTCCTATACCTAGCTCCCGGATGCAAGAAGCGCTTATAGACGCATGCAGAAAGAGGGATGAGCGACAATCGAACGAAAGGAAACATCTGATTGATAAGTGCGATGAGTCTACATTATGGGAGAAACAATAGGGAGGGTTTTTGGAAGCCGGGCGGGGCTGTTTTGATGGAAAGGAATGGGTATGGTGCATGCAGTGAGGTCGAGGTATTGCGCGTTGTAAGGTCGTGGGGAGACGGTCGGTATCATCAATACCACTATCAACCTCGGAAGCCCGCTTTGATTCAACAGCGGTTCTGAAGTTGCGTAACTGTGGTTTTGCGTGTGCTGTATCTCTTCTCGCGTCTCCACACGTGTGTACTCTGCTGTTGAGATAAACATGAGCTGTAAAAGACGCGGTAGGAATAGCGCACCTTCCCATAACGTAAAAACCGCGTCGACACCGGTTATATACTCACAAGCGGAAAGCACGCTCCCACGTCAACCTAGGGAAATGCTAAATCGGGCTGCAGCCTACATCAACATGGAAACATGCAAAGTGGCTAACTTAATGTCGAGGTAGGCTCCAGACCTATCTAGTTTCTTGCTTGTATAAGGTGCTCCCGTTCGTAAGCCGTCCATCTCAGTGCCCAGCCCTCTTCATTCAAGATCCAAGATCCACGATCCATCGTCTTCCCGCCTCTCATGTATACTCCACCGCCACACCCCCCAAGCCGCGCCTCCTATACCACGCATAAAAACATCCATTGCGCCATCCCCACACGTGTCTTATCTCTCCCACTTGATTGATAGCCTAGCAGCCACGCCTAGCGGATGTCGCCGCTCAAATCTCCCCAACTTCCCGCTTTCGAACCAATCACCGTCCCACCTTCCCAAAGAAGCTACAGCCTCGGCCCGCGCCAAACCAGGGTCCAGCGCTGCACTCCGACCAACCAAACCACGCGCGTCGCTGCACGCGTCGAGTATACGCACAAGATGTCAAGAGAATCGGTGGTATTGCCAAGGGCTATCGGGGCTCGCGCATGGCCGGTGGCATGTTGTTCGCTGGCTGTGATAGGCAAGTCGCGAATATGAGTTAGTCGAGCGTGAGGTGGGGAGATGTTTAGTAACGAACGGGTCGGACGGCCAGCGGCGATAAATGTCAGGAACAGGTCAAGCGGAGTGTAGCGCGATCGTCATTGATAGACAGCAGCGGGACCGGGTTCTTGGAACACGCTTTTTCGACTTGGTAGTATGGTAGCATGCGGATTATAAAAAGATAGGGCCCGAGCCTCAATTCTGGAATACGCTATTCCCGTTGATCCCTTTGTTTTTACCCTTCGTTATGGCGCCTTTGACGCGACTTCTTGCCCTTTCGGCTTCAGTGGCGGTTTCTACTGCGCTTACGATTGCGGAGATCAATGGAAATAAGTTTCTCTCGCCGTACAGAGATCAGACGGTTTCGAATGTTACCGGTGTTGTTACGGCGAAGGGGCCTGATGGTCTTTGGTTGCGATCGACACAGCCTGATCGCGACGAGCGGACATCCGAGTCTGTATACGTTTTTGGTCGCACGTTTGGTGCGAACTTGACGGTTGGCGATACTATCGTTGTGGGAGGAAAGGTGGTCGAGTACCGCTCAAACAAGGACTACATTTACCTCACCCAGCTTTCAACACCGGTATTGCAGGGGCGTCTCGGCTCTGGTTCTGCTGTAAAGCCGCTGGTAATTGGAAAGGACACACGCGACCCTCCGAACGAGCAATACAGCAGTCTGGATGGCGGAGATGTTTTCGCCGTGCCGAACAACGTCTCACAGATTAGCGTAGCGAACCCGGAGCTACAGCCCAAGAAGTATGGTCTTGATTTCTGGGAGAGCTTGACCGGTGAATTGGTTACTGTCAAGAAGCCTACTGCACTCACCAAACCCAATCAGTACGGCGACACCTGGGTAGCTGGAGACTGGAAAGTTTCTGGCCGCAACGACCGTGGGGGACTGACCTTGACCGACAAGGACGCCAACCCAGAGGCCATTGTTATTGGATCTCCTCTCGACGGAACCAAGAACCCCACTGGCACCAAGATGGGCGATTCAGTCGAGGAGATCACCGGTATCGTCAGCTACGCTTTTGGCTTCTACCGCATCCTTCCCACAACCGCTATCAAGGTCACCAAGAGCCAGAAGCCTGCTCTTCCTCCGGCGACCAAGCTTGTGTCGAGCGGCAAGTGCGATGGCATCACCTTTGGCGACTACAACGTCGAGAACCTTGCGCCTACATCTGATCACCACCCTGACCTTGCCAACCATATTGTGAACTACATGAAGAGCCCAGATATCATCTTCATTCAGGAGGTACAAGACGACAACGGTCCCACCAACGATGCAGGTTAGTGATCTAGAGAGCTGTCACAGCGTTTCCCTCTCCCCCTGTTCGAATGTCGTACCCGGCGACGGAGCGCATACGAGCCGCACCACTCGTCCCGCGTCGCACGCATTGAATAGAATCGTCTGACTTGTCTAGTCGTATCCGCGAACCTTACTCTCAGCACTCTCACTGCTGCCATCTCAGCAGCCGGCGGCCCCAACTACACATTCACTGATATTGTGCCTGTTGACGATCAAGACGGTGGCCAGCCAGGTGGTAACATCCGCGTCGCCTATCTGTACAAGCCGAACCTGATTCGCCTCTACAAGCCTAACCCGGGCGGTCCACTCGATGCCAACGAAGTGCTTGCTGGCCCGACATTGAAGTACAACCCTGGACGTATCGAGCCGGCAAATGACGCCTGGACAGCGAGCCGAAAGCCGTTGGCTGCACAGTGGGAGGTCATAGGAAAGGCCGGTGCGAAGAAGCCGAACGTATTCTTCACGGTCAACGTGCACTTTGGCTCAAAGGGAGGAAGCAGTAGCTTGCATGGAGATGCTCGACCACCAGTTAATGGTGGCGTTGGTAAGTTCATCAATCTGAGTAAATTCGTGCAACATTCGTTAACGATATGCTTCTAGATGATCGTCTCGAACAGGCGCGTCTCACCGCAAATTTCGTCAAGGTACGTTGATATGTCGGTTGCGGCTCGATGCGGCAAGGCGGCGCGGAGAGGGGTGGCTGCAGCACGCTTCTCGTACCTTCGTCCTTCGGTGGTACCAAGAACGCCACGCTCGCACGAAAGGAATGCCTTTTGCTGCCCCTGAAGATGTGAGATTGATGTGAAGATGAGAGCACGGCTGACGTAGAATTGCAGGATATCCTTTCCAAGGACAAGAACGCCCGTGTCGTAACTGCAGGGGACTTCAACGAGTTTGCCTTTGTGCAACCCCTCGAAGAGTACACCAAGATTTCGGGGCTCAAGGATCTAGATGAGGTAGTCCGCGAGGACGAGCTCGAGCGCTACACCTACCTCTTTGACATGAATGCTCAGGAATTGGACCACATGTTCGTCTCGCCGTCCTTGGCCAAGAAGAGCAGGGCAGACTTTGAGCACATTCATGTTAATACATGGCCGGAGTATGATGCGCAAGTCAGCGACCACGACCCATCGGTAGCGAGACTGGATGTCTGCGCTTAGACGATGCGTTTCGATAGTTTACTAGACGCGCATAGCCGATGTCCGCGTTTGACAATGCACATATATAAATACGAAACGATAACCAGACTCTGATTCTAGATGCTCTTGCGTAATTGAAGATGAAAATAGCAATAACTGTGTGTTGGAACTCACCTTTCGTATACTACCAGAAGGCTTGTTGCATGTGTTGAGATGTCAGTACGCAGTATTAATGCTATGCTTCATTGCGGCGTGGTTGGCCAATCTCTCTTCTTACCATGTTTACGAAGAGGTGAGAGAGCACGTTCCCGATGCTGACGGCTGCTTACAACAAGCTAGGGAGCCCTGTCGCAGGCGGGCGTATTTTGGCATGCATTCGAGCTGTGCCGCAGCAACGCAACTAGATGATCGCGCAGCACGCAATTAGGAGCTGCGGAACGTTGAGATGGGTGGAAGCAGGCAAGGGGCTCAGTCAACGCTCGCTGATCTTTTTGGATCCCATCTGATGGTCGGCCACGCGACAACCACATGGACGATCGGCTTGGTGCGCTGTTTGGCGTTTCTAGGCATGACATCGTGTGCGCCATCCAGGTGTTTGGATTCGTAGGTCATTCGCCGGGGCAGCGCAACGATTACAAACTGCCTGCGGTATCGCCGTGGGCCACGTGCGTATAGCCCAAAAGTCAATGCAAATGCCGTGCCCAGATGTCGCTTGTTAACGGTAGCCCGGGTTCAGAGACCGTCGCAAGTAGCCTCAGACCAGTGCTGTCGCTATCCATGGTGCAGGGTGCTTTGACGCAGCCATGCAAGAACCAGCAGCTTCCATTGTTCCGCTCGCGCCGTGGGTGTTGGACGGCACTGGCGAATTACAGGAGGCCAGTGCTCCATTTATCCGATGCAGCCATCTGGGCTCTCGTCAGCTTTATCCCAGTGGTGGACAGCGGGATTTCCAGAGAGCACCAGAGTGCGCGATGCCTGGAGAGCGGGGCGGCCTATGTGAGTCCGGCCGACTCTAGCGCTGCCAAGCCACTCCACAAAACCCCCGGATGATGGGCATGGCGGGGAAGAGTCCGCTGTTTGATGCGCGCTGTGTTGGAAACTCAACACCAGACCGTGAGAATCGTGTAAGATTGAGGCGCTGTAACACGACGTGACTATACTTATTGAGCGAAGCTCAGCGAAAAGCTTCGTCCTGCCGGCTGAAAAGAATCACCCTGTCGCCCAATCCTTATCCGCGGCTCCATGCGTGAGGGCGTTGTGCCAAGGTCTTGGTGGGCGTTTTTACGAGGCTTCGAATGGTCTCGTCGGCGGTGCCCAGAGATGCCATTTAACGCAAGTCCCGGTCGTTCTGGAACGCAGCAAGTTCCCAATACATGCGCTTGGTCCGGAGCGAGGAGGGGCTCTGCCTAAAGAACGATATGGTGGAATAATTGCTTTCGTAGGGGCCGCAGTGGCATCGGTCCGCACTCCTAGGATAGGGATTGGAGTTGGGAGGCTGAAGTCCAATCTAAGGATACGCGCTTCCTTTGGATCCGCCGAGTAAACGTACAAGGTGATCGGTAAAGCACGAGAGAGGGTGGACTCCCGCAGCGCGTCGGTTGGTGACAGATTTGACAAGCCAGAGGCAACGTGGTACTGCAGCCGATAGCGCCAAGCGGAGGCGCGTCAAGATATCGCGTCTTCGCCCTCTTCGGCGCCCTTACCACCGCCACGCTCGGACGCAGCAGCAGACGGGCTAAGTCAGATCCACAATCTTGTCCCATCCAACCGCCCCATGGGGTCCCGGGTCGCGCTAGGTTAGCTGGTCATATCAACCCTAGCAGGGTCCGTCTCGTTTCGAGCGACACACCCACGGTGTTTGCGAGCCTGAGTACATATAGAGACACTTGGCTGCCCCTCTTACGGACGTTTCCTCAGACTCTTGTACTCCAGTCCACCCTCAGGCACCAATCATCATGGCAGCCGTACAGCAGCACTCCAGCCTCGAGGTCAACGAGGCCAACGAGAAGGGCCAACACATCTACGCCAACGACATTGACAGCTCTCGGATCAGCACACCAGGAGATGTCGATGACCTGCCCGACCCAGACGTAGGCAAGTCTGATGCCGAACGCGCTGCGCTTGTACGACATGCTCTCATTTTCTCGTCCTGTAACTCGCTGACTTCTAGTAGGACAAAGCGTTGGTCTGGAAGATGGACAAGTGGCTGATCCCATGGCTGTCGCTATTGTACCTGCTCTCCTTCTTGGACCGGACCAACATCGGCAATGCTCGTGTCGCGAACATGGAGCCGGAGATCGGAATGAATCCTAAGGGCCGCGACTACAACGACGCGTTAACTATTTTCTTCATCTCTTACGCCGGTTTCGAGCCGCTGACCAACATCGCCATCAAGAAATGGTCCCCTCGAGTCTTTTTCACGGCCATCATCCTTGCCTGGGGTATCGTCATGACACTGATGGGTCTTGTTCAGAACAAGGCGGGCCTTCTCGCATGCCGTTGGTTTCTGGGCATTGCCGAGGCTGGCCTTTTTCCCGGTGTCAACTATTATCTTTCGTAAGTTGCAACCTGCTTTTCGGACGGACGTTCGTCACTGACAATGTTCAAGCTGCTGGTACAAACGCCAGGAACTTGGTTTCCGTGCTGCTTTGTTCTTCTCCGCTGCCGCGCTTGCTGGTTCTTTCGGCGGTCTCTTGGCTGCCGCTATTACTCAGATGGATGGTGCGGGTGGTTACTCCGGTTGGCGATGGATCTGTATGTCTTCACAATCTAACCACTTGATGCAAGCTAACATGCGCAGTCATTATTGAGGGTTTGATGACTGTATTCGTCGGCATCTTCTGTTGGTGGATGGTTTTCGACTTCCCGGACACGGCCCGATTCCTCACACCCGACGAGAAGCTACGAGCTCAGCGTCGCCTCAAGGCCGATGGACAAGCCCGCGCCAAGGTTGGAGGCATCGACCGCCGACACGTAATGGCCGCCCTTCGTGACTGGAAAACTTGGGGATATGCTGTCATCTACATGGGCTGCTTGTGCCCTTTGTACGTTTTCTCGCTCTTCCTCCCGACGATCCTACTTGCTATGGGCCACAAAGGTACCAAGGCCCAGCTCTTGTCCGTCCCTCCTTACGCAGCTGCTGCCGCCCTAACAGTCCTTATCGGATGGGTCGCCGACAAGACTAAGAAGCGTGGTATCTGCAACCTCGTAGTTTCGGCGATTGGATGCGTTGGATTCGCCATGTTACTTGCCACCACGAACGCGAAAGTCCAGTACGCTGCCACATTCCTCGGTGCCATGGGTATCTACCCCACAGTCTCCAACACGCTGACCTGGGCCTCCAACAACGTCGAGGGTTCATTGAAGCGTGGTGTCATGGTTGGTGTCGTCGTCGGGTGGGGTAACATGAACGGTGTCGTCTCGTCCAACATCTACATGCCCAAGGAGAAGCCGCACTACCGTACCGGCCACGGCATCGTGCTCGCCTACATGTTCTTGTTCCTTTTCGGTGGAACCCTCTTCATGCACATTGCGCTCAAGCGTGAGAACAAGCTCAGGAAGGAGGGCAAGCGCGACCACTGGGTACAGGGCAAGACCGAGGAGGAGATTGAGGATATGGGTGATGTGCGGCCCGACTTCTACTACACTACCTGAGTGTTGATGATGGAATCATGTAATCGTTTCTTCGATATCCGCGTGCGCGTTTGGTAGTATAGTAGTTCTTCGAAACTCTAGCCCAGGAGAATGGGTCACTTTCCAAGTCAGCCTTGTATGCAGAGGGAATAGTGAGGCAGTGATCAAACGTCAACTCCACTTACTTTTCTCCTGGAGAGGCTTTTCGATTGCGTAAACAAAGCTCTCATGCGTTGGTGAAGTCTTGGTGTTCAGAGTTGTCGCGTCGACCTCGGGATTTAGAGTGGAACGGGGCAACCACACATTAGCCGCATCTCACTGTGCCGCTCGTCCGAATTGCCATCGATCATGCACTACACAGAACTTCGAGCTGGAGAAAGACGCGCCGATGGGAAACCGTTCTCATGAACCCGCGGAAACACGCCTCGAAATGCAGGGAGTCGAAAATTGGCGGCGCTGTCACCGGTGTCGCGATGTTCGTGGGAACGAATGCGATGACGTCATCTGGTTTCTGTGAGAAAAGCGCGTTCTATCGCTATACACCAACAGTTTCCCTTCACTGACAGACCTCCTCTTTCGCGATCCCTTCAGAGTTCTTCTTCAGGCGTTTTCACGCATGTGTCGAGTTCTCACTTCAGACTCTGCTATTTCGGAGCAGGTCATTTCATCATCTCCTCGCATGAACCATGTCCACACCAGCACATCCGGTGAATGCGTTGCTTTCGACTTTTGACCCAACGATACAGAATACCACAATCCCGTATACGAATTTGATAGGCTTCGAAATTTGTGAAGACAAAGGGGGTAAAATTGGACGAGGAGATGCAAGCGGGCAACGACCCCGACGACCTCATATATGTTGGGTCTGCCCCACAATTATACGCCATCTCCAGCACCCTCAACCTACACCAGGGAACCCAAGCCCATGGTAAATCTCATAGCATTGGCCTTGCAGTATAAGGGTAGCTTGCCGTGTAGGGTACACTGTAAGAAGACCGCCAAGGCACTTCACGGAGCCGCTTCCGGCTTATATCCGCGGATGAGTATTTCCAAGGGACCTCAGCGTTTGAGGACGACCTAACCGAGGGTTGTACATTTCCGTTTAACCCAACGTGCCAACATCTCTCGGATATGCTCGACGACAGGGTATTCCTCTTAGTAACCATTGGGAAGTCAGAGGAGGCCAGCGCTTTGGAAGCTGTCTGCGTGTACTTGTCAATGTTTCGTTGCTTTCCAAAAACATCACGAACTGATCAGACAACCTCTAACAGGTTCAGATAACCGGATTTGATCATTTCTAGATGGGAGAATGCGCGACATATTCGGTAAAGACAGATTAAACTCGCACATGAGTCGCAGGAGCCAAGGGGAAGACGTTCGAACCAAGACTAGGACACTACACAGGCATATCCGGAAATACCAATAACCCAGCTACCTCAGTCCTTCTACAAGCCGAAATCCTTCGCCGTAAAATTGCTCTTGCAGGAGAAGACGCGACGGCCTACTGAACGGCTACCACAGCTGGCGCAATCGTAATCGTCCGAGGTATCAGGCGTGCACACGCCCTTAGAGCCACTGCCATCCGCGGCCTCCATGTCGAACCCTTTGTCCTCTACTCAGATTGTCAGCTTGGGACATGATGGTAGACCGACGAGTTCTCACCATAGATAGTCCAGTGCATAACGCCCTCTACATGTACTTCGAGTTCTGTCACCACACTATCCGGATAAGCGCATCCACCTGCTGGGTCTAAGTGCAGATGTGCAAAGTCAGTGTTTGTTTCACATCCAGTTCGTACAGAGACAATTACCATTACCCTCGCAACGAACGCCGCCATCACTTGCGTCGTCCGTTCCAGGGATGTTGGATGAGTCACAGATATTATTGCAGTCCGGGGGGCCATCAAAGAACTTCCACCCCACCTAGAGCTGCGTTAGTAATACTTTGATTCCACAGACAATACACGTCTTACGTAGGCTTCACCCGTAAAGTTGCTGTCTTCGAACGTGTAGATCACGAAGTCTGCAGTGGCGAAACCGACAACAACAGCGAGGCAAGGAAGGAATAGACGCATCTCGAAGGAATGTCGAATGTATGCTTTCTGGAAGATGCTAAAGACTTGCGATGGAGTTGGGAGTAAGGGTGGCTCAGTCTCACACTTTATATAGTGACTTCCTTGAGGGACTCCATGCTTCTCATCTACAGACGTCTTTCGCCCAGAGGTGCCAACTCCCTCAAAATCAAGCTCGTGGAGGATCCATGGTCGACGACTGGTAGTGTCTAGGATACAGTCAGCGCGTACAAGCAGTGCCTTGTAATAAGGCGAACCTCGCTTCCCGTTCCGTCAACAAAACATTCCAATGACGATGAACAGCGGCGCGCTCGCAGCGCGAGCAACGAGTACTCTGCAGCAGGGCGTAACTTTGGCTGCCTTCGTCGACGATACACGGCGTGAGGGCTAAATCGAAATGTGCTCCTAACAGTGAAAAGTCCTTGGGGCGAAATGGAAACGCTCGATGGGGACTTGAAGTCTGAATACCCGGATGCGCCAAGGATTTCAACGACATAGCCGAGCTGTTAAGATCGAACAATGCCTATGTACATGGGCTAAATCGCGCAACACTAGATACCTCGGCTCCACGAGGATCATCATCATCGGGACTCTATCACTGCTGAAATTTCATATCACCTATTAACTACGAGGGTGTTCCTGGGGCTATTGGACACATACGGAGCTTCACCAGCTGTGGCAGACTGGCGGGAAAGACCACCAGTACTTCAGTGGATTTTGGATATTATACAAGCAAATTCGCATGTAGCATGAGCAGATGACTTCTGCTACAGTACCATTGATTAGAGCATGTTGACTTTAACGTGTAAGCAAGAAATCAGAAACCAACCGTCGGTGCTGCGGCACAGCACTTGGCCATATAGGATGATGAGCTTGGCAACATGGAATCCTGAGCTTGAATACGTCAAGAGGTGAAGCTAAGTGCTTCTTCGTGATCTGCAACTTTTGGTTCCCGAGAATAGAATGCGCTGTCTTGAGACCGAGCACCTACCCAGAGGCGCAATGACGCAGTGCGCGACATGTTGAATATGGCAAGGTTTCCCTGGATCAAGCGATGCATAGCAACTAAGAATTCATAGTATTATTGGGCTACCGAGGTTTTATAGCAGCAGGCCTCCGATTACACCAGCAGCCACGCTAAGAAGACGACCACCACCAACCACACTCTTCGCATTAGCAGCACCAGTAGCATCTGCCACAGCGGCACTACCAGTTTGGCTCACACTTCCAGAACTCGCTGCAACACCTGTGCTTGCGCTCATCTCCTCCACAAATCCAGATATCGGATGTGATTTGTGCAAAGTAGCGGTGGATATCGCAGCATCGGTCGTAGTGGGTTCCGCGTCGTGGCTGAGTTTCTCCACACCAGCCGTGATCAACAATTCGAACGTGCCTACACTCTCGGCATCGTATGTCTCTGTGCTACTGCCGGGAAAGTTTGCCTCGGTTCCACCAGCCGTCTCCTTGCATACCGCGCTCTTGGCAATCACGCAGTCCATTGTAGCGGTAAAGTCGGACTCTGGGCTTGGGTCTCCCATGTTGAGATTCCAAGTCGAAGGACCGAAGACGAGGGTCTCAGCGGGGAAGAGACCACAGTCGCTGGGGGTAGCGCAGGCGAGTGCAAGAGTCGTAGCAGTGGGGTTTGCGGTGACAATGGAGCCGTACATGTTGGGCAAGACCGAGCCATCGAAAATGTCGCCAATCCATGGGACTGCCATAGTTGCTGGGTCATTTTGCGCAACAACTAGGCTGATGAAGGAGGCAAGGATGAATTTTGAAGCCATGGTGACTGAGTCGAGCTTGTGAAGATTATCAAGTTTGAAGGAGTGAAATTGTCGATGAGACACAAAATTTGTAACGAGCGACTGTGTGAAGAACGAGCGACGATGAGCGATACTCACAATTTGTCTACAGCGAGAATTCTTATATATAGAATTTTCGTGTCGCGAGGCCCTCCATACTATCGTTAATCAAGCTCTTGTGGCGTTCAATAGGGGCGGCTGGCGCCTGGTCTTTAGCGACCTCGGTATCTCGCAAGTTCCCGCTCCCGCGAAGGCTCAACGCGCACTCTAGACCAACACGACGGTGAGGTTTTGTAGAGAGCTGTGCTGTGAATTGTTCTATACTGCTGTGGCTCGCTGGCTATCGGGATGCAAACATAGCTCGTAGATGCGCCCTCGTTGTGCTTGTTGACATTTTGGCAGTCGTACGATGCATCTGGAACCGAGGGGGCTCGTGCACAATTATTCGACATGTTCTTTCGGACTGTGGCCCACTTGGTCCAGCAAATTGTCCCACCATGTAAAGTACGGCTCGTAGCCTCCGCCGCCTCGTGCATGATGGAGGCTATGCTTTCTAGCTCCGCCTCCCCAGCCCTTTGGCAAGATCTTCTCATAACCCCACGGTAGATCCAGCCCCGAATGCAGCTCTACTAATAGCCATACGAATATTGGTACAAACAAAGTCCGCGTGAAGACATGGCTCTTTATGATGTTAAGGCTGAAGTTGGCTAGCAGCACCAGGCCCAGTCGCTCGAATATGTGCAGCTGGTTCGTGGTCTGGGGGTGTATCTCGGCGTGTCGATGGTGCGGTGCATGCCATCGTTTGACCACGGGTATGACATGAAGCGAGTAGTGGAAAAGGAAGAAGAGCGCATCGTAGAGGAAGAAGCTCGTCGCGAGCTCGAGGGCGATTCGGCGGCTAGTAGGAGGAAGGTCTGGAAGAGCGCGTTGTGTTTGCAGGGGCGAATACATCGTCATGTTGTGCAGTGTTGGCACCAAGAACGTACTGTGATACGCCGTAGTGGAGTTGTTTGCTGCGATTGCTGCCGCTGCCGCGTGGTAATTGCCCGACTCTAGCATTGCAGTAAGCGGAACATCGGCAAACTTCTTGATCATGGTCAAATCCATGAGTAGCAGCGGCGTCATGTATGTGACAGCCTCGCCCCATCGCCGCGAAGGGCGTCGCATCCCATGTGGCTTCCTAGCTGCGTCCCCCTCTTTTGTATTCTGCTGGATTGCAAATCTCCATTGCGGGTTTCGCATGAACACAACCGTCATAGACACCTCGATTACCGCGTAAAGAAGGACTGTCCATATCGTCTCAAAGGTTGACAGACGATATAGAGGGTTCTGTATCAGCCATTGCCACAGAGGTGTGAGAAGAGGTTGGTATAGGTCTGGGAAGGCGATGGAAGAGAGGAAGAGGGTTCCTAGAGCGGCTTGATACGTCAAAACCATCGTCAGATGTGGGTTCGAGCGAAGAGAACCCATCATGTATTGAGTCGCATGCATTTGCCTTCTATTGGCGCTCTCTGGGCATTTCTGACTCTTGACGTCATCCTTTCGGAACGGTTCCGAAGGCATCTCATTTCAGAATTCTATCTGACCCAACACTGTCATTCGATATCGCCCGGCCGGTTTGGCATTTACCGCAGTCATGCTAGACATCCAGCTTAGGCCGATCAAAGACACGCTCTTCGATTCTGTTACACCATTCGTTCCCTCATCTTGCTCGCCACTAGCTATCACCTTTTTGGCCTTTGCCTCAGGTGTGATCTCCTGCATTACCGCTGCATCCAACAACACTCTTGCGAGCACCACATTCTGGGCACTGAACAGGGCACTGGATTGTCTCGACGGCGCCGTCGCCCGAAAACGCAACCAGTCTTCGGATCTTGGCGGCTTTTTTGACCTCTTGGGCGACTTCATCATCTACTCGGCCATACCGATATCATGCGCTTTAGCACGCAATGAAGAGCCCAATGCAAAGAGTGTCTGGTTCTCAGTAGCTTTTCTGGAAGCATCATTTCACGTCAACAACTTTGTCTTGTTTTACATTGGCGCCATTCTAGAGAAGCGCAAAGGCAGCGGAAAGGATGGAAGCAGGGTCAAAGAGCTGACCAGCGTGGCAATGCGACCAGCACTTATCGAAGGGACGGAGAGCGCGGCTTTCTTCACAGCCATGCTCATGTTTCCTCGCTATCTGCAACATCTCTCATGGACAATGGCCTTTCTAGTATGCTTAGGCATTGCACAAAGGACAAAGTGGCTTGTGCAGGCGCTGAGCTAGACAAATGGTATCTAATGGAACTAGCTATAGAGACGAAGAAACCTCTTTCTGCTGCATGATGCCTTTCTCTCGAAGCCTCGAAATGACACTTTGTGCATTGCCTTTACAAGCCGCAAGCTCCAAATTGTTCATTATCTCTGAGAGACCACCATCGCTTCCGCTCGACACAATGGTCGGATAACGGATGCTGTTGGACTCCACGAACTTCTTCACCTGCAAATGGTCAGTACCTAGATCCTAGTACATGGAAGGTATCATCGTAACCACGAACCTCTCCAGACAGCTCGTCTTTATGCCACTGCACGATGTGGTATCCGGACTCAGCTTCTATTGCTTTCTTCGCTTCCACCCAAGCTGGTGTTTCCTTCAACGACAATCCACCATGTGTGATGTCACCTGCTGGGATGAGCATACTCGATCGCAGTATCAGACGAATGAGGTCGCCGAGGGAAACATACAGGCTGCACAAGCTGGGTTCTCCTCCGAAGAATGGCATATCTTTCGATAACCATACCTCAATTTGCCCATGATAGATGCGTCGGCATTATATAGGATGTAAAGTGTACGAGACATTCCTACGACTTGCTTCAGCTGAGAACAACGTGATGATGGTGATTGTGGATCAGGTTCAACTCGGTGGCTGGGATGAAGGGGTCGATGACGTGCATACCGCACGGACCATGGGTGTCAGTCAGCCGAGGAGCGCCCAAGAAGCCACCATGATCATTTGCATCGCATCGCATCTCATCAAGACGCTACTCACATGGCACTCCTTTCGCCCTGAAATGACATTTTCAGCTATACTGAACCTCAAGAATGCCAGCGGATCCAGTCAGGTTCAATAAGGCTGTCTCAGCAGCGCATGCCACAACGTCTTCCATCGCTGCGTTGTTGTTGCTACGATACTCGTCATGGCCAATTCTTCCATGGCCGAGCTCAGCTCCACAAGATGCTCATAAGAGAGATCGTCACCTAGACGACTCCCATAACCCTACGATCAATGGCCATAATCGATTGGCTAACGCGCTGACCGCATACGAGACCGCTTACCTCCTGTACGACACATATGCGATGCTTCGTGCACGTCGCATGAAGAACCAGTCAACATTTCGTGCTGCTTTACGCGTTGTGGCTCGAGACTCACCTGTCACTCTCGTCCACCACGTGCTGCTTTCATCCGCGTTACTTGTGCTGCAGGCGTACACTGCAGTCGGCAAGGAAAAAGGGATGTGGGTGATAACCGCGTTCTTGTTGATGAACGGCAGTACACCACTAATGCATGCGCGATGGTGGAACCGACAACGAACAGGAGCACCAAACACTTCCCTGGATATTGCCTTCTCGGCAACATTCGCTGCTTCAAGATTCGGTGTCGTCTACTGGATATTGACTAAATATGGCCAACATCATGGTCTTAGTCCGTGGCAAGCGTATGTAATGCTAAGGAAACGATGTCAGATCGGGACCGCTATGCTGGTTGGGTTGAATGGTATTTGGTGGACTATGTTGGCTTTCAACGTAGCGAAGAGGAACATCAAGCGACGAATACATTGAAATCTTGCTATGAAGAGCTACGCGACACACGTATCATAATCGGGTCTGATGGTCTCTGAGTGGGCAACTGCTTCATATCTCGAGCCCAATCCTCAGGCATCACCGAATCGTTTGGTTCCCACCCCAACCAACCGCGCACCCCACGCGGCTCAACATTCCCACCAATCTGAATTCCGAGGCGCAAAAACGTCTCTGCTACAGCTAGAGAGATCTCGCGGATTGCATCGCGACCCAAACAAGTCTTTGGACCCGCTCCGTAGGCTACACCGGGCGGCAGGTTCTTGTCAAGATATCGATCTGGATCGAACACATCCCAAGTCGACCCGTAAGTCAATGGATCGCGGCCACCGCCCACGAAGTACAGCCAACAGTCCCAGCCCTTTGGTATTCTGATGTCAGCCTGCTCTCCCGGCGACGAGACGATATTGTCTCTTGTTGATCGTCTCATGACACCCACAATGGGCGGGCTAAGTCGTTCAGTTTCCAATAGTATGGCGCGTAAGCGTAGCGAAAGCCTCCCTGGTTCAGTTTCACCGGCCAAAGTATCGGCCAGCGATCGACCTTCATTCGTTCGATACAAGAAAAGGTTCAACAGGAAGGCTGTCAACAGGGATGCTAGCGCTTTGACCGCGAGGCTGCTGGTAAAGAGGACTGAGTGCTTTGCTACGTCCTCTCTTTCTCTTTGGTTCGCGATAGCGAATGGACAGGTACTAGTTTCTTCCTCTAAATGACGCGATATCCTGTCTTGTAGCTTCTTGTTCGCCTCCTTGCCCTTTTTGCGAGGCGAATGCCAGAAGCCCGTGTTGACCGTGACTGGGAACAGCGAGAACTGGCCTCGAAGCAGGTCTTCCTGGAGACTCTCCATCGTATCAAAGAGACCGTTGTCTCGATCGAGACCCAGAAATGTCCCGAGCAGTATCTTCCATGAAAGCCTTTTCAGAGACTCATACATGTCTGTCTCCGACGTTGACGGCTCAGAAAAATGTTGATCGACCCGCTCAGATACTGCAGGAGCCAGCACCGCCTTGAGAGACTCCATCCTCGCTTCCCATGTCTGACGCATAGATGCATGTTCGTCACCATCCGTCAGTAACAAGTTTGGTGACGGGAAAAACGGTGCCATTAGCTCAGCATATGCGCCACTGGCTTCGTAACCTGCCGCGTCCTGGGCCAGGACTTGGTGAACCTGCGCATGCGAAGAGACAATTGCGACATTGCGATTTAGCACCTTTGCCCGAACGATAGCTCTATTCTCGACAGCCTCTGGGTGCTGTTTCTGGAAAGCGATGATGCGCGATGTAATGAATGACTCTGGCGAGTTGTGGAACGAGAAGCTTTCGGCAAAACCGCGTAGGGTCGAAGAGCTGCCCAGGGGAAGCTGCGGCTCTGGCTTAGGCATCGTGGAGAGTGGATTTGCCTGCGAACTACAGATTGCAGGAGCGCCTAACCTCATACCGCAACGGGTATCTCGGCTGCGGGGTGTGGTGAATGTTACGTCATCGATTTTGCGCCACTGCTTGGTATCCAACCAGTCTGGACACAGCTGATCCCGGAATCTAAGAGCCTTCACGTTTCAATACAATCAGTATCGCATCGAGAATGGATGTGAAACGTCCGTACGATGATGGAACGAAAAGGCCTTACCAAGATGAGGTGGTACCGACCACGCACGCGACTACTTCGAAGCGAACGCTGCTCCACAACGCCTATGCATATCTCTGCATTATACTCTTATTCGTCAACTACTTCCTCGCGCAGTACGACAAATTCATTCTGTCATACTTCCAGACTTCTGTGTTAGCAGATCTTTCACTAAGCTCGACACAATATGGCCTTCTCTCTGGTTACGCAACGGGCATTGTTTACGCCATACTCGCTCTACCCATCGCTTTCCTCTCGGATTATACTTCGGCTCGCGTATGGGTTCTGTGTGTCACGGCAGCTTGGTGGAGCTTATGCGTCATCTTTCAGTCTCTAGCAAACAACTTCGGCCAGTTATTCTGTGCCAGACTTGGAATGGGTATCGGACAGGCTAGTGTCGAGGCGCTATCTATCAGTCTCATTAGTGATTTGGTTGGATGGAGGAATGTGTTCATCGGAGAGAGTGTACTCTATGTTGGAGTATACATCGGCGAAGCCATCAGTGGCCAGATTGCTACTGCGTTTACGGAAACCGGCACAAGCTGGCGCATCGCTCTAAGAGCCATCGGTATCACGGGATGTGTTGTAGCGGTGCTATTAAGACTCGTCCTGCGGGAACCAAAGAGAAGAGAAAGTCTGGTCCAAATGAGCGCACGCCATCACAACAACAGCGTAGACGAAGATTTCGCCGACATACCACCGCATATCCAAGGCACATCGAGGTTGAAAGCAGCAAGATCTGATCTGCATGCTGCTTTCACTTACATCCTCCGCATGAACTCCTTCTGGCTCCTCGTTCTCTCCGCCGGCTTTCGTCAATTGAGTGGCAACGTCTTTGGATATTATATGCCCAGCTATCTCGGAGATACGTATCCCTCGCATACCGAAATATTCTCTCGTTACGGCATCATTGTCGGTGTCGTCGGGTCAGTCGCGGTACTCAGTGGCGGCATCTTGACCTCGGTACTGTGGCCACGGACGAAACTAACACCTGTCTATCTGACCGGCATCGGAGGCATGGTCAGCTCTCTTTTCGTTCTTCTCATGGTCTTCTCTCGCGACATTGCCAATGGCTCAGAAGACCGAGGCATCAAGATTCTCTACGGCGTTATGAGTCTCGCTTATCTCACTGCGGAACTCTGGCTGGGCTGTCTCTTCGCGCTCATTGCGCTGCTTCTTCCACCGCGCTATAAGACATTTGGTCTTGCTATCTGGGGTAGTGTGCAAGTTCTCATTTACTCTTCAGGCCCTCAGATCATCGGCCTATCGTTGATGGACGAAGAGACAACGAGTGAAAGCTACAGGAGGGTGACACAACTGTGCTTGGCAATCATCATCCCTATTGGCTATTGGCTGGCTGGTATTGGGTTTCTTCTCTCAATACCTTTGGTGAGGAAAGACTTAAGGGAGGAGTTTGTAATGGGAAGGTTGAGTGGTAGAAGGAAGGTTGGGTTCAGTATCTTCGCAGGGGTGCTGGCATCTGTCGTCATCACCTTGTTCGTCGTAAGCTTAGTGTATCAAGCGTAAATGGCCATAGCATATTAAACACGAGTAGTTTCTCATCGTACTCTACATAGCTGTTTTCGGAGTGCAACAACATCGTCTACTTGAAGGACAACCCCAGAAGATCTTCAACACCTGCATATAGCGGGCAAGCATAATCTGCCTCCAACAGTGGCCGAACAGTCACGCCACTACTTCCGTCTTTGCCCAACACACCCAACTCTTTGCCCAGCGCACTACCCACCTTAGGCCATCCAACGCCACCAGCGGGGTTCTTCGCAAAGTTCGCCCAAGTCTTCTGCATGAAAGTACTGAGTTGAATCTGCTGCTGCGTCGCAGTACCGAATTGATTCGAAAGCGGATACGTACCGAAGACCTCTGGAATCTCAGCAGTGTGATAGGCACCTGGATCGGGGAAAAGCGCAACCGAAGGAAAGACAGGCGTGAACTGGTATCGATAGGTTGTGCGACCAGAAATGGCGAGGTAGTTCGCTAGCCTGGCGGTCGTACATGTGAAGACTAAATCTGTGCCGAGCCTATCGGCTAAGTCGTAGAAATCTGTGATACCTTGTGCGGCATACGCCGCAACTATGGAGTCACGAACGGCTTGAGATGTGATGTTGTACTGACTGAAGAAGTTGTTCAAGGCGGTTTTACCGTCCGTTACACCGGCTACTGCCAGGAAGGCACGTGCTTCATTCAGATTCGTCCCTAGCATCGTTGGTACGTTGGCGAACTTCCCGGTGGATATGCTGAGTCTAACATCGGGGACAGATGTGCCATCGTTGTTGACAGGTGGGAACGCGAGCGAGTTCGGCTCGATGTATGCTTTGATGTCCTCGGCGGATACCTTGCGAAGGCAAGCGATGTCTGTGCAGCCAAAATGCAGCAATACCTGTTTGTAGTTGACTAGGCCGTTTCCGGGAAGTACCGCATTCTGAGACTCAAGGATAGCTGACGAGAATGGGAGTGGGCTGGGTGGGTTGGCCAGCAATTGCTTGACCGATTCGCCGCCTGCGGATTCACCAAAGATCATCACACGAGAAGGGTCGCCGCCAAATTGCGCAATGTTGTCTTGTACCCATTGCAGTGCAAATCGCTGGTCTAAAAAGCCAGCGTTCTGGGAGCCAAAGGGTATTTCGGGCGAGTTCGAGAAGCCAAAGACTAAGTTTGGCATGTTAGTCACAGAACTTCTGGACTTGGATGGTAGAGACACTCACTGTTTGTGCGATAGTTGATAGTGACTACAACGACGTCTTCGTTGATTGCCAGAGAGCTTCCGTCGTAAAATCCCAGTCCGCCGGTTCCGAAAGCTAAGTTACCCTATACGTGTGAACATGCTGTCGATTTCCATGAAAAGAAAGTGACTACATACTCCGAACAGCCAGAACATGACAGCCTTCTTGCTTGAAGATGTCACACCTGGCGGTGTATAGACATTGAGGTACAGACAATCTTCACTCTCCGCCGGTGGTGAAAAGGTGGGGTTGTTGAAGTACTCCATGGTCCTGGCACGAATATCGCCAGTGCCTGAGAACTGCTGAATACATGCTGGTTTGACCTTTTGAGCCTGTAGAGGACTAGACCATGGTGCAGCTGCCTCGGGCGGGGCGAAGCGTAGAGGAGGCGATTTCGCGAAAGGGACTCCCAGGTAGGCGTTCGCTGAGGCTGTCAATGATGGCTGGTTCGAGGGCTTGGTCGTGGTTCCTATGACGACACCAGAGGCAAGTGTGACCGTTGGCCCGTTTTCAACGGGCGCTGACAGGACTGTTGAGGCGAAAGAGCATAGTAAAAGCGCTTTGCTTACGGACGAAGCGATGTGCAACGTCATCGTGAAGGTATGGGATGCTTGGAAGTATAGGGTTGGAGAACACGCAAGACACTCAGATCATCCACTCCCATGTTGGGGAACAACCATTATAAGTCAAGATGACAGCACGCTAGGGTGATTTGATTTGGATGCTAGGCAGTCAGCACGATATCGATAGTGTACGTTTTGTCAGTGTTGTATGCAGATCATTTTCAGTCTTTGTTTAGCCTGAGCGATAGTCGATGCTGCTCCAGGGTTTAAGCATCTTCGGGGACATGATCTAGCCTATGATCGTGGAAGGAAGAACCGTCCACGACTCAAGCGAAAGCGAGAACGACAGCCTAAGCCCCAGCGTCTGGGGTCGTGGCTCCATATGATCGGCAGATAGCGCGCGCGAGCAGATGCAAGTGTCTATTTCCCCTGCGACAGATCTGGGTGCGGTCTACAAATCGCTTCCGGTGAGTTCCTCTTATAATCCGACCGCCAATCAGCTTGTAGACGATGCCTCGGCACAGCCCAAGCTCCCCTTTCGCCGTAGATCATCCGCTCGTTCAGCCAATCATTACACTCGGGTACCTCGGCAATTTTGCAGGCATCGGCCATCATCGAGGTACGGACGCGACTGTGGCTGTTGAACACCAGAAGCAATGGCTTCTCCGCATCTCGTCCGACTCATAGTGATCTCGATGGCCGTACTGTAGCGTGACGAGCCTGGCTATTGAATGCTGTAGTGGTAAGCTGCCATCAGAGCTTGTCGTGTTCTATCGGGGCAATGAGTGCGCTTGTGTCGATACTGGACATTGATACAGCGTGCTTTATACTCCTTCTGTGAAACTGCGCGGTCCTCGTCGTTTCGTATTGTTGTGTTACCAGAGCTGCAATGCAGGTGGCAGCTCCCCAGCTAGGGAATCTTGATCGGCGTCAAGCTATACTTATATAAGCCAAGATTCCTCCCTAGCCCGGAGGTATGTTGGATCAGTATCAAGCGAACGCTGTAACGAATCGACGAAGATGCACGTTGTGAGTCAGTATCAGAAGCCACTGCATCATATATCACAAGCGCCGAAAAGAGATCAGGAGTTTGAAGACGGAGTTGTTGATTGAATGCCGCGGAACAGGTCCATGCGCGTTCGCCGCCTTCTTCGGCGACAAGGGGATGAGGCCGAGCTATCGGCCATCATTGATCGCGCCCCCTCGTCGCCTTCATTCGTCTTATCTCTTTACTGTCTCAATCGTCTCAACACCGATATCCTTCTCATGTTCCATACCCTTATTCCTTGCAATGACTTCCTCCTCGGTCAAGATTGGCTTACCGCGAAGCTGCGCCCAAACAGCCTGGTGCATCGGCCTAAGGAAGAGGGCATCCATCTCTTCAAGACTGATACCTTTCGTCTCGGGTACGAAGAAGAAACTCCAGATGCCCATCGCGACTAAGATGGTTGCGAAGAAGAAGTAAGCGCCATAACCCAGATCTGAGATCATGTATGGGGTACTGCGGGCAATAATAAAAGAACCCAGCCAAGTATCCGCCGTCGTGAGGGACACACACAGCATACGGATGTCGAGTGGGAAGATTTCAGAGGCGTAAGTCCATGTGATGCCCTGCCATGTAGCGCAGATGATGAAGGCGTTGATGTAAACGCAGACCATCGCAAGGTAACCCCAGCCGTTGCGTGTCACATCACCTCTCAAAGCAGCTCCAGCTGGATCAGCCTTCATAACATAGCCGCCGATGTACCACATGGGAATGCAACCAAGCGCAGCTCCCCAGATAAGGCCCTTACGACGACCAACCTTCTCGACAACGATGAAGGTAAAGGTAAACATGCCGAGTGTCTTTGCGATGCCGTAGAATCCAGTAGAGAAGAGCTTCAGTGATGTTCCAGAGATACCGAGTGTCTCGAAGATGCGAGGTGCGTAGTAAGTGATGATGTTGACCTGACAGATTAGCCTCTATCGTGCCGTGCAGATGGTATATACTTACACCAGTGAAGGACTGGAGGAACATGAGCGCAAGACCAATGGCCATGCGGTTACGCACACCCTTCTGGAATAGCTTCATGAACTGTTGCTTCTTGCTCTGGCGATTCGCGCTACGTCGTTCGACTTGCGCGCGAATCTCGCTCATTTCGTGCTGGATGTACGCATGTGATTCGTCGAGGCACCGAATCTTACACAAGATGCGTTCTGCGCCTTCAAAGTTGTCCTTCTTTGCTAGGTATCGAGGCGACTCAGGGCACCATGCGACACCGAGAAGCAAGAGCAGACCGGGAATGAGCTGGATCGCAAGAGGAACGATCCATTGCGTCTGGCCTTCGACGCTAATGGTCTGGTCACAAGCATAATTGATCCAGAAGCCTAGCATACCTCCACCTTGAGAAGCAATTTCGAAGATACCGACCAATCTGCCACGGATGGAAGGCGGTGCTGTTTCAGAGATGTAGACAGGGACGACCATACTTGATGCGCCAATACCTAGACCTGCCACAGCTCGACCGCCGTAGATCATATTGAGACTACCTTGAGAGGCAGTCATGAGTGTGCCGCCAAGCAGGAATACCGCGGACGCAAATATCATAGTCTTTTTTCGCCCAATGCGTTCCGCGAAGGGGAAAGCGATGAGCGCTCCGAAGAAGCATCCTGCCTGCTCTTTGTCAGTCCGTGACCACTTTACAGCAGCTCAGTTCCAGGAACGTACCTGGAAAGTAGAAACGATATTGCCTTGAATTGTGTCACGGTTGCTCTTCGCGATGTCGTTCATGCCAAAGTCACGAATGAAGGATTCGAGGGCCATAGTCCCGCCAATAACGGCTGTATCGTAACCCACTATCTCGACATTAGATTTCAGACCCGAATAATTCCAATGTGACTTACTAGCTAGCGCAGACATCGAGGCGATGAGTGCGATGAGGTGGATCCGCCAGTTGCGGACCTCTGGCGGGTCCAGAGTACCGGATGCATGAGTGTTAAAGCAACCCATATGTTGGTTTAAGATTTGGTGAAATTGATCGTAAGATTAATGAATAGATTATGGTTTCTAGCCTGATTATGAGTATTCCGAGCGAAGGGTGTGTGCCTTCTTATGCCTGGTGCCTCGTTTCGAAGGCCTCATCGCCGAGCCATCCTTCATGATGCTACCTCGCCATCACTACAGTCATACCCCGCGGGGAAACTGCACAAGGACTAGCATCGTCCCATGTTTACCGCAACACCTGCTATTCCAAGCTATTTCTCGGATCATCGTAGCGAATCTGGGGAAGGGTCCACTTGGCAGTCGACAAGGTCAAGCCTTACCCTATGGTTGGCATCTGGGGTCGCGATATTTCATAGGCAGAGAGCCGCATGGAGGATGTACACAAGGCACTTGGCGGCCGACCGTTATCGACGGTATGGGTGATGAAGCTTGACAGAACAGTGGGCGCCGGTAGCGTGTGCGGGGTAAAGCGGGTCGGAGGAAAATCTGTGCCCGTGGCGGACCTCCATGCCTTTTTCGACCTTGCATCTGCTGACATGGTACCTTCACCTCCACCAAACTACCATCGGACAACTCGAGCAGTAGACATGTACGCCGTATGAAAATTGCGTGCGCGTACGACAGAACCCTGGAACCACGGTGTGTAACATCCGTCTCCACGGACGACAGTAGAATGCCGCATCACAGCTGCAGAGTATCAGACTACACCTGGGCATGCTCGCGCTCCGCTGGCACGTGGCAGGATGAATATTTCCGCCCCAAGATACCAAGCCCTGGCACAGCCTCTCTTGACATGCACAAGATGACGGAGCCGCCGTATACGATAAAATTGCGGGACGGTCCATCGCACCTGGGCGCGGCGGCAAGTCGCTTAACTCGCTACTGTCAGCAGCGATAACATGTTTGGCTGGCTATAGCATGTTCTACACTTCACAAGAGTATTGGCATGTTCATTTGGACTACACTAGGGTAAGACCGCGGCCGGCAACGTATCTGACGTCTCGCAAAGACGATGTTTGTCATCCTATTGAGAAACATGCGACATCGCAAACAAGGTGGCGATGCTGGAGTGCGGCGTTCGTATCTGTCTGGTCATCTTCGGAGACATCGGAACCCCCTAACCCAATCCTGGTGCATGGTAAGAATGTGAATGGAGAGTTATCGCTCCTGGCCTCGCGGAGGTGAATCAGGCAGTGATTGTGGAATTACGTGACACCAGCGTTTGGTGGTGCAAGGTTTGTCTGATCTTTCAGCCGGAATTCCCTTCGCCATCATTTAATTGGAAGAATTAGCCATTGTCTATATTGTTTGTATTGCAGGGGTTGTAAGTGGCTAATTGCCTATAGGTTATTGTATAGGTCATCGCAGTGCAGGGTACCTAGCGCACAAAGCTGTCATTTGAAGGAAATTTCAGCAACTTTGATATTTGACCGACTCAGCACCTTCTTCAGCTGCACACCCAAAATCGACTTGCACACACCACTATACCAGACTGCACGCGATGGCTACTGATACCGTTGCACCTACGAACCTGTATGGATCCCCGGGAGTCTGAAATACCATCTACAAAAACACCAACATAACCCACTCCAGTTCGAACATCATACTTAGGTTGTATAGTCTTGTTCATCAGGAGCGAATGCTCATCGGCTATGCGAAGCGATGGCGATCGCTAGAGACTTTCTACAACGACGACAGTGATTATCGCGAGCGTTCAGGCTGGATACAGAGCGAGCGCTCGAAAGTCAAGCGGGAAAACAGTTCGGAGTGCGACACCCACAATTCTTTCACCTCCCACAAGAACTGCAAAGCCATGTACGCATTATTTCCAAGAGTACTAAGAGACATGGTGTATATATACGTCACATCAGACATAGTGGCTGTCTGCACAGAGCCTGAACAAGGCACCACAGAAGAGCCAGGCCCCTCGTTCAGGTCTTCTTCGTTGCGCTTCATAGCGGAGCATTGGCATTCTCCCTCCCAGTGCGCCCTAGGTGAAATCAAGTTTTGATATGTAGTCATGGGCCTTGAAGACTACTGCGTTGAGTAATAGGCGTAATGGACAATTGTGGTCAAAGGTGACAAAATCTTGGAGAGCAAGCGGTGCACGTGGTTGGCACCAAACCGGAAAGGCTAGTTAGTAAGCGGGGTAGCTGCGGGAGGGGGCCTAGGCCCAAGCTCCTGCCGCTCCCGCCAGATCTCCAGGTACTCTCCCACTGCGCTTCCTCCATGCTAATAACACCTGCCACACGAGCATTACGACCACTCCGAACACTCATGACGAGCGCATATTACCTCGCAAGACCTTTGTCATCCCGGTCACGAAGCGCATCACCCAAAATGGCCGACACACTATCTCTCGACGAGATCCCCACCCTCACCTTGCTCTACAAGCTAAAGAAGATTGTGCCAAGCGGAGACAAGGTCCAGTCGACATACAATGCGTCCGCTACCCTCAACGACAAGATCAGTGTCATTCGACAAGATATCACAACCCTAGCCATCGACGCCATCGTCAACGCCGCGAATACTTCCCTTCTAGGTGGTGGAGGCGTAGATGGCGCCATCCATCGCGCAGCTGGGCCCGGCTTATTAGAAGAGTGCGAGACGCTGGACGGCTGCGAGACAGGCAGTGCCAAGATCACAGATGGCTACGAACTGCCTAGCAAGAAGGTTATCCATGCCGTTGGACCGATATACTGGAAAGAGGGTTCGCGCTCAGCAGAACTACTATCCGGCTGCTATCGTACAAGTTTGGAGCTAGCAGTCGAGAACGGTTGCAAGAGCATCGCATTCTCAGCTTTAAGCACTGGCGTCTACGGCTACCCCAGTGGTGAGGCTAGCACAGTCGCGCTCGAGACGGTGCGGAAGTTCCTTGAAGAGGAGGGTAAGGCGGACAAGCTTGACCGCGTCATATTCTGTAATTTCCTCCAAAAAGATGAGGACGCGTACTTCAAGAACATCCCGTAAGTCTCAGCCGTCATCAGTCTCACTCCATACACTGACGTAGACCTAGTGACTACTTCCCGCCGGTTGACTCTGACCCCAAAGCGCAAGAGGAACAGTCTACCGAACCCTCCGAACTCGCATCGCAACTTCCAGACGCCCCGACGGCCGACCCTAAAGATACCGACGATGCTCAACAGCCGTCTCCAAAGAAGCAAAAGATCACCGACACCGACGATGACTTTGTGGTAGTCGAGAAAGATGACGTCAGAGAGGATAAGGCTAAGCCTGAGCTCTGATACAACTTCCCATTGATGCGATAATGACAGTGAAGGCTTATGAGTTCTTGGATCGACTTACGTCGGTCAATGTTATGGTTTGGGCATACTGGGCGTTTGATTATTGGGCGTGGGAGGCTTATACCCTGGATACGAGTGATGAACGAACCACATTGATTCTCATCAATTGAATAACATACACGCTCAGTCGTGTCTAGCTCTTTGCGAAATTGCTGTCTCTTCACTTGGTGACAGACTAATTTCCCCCGAGTCCATCCACCATTCACTGACGGATGTGTTAGAGCACTTCAGCTGCGTGTGCTTGCATAGGGTGCTACTTCACCAGGACGTAGAAATTGCAGTCGAAGCGAGTCAGACTCTTTCAATCACAATTCCGCTTCCACTACACCTCGAACCAGATAGGTGTCACGCCGAAACCGCATAGGTTTTCCACATGCGCAGTGCTATCAATGTCTCGTTAGCTACATACTGGGTAGAGCGCGCCACCGAATCGCCCTTCTGGAGCTGTCGAAAGCAAGCCCGAGATGACTATAATCAGACTATAAGGTTCAGTTCAGTTCTTGTCCGTAAGAGTGACATTCAGTCATGCCATCCGCACGTATTTGACCGGTCCAACGTACGCGTGTCTTCCACGAAGAATGTAGTACAGTATAGCGAAGAGAACGACAATTCCATATCCCAGGACCGCCCAATTCATATCTGTTACTGTTGGTCGAGGGCCGACGGGAAAAAAGCAAAAGACCCAAGCAAACAGCAGGAACAGTACAGCAATGATGTTGATCGGTAATCCTAGTCTTCCCAGATCGAACTTGGACGGCAGAAGCGGTTCACCTCTTATACGCTTCAGGGCAACACACGAGATCGTGATCAGGTACGAGGTCAGCATCGAAGCTACACCCAGGGAAATGACCTGCATGAATGCGACGGTGGAGCCAAGGTTGATACACGAGAGGATTACGATGAAAACGACTGTTATGTATGTCGAGTTGATCGGTACTTCGCGCTTTGTTGATACCTATCACGTGTCAGCATTCGATCGAAATGATCGAGGTGGGAAAGACGGCTTTCTACGAACCTTGCTGAATACGCGAGCAAATGGCACGCCATTGTCGCGAGCGAAGGCGAACACCTGACGTGAACTTGCAGCCATAACAGCAACGCAAGCGAATATTGCAATGACCAGCATCAAGACCGTAAGTGCAGTCGCGCCGCCTACCGACTTGGTCGTGTCGACGAAGACCTGGATGAAAGGCGTGCCAAGCGGCGTCGTAAGTACAGAGACTGTATCAGTGACGCAGAAGCAGAACGTGATTGCCATGATCCAACCGAGCAACCCGTTACCGAGCCACGTCCACATCATAGCGCGCGGAATTACATGAGCGGCATCGCGTACCTCTTCCGCCATGTGTGCTCCCGCTTCAACGCCAACGAAAGTGCTGGTAGCGCTCGTGAGACCGAGGATCACCGCCAGTGGAAGATTTCCCCACATCATGTTGTCCTGGAAGAGCGTGAAAATATCGCTGGAAGAGTGGCTTCTGTCGCTCATGACCCAGAGTGGAATGACGACAGCGAAGAACCCAGTAACGTGGAGTATGACGACACCTCCTTCTACTAAAGGTAGATGTTGAGAGAGATATGTGTTGAACACCAAACACACAGCTAGAACAGCCCAGATGAGGAGCGTTCCGTGCCACGCTTTCGGAATGTACGATGGATTGTTCAAGATAATGAGGCCCTGTATCTGCTTGCCGGCAAGATACGAGACCGTCGCTGCGCCGGTTTGCCAACCTAGAACCCCTAGCCAGCCTACCAGATAGCTGAGAAACTTCTGGCAGCTTGGTGGTGCGAACTCTGATACCCAGTGGTATTGGCCGCCAGCGGTCGGCGCCCTGCTAAAAGTGAGCACGTATCATTGAAGTGGATCATAATATACCCACATCGATGCCATCTCAGCCAGCGAAGCGACAACAAAACCAAACCCAATCATGACGATGAAGTATCCCCAGATAAGCCCTGCTGTTCCGCCGTTGGCGAGGGCAAAGACGGATGTGGCAAGAATCGTCTCCCAAGTCGATAAAAGAACTATGCAGAATCCTAGGATCGTGATAGAACGGAAGTTTCGCCGGGTTTCTTGCGTCTTTCCCATCCGGTGCATGTCATGGGCATCCGCCGTAGTTGCGTCCTTCTCAGCCGTGTTATGATCCCGGCTTCGATCGTCGAACACATCTTGACGTCCCGCAATATGCGCTTCTGCGGACTTGCTAGAGCCCATGATGTCGGGGAATTAAAAAGCGAGCACGAGACCGTATGGCGTGAGGCCGAACGAGATAGTGAGCGTCCATCTCGTGCGTAGACGTCTTCTTATGCTCGAGCTGTGATGCGCTTATTTCCTAGCCGACTTACGCCCTACATATCCATATGGTAGCTCAATGAATTCAATGCATGCGCTTTGCTACAAAGATGAGTTTGCGTACCGCTGCTGCAGTGTCAATTAACCAGGTTGCGACCCAGCGCATGTCATTGGCAGATGCTGGGCGCACAGTAAGCAGCGATAGCTGTCGTCGTACAGTGCATATCGCACTACCGAAAAGCATATGGACTATGCCGTCTGTGCTGACGGGTAGCCGTAGGTATGCCTTACGATGCAGGCAATCTGCTATCGGAGAGATCATTGGTAGGCAACATGCTGTGATCGGCCTATCTGCAACCGTGTCGCACATGTGGAGATCTGGATGCTCGTGCCCATCGGTCAGAAACTCGACGACCTGCAGCGAGACGATGATTCAAAGGTCGTGATAGCAGTCGAGGCCGTCTGTGCTGTGTGAGAGGCCGTTGAGCTTTGGAGAGACCTCGGGATGATTAGAAGGCAGGTGCCGCTTGCGCCACCTGGGCGGCCAAGAAAGGCTAGCTCGTGACGCGGTCTTAGCGTCGTCGGGGTCTTCGCGTCGCTCTTTCAACTGGAAACATTCTCATTCTACAACAAGCTGACGACGATTCGAATGCCTCTTTCCGAGTCGAGAACCCATGCTCGACCAGCCCCACTCGCATGTCTGGAGTGTCGGCGCTCCCATATCAAGTGCAATGGAACCCAACCCATCTGCGGGCGTTGCCAGACTCGTGGTTTCGCATGCACTTACAAGCGTTCTGGACGAGGTCGCCGACGTGGCATAACGCGCCCGGATACTGATGAGCAGCCGACATTGTCTCACACCGTACCAGCTCCTTCTGATTCGGTTGCACAGCCCGTTGGTGCACAAGCGCTCTCTTGTACGCCGTCTGCAGCGCAATGGCTTCCTCTTGACAGTGCCGCCGCTTCACCAAACCCTGCCTTACTGCGGCGTACACAACCAACCAGTCCGCCAGACCTAAACGTCGCGTGGACTGACGACGAGCAACTGGTAAATCTTTACTATCTCAACTTCCACGCGAGCCACCCAATCCTGCTACCAAGGCACATGTATTGGCAACATGGATACCCTCGTTACCTGAAAGCGGTAGTTCATCTCATAGGTGGCCGCTTCTCACACACTGTCGCGCTAGACGAGTTGCGTGAGAGCGTGACGCGAGAATTTGCTCAAAGCGAGGAAGATACAGTCGAGATGGTGCAAGCAGGGCTTCTCAACACCATTACCCTATTCGCAGAGAATTCCACGGATCAAGGGCAAAGGATGCTTGACTCTACGATTGAACTGGCTTTGCGACTTGGCATGCACCAACGGAGCTTCGCTCCGACGCATGCTGGTGATCTGACTGTGCTGGAAGAGAGCATGAGGAGGACCTGGTACGAACTGTATGTGATTGACGGCTGCATTGCCGCATTGCAGCGGAAGTCCACATTCAAAACCAACACGGTGAATGCCGACGTGCTTTTGCCATGCGACGATTTTACTTACGAAGCCGGAATGTGCTTCATGCCAGCAACTATGGCTGAGTTCCATGGCAACGTCTTCGCCGAAGAGGAAAAGGTCTTCTCGTCCTCCTGCTACCGCATAGAAGCTGTACGCCTCCTTGGGCGAGTTTTGACTATCACCGGAAAGCACGGAGTGGATCGAGATCTTGTGCAGGCCGTTGATAATGCGCTTGCTGCTTTCCTATATCACTTGCCTCGTTCTAAGAGCGAAGCGGAGATATCAAATACCTTCGGTGATCTGGACGAACTCATGTTCCAAGCGCACACGATCATCCAATGGAGCACCATCCTCGTACATTATCCGAGAGGGGATTTGATGTCTTCTGACCTCTTAACGCAAGATGTGCTTGGAGCCAACTGTACCAAACTCCTTTGTCCTTGCAATCGCCAGCACATCCACTCAGTCAAAGCCGTCGAAGCCTCCAAGACTATAGCTATGTTAGCCGCGCTACGCACCCCAACACAAAAACACACTCCATTATTTGTATACCCTTTGGCTCTCGCTGCTGTAGTTCAGCTGTCCATAGGCGCAATGCACGACAAAAGCTCTCGACGCTGCCTGGATCAGCATGGCGATCGAGTCAAACTGCTGCTAGGTATACTCAAGTCGATGAGCCGCCAATGGTCGGCTGCTGGAATCGTGCTACGTACTCTAAAGCGGGTGGCTTCCGTAGTGTTCCGCAGTCCTTCCGTCGATTCACCATCCAGCGCAGTAACCCCTCCAGCCACGTCGATGGATAACGTTACTTTCCCAGAATTTGACCTCCAGGATCTGTACGGGATTGTGGGCCTCGACAACAATACATTGGGTATCTGATGTACTCACTTTCGCCCTCCAACTTCACTTCAACCATTCGGTCGAGCTTGCAAGGACGCATCGATCGCTTCATCTGCGCGAACCAAATTGGAAAAGATCGTTGTGCTGTGTATATACCCTCTAACATTGTCCCCGCCTACATGGTGCTTGGACCTGCCTAGAGGAGAGTTGCTCATCGCCGCTCAGTCCCAGTCTCCCATGACCCTTCCTTCATCTTAATCGGAAGATGCATCAAAAGCTCGCCACTTGGTGTCGGCAGAGGAAGTCTACCAGCGCGTATGTTGATCTGCAAAGACGGGTGCAGCAGCTTCGGCGCGTTCAGACTCGCATCGCGTTCTTCTCGCAGGATTCGGAATTCGTCCTCCGCATGGTTCGCGAGATGTCTGTTCTTCTCCTTGTGATCCCGTACAGTCATCCAAGGCACGGCCTCGCATCGTTGCGGACACGCTGGATAGTCATGCCCTGTCCAAATCTTGGTTTCGTCCGGTAATTTCAAAAGCTTTTGTGCTGAAGCATACAGACTCTTTGCACTCCCACCCGGAAAATCACATCGTGCAGTGCCGATGTCAGCATGGAAAATTGAATCGCCGCAGAACACATTGCCTTTCACAGTGTTAGTATTGAGAGGAAATGTAGATCGCTAGAGCGAGCACTTACTGCCGACCTGGTAACCGATATGATCTGGTGTATGACCTGGAAGATGAAGGACCTTCACCCTCAAACTCCCAACCTCGAACATCTCATCATCTTCGAAAAGATGATCGAACGCGTTTTCGTACTCAGCAGCTGGAACACCATACTTCACAGCAAATCGTTCCTGAACCTCCCGAATTCGTTTTCCAATGCAGATGGGTGGTTTAAAACTTTGCCGTGATGAAAGACGCTGCTGGAGATAAGAAGCTGCTGTCAAGTGGTCGGCATGTGCATGCGTTTCCAGTATCTTCTCGATGTAGTACCCGCCTCCCAAGGCCGTAGCCAATAGATCATCAGCTGTCTGGGTACTGATGGTCTGGGTATGCGCGTCATAGTCGAGCACCGGATCGATGATGACGGCCTTCTTGGACGAAGGGTCTGCTACAACATATTGCCATGTTCCTGTCTTCTCCTCAAACAAGCTGTGTATTGCGAGCGGGGACATAATGGCTTGGGTGCTGTAAGCTGATCGGTTTCGGGCTTCCCGCCGGATCTGTGGATTTGGACTGGTCAGGTTGGTAATGATGCAGCCTGTCCAGCTTGCGTAGTTCGGTAAACGTGGCAAGCTGACTGTCCCTCGTGATATGCGTCCGGGTATCGCAAAAGCTCGATAACTAATCGATCGGTGCTTTTGGTCCCCGATATGGACCTTCGGGGTGTTGTGAGACGAATTCGGCGATTGCCAATGTGCCTGGATGCGCGCAGATGATCGTAGATTCTTCATATCCTGGGATGGGATGATCAATTTTCTTTGTGCATGAGCGGCTACTCGTTCATTACCTCCTCCGCTTCGTCTTAAGTATATACCAATTTCGGGGAGCTGACTGTGCCCAGGTGGTGCCACCTTGATGCAGGGTTCGGCGTCTAGAACGGCGACAACTCTCCTCGTTGATCGGCGACATGGCAACGCTCTTTTTGATGAACCGTTCGCTCTCTTGCTATTCTTATGGCTTATGAATAATCATATCGTGCGCCGTTCACAAATTGCAAAATCGCAAGGAATCACTTCAGGGCTGATTCACGGTTGTTCGAGCGAGGACAGCAATCATTCAGAGTTCTTCCCGATTTACTATTTACTCACACCTCAACACGATCATCAGCATCTACAGGCATAGCGAATTACTCACCCGAAATGCATGCATCAAGCTACCGCCTCACATCGACGTCGCTCCGGACTGCGCTCGCCACACAAAGTCGGCTAGCTGTACGGAGCCTCGCTACTGCCTCACCTGTGACCATTACATCAAGACATCACAGAGTTCTTGTCATTGGAAACGGTTCAGCCGGTGTGGCAGTCAGCCATCAACTGTTACATAAAGGACGCTTCAAAGAGGGCGACATTGCGGTTGTCGATCCGAGCACCTGGCATCATTACCAACCGGGCTGGACGTTGGTGGGCGGCGGCTTGAGCAACAAGGAACAGTTTAACAGGCCGATGAGCGAGCTTGTAGCGTCTGGGACTAAGTTTTATAACGACCATGTCGCGGCCATTGATCCGCAAGACAACCATGTGTCGTTACGAGGTGGTGACAAAGTCCAATACGACCACCTTGTCATCGCCCCAGGCATTAAAGTCGATTACGACGGCATCAAAGGTCTAAGCGAAGCAATATCCAACCCTGATAGCCTCGTAGCGTCCATATACAGCTACGACCACTGCGACAAAGTGTTTCAAAACATTCAGCGCTTCAAGAAAGGCTCCGCCATCTTCACCCAGCCTTCCGGTGTAGTAAAATGTGCAGGCGCACCCCAAAAGATCATGTGGCTCGCAATGGATCACTGGAGACGAGCAGGCCTCTACAGCAACGATCCCGAGAAAAGTGCTATTGACATGACTTTCGCTACTGGTCTTCCTACCATGTTCGGCGTACCCAAGTACAGCGTCAAACTGGACGAGATGCGAACAGAGAGAGGAGTCACAGGCCTCTTCGAACATAATCTCGTCGCGATCAACGGGAATACGGCGACATTCGAACGCCCGAACGGCGAGCAGCCCGTACACCAGCACTTCGAGTACCTCCATGTTGCGCCCAGGAACATACCGCACGCCTTTGTGAAAGAAAGCGGATTGAGCAACGATGCGGGATACGTAGATGTGGATCAGTATTCTCTCCGGCACAAGAAGTTCAAGAACGTGTGGTCTCTCGGCGATGCAGCGAGTCTTCCCACATCGAAAACAGTCGCTGCAATCACGTCCCAAGCGCCAATTCTCACCCGGAATCTCCTGCTTACCATGGATGGCAAGGAGCCAGAATCCGCATACGATGGATATACTTCATGTCCGCTTCTGACCGGTGACAAGAAGGTGCTTCTTGCTGAGTTCAAATACGGTGGTGTGCCTAAAGAGACGTTCAACACGTGGCTTGGTATCGATCAGGCGGTGCCGAGACGTGCGTTCTACCATCTGAAGAAAGACTTCTTTCCTTGGGTTTATGATCGATTTCATGTGAAGGGGCGGTGGGGTGGACCGAGTGGCTGGATCAGGTAGCTTTGGATAAGTGTTGAAAAGTGTTGCGATGTGTCTTTTCGAAGGATTGATCCTCTGCATGAAAGTGTTGGATAACATATCGTATGTATTGGCAGGGCTATATTAGCAATAGCGCGGAGTCGGCGCAAAGAGTGACTTTGGCGTGTTCATCCTTGTGTTCGCTGGTGTTGATGAATCCCTTGCTATCGTTGAATAAGGGGCGGTATGTGCATGGGTGATTATTACGAAGAACCCATGGACGCGTGAGATGTCGATGGTTTGGTCTGGAGGGCTGACGCGTATTGGCGGGATAGCACGCTAGGGGCCGAAGTAGTTTAGCACATGCTATGACGTAGGCGAGCAGGGTGCGTTTGACAATAGGGCGCGCGACATTGAGATATGTATAACCACAACCCAAGCCACTCTTTCCTCTGCTACTGTCAGCCCAAATCATGTACGCGTTACATCCCACTCCGACTATTGCAATCGGTTCCGATTACCCAACACCATGACTACGAAACCCTCTCGGATCCTTTGCCGGACTTTCGTCGGTCATGCATTTGCCATGTTAGAGGCCTGTCGCTCTTATCACGGCATGTCCGAGTCTTGGAGACGAGGAACAATCGGCACATGGCGCTAAGCCTCTGGTATAACGTTGCTTCTGTTGCGCAGGTCTTCGAACTGGATTTCCCTTGGCCGCCCAAGAGACGAGACGCGACGACACCCTCGAAACCCTACGCCACGGCATTGGGCCAGCTTGACGTCTATACAAGAGACATGTTTGCATATCAATACTCTCTTATCTCACGCCCACATTGATATACGCATTACGAGCCTACCCAGACCAAGCATGACTCTCTTCCAAGACGTGGAGGTGCCGTTCCACCCGAACCTACCTTGGCAGCCAAGGCGCGCCTCCGCACCCATGGGACATCTCCACCTACCAAGTTCCTGTGCAAACGCCTCCCAAGGGCCTGAATGCTGGTATGAGTAGCTGCAGACGGGTATCATGTCCGTAGTGCTACCCTGGCACGCGACATGTTCTCTTTGAGGCGTCGACTCGTTGCTGGCGGTGGCTGCGTGGTGACGCGCGCCGCGACTCTGATCTAAGATGAGGAGCGCAGGGGTGTTCGACGACATCATTAGAAGAGAGAGTTGTGCCCAGGCTGGGTTCCCTCACTGCACCTCTGCCGGGCTTATCTCTTTGCCCTCTCCATGCAGGCTCTCATATCGCGTTTCTCCTCCACCCTGTCTCACTGAGCGCATCGATACCACTTGCCCACAATGAACGTCATCCGTAAAGCCGTGCGGGCGATGTTCCCTCCGCCTCGCGTGGCGCCTGATGGTCGCGCGGAATGGCCCTCTCGAACACCATATGTGCTTGCCTCCATGGGCGGAGCGATGGGATTCGGAAATTTGTTACGTTTCCCTTCCCAAGTCTTCAACAACAACGGGATTCAATGGTTCATACCCTACCTCATGGCTGTCTGCCTCCTCGCGATCCCGGTGCTTATCTTGGAAGTGGCTATTGGACAGGCCTACCGCAGCGGCTGTGTCATCGGTTACAACGGTCTTGATCGACGCTTTACCGGCGTTGGATTCGGAATGGTCTGCGTTGGTTACGCTGTGGCCATCTACTACATTCCCATTCTTTCCTGGGTAATGGTGTACTTCCGCAGTTCATTCCGGTCCGCAAACGACTTCCCCTGGAAAGACAACCCGCAGGAGTACTTCAGTCGTGTCGTCAATGAAGTCCCTGCCATTCCCGCAGTCTACAGCGATGATGGCAGTCGAGTCCTTCAATATGCCTCATATCCTGGTGTGAACCTCGATGGCGAGCTCGTCGGCTGGGTACTCTTTTCTTGGTTCATCGTTTGGATCTGTCTGTACAAAGGCATCGCCATTACCGCTCGCGTCGTTTACATTACGATCGTCTTGCCCATTATCATGACCGTCATCCTTGTCGGCCGCGGTGCGTCTCTGCCCAACGCTGGCCGAGGTATCAAACTATACTTTGGGGAGTTCAACGCCGACCAGCTTGCGGCAGGCAAGATTTGGCAAGCTGCAACTAGTCAGGTCTTCTACTCTACCGGTGTCGGTTTTGGCTACTACTCTGCCTACGCCTCGTACAACTCCAAGTTCTCCGATGCTGTTCAAGATGCCATGATGATTTGCAGTGCGAATGCGCTATTTGAGTCGTTCGCGGCCTTTGCTGTCTTCGGAGTTGTCGGCTACTTGGGCCTGCAGCCTGGTGTTGGTGATCCGGTCGGAACATATACGCTTGGCTTCTACACCCTTCCCAGCGCCATCCAGGAAATGCCTGGTGCTCCATTCTGGTCTGTTCTGTTCTTTCTGACTCTATTCCTACTCGGCATCAGTTCCTCGTACGCGCTGCTCGATGCTATGATCACTACCATCTGCGATACTCATTGGGGAAGGAAGTACAAGCATTCGACCATCGCCACGATCATTACCATCATCTCAGCCCTGGTGTCATTGTTCTACTCAACAGGATTCGGTTACGAAGCTACCAACGCTGTCGACGCACAGATCAGCAACATTTCACTCATCTTCGTCGTATGGGCTGAGTGCGTATGCGCTACTTCGTTCTACCGCTTCGTCGACGTTATCGGTCAGGTTGGCGCACCATCCTTCTGGTTGTATCAATGTTCATACATTGGCGCCCAAATTATCGGCAATGCTATTGCACATGGGGTTTCCGACAAGATCGGTGCTGGTGTTGGTTTTGGTGTTTATATCATTGGCACAGTCATTGCTATCCTCATCGCCAAAGACCCTACAGTCCCAGCTCCCAGGTTCTGGGGCCGTAACAAGATCTTGAACCGCGTTTGGTGGGTTGGTCTATACTCAGTAAGTACATCCTTCTTCAGTGACACATGCAGCTACTCATACTACACAGGGACACCAACTTGCGCGCGACCTCAACTACGTTGTTTGTGTCGGCAAGCAGTGGCGACTACCCGTCTTCTGGGCTCCCATCCTTCGATACTTCGCCGCTCCTGTGCTCTCGATCATCTTCTGCTTTGCCTACCCCACATTCTACGCCATACGCGGCGACCCCCTACAGATCTTCGGTTTCATGGTTGCTCATCTCATCGTCTTAGTCGTCCTTGTCGGCTTCATCATACCCAAGAGCCTCAACATCTTTGTGCCTCCAGAACGTCGCGACGAAGGAAACCGACAATACGCGCCGCAGACCGTACTCGGAAAGGACGACACAAACATTGTGGGTGGTGTTGCGCCCGGGCAGGAGTACGAAGCCGGCCTACCGCCACCGCCAGCTTATGACGCTGAAAAGGTGGAGGATAAGAAGTGAGTGGCATGTGCAACGACATCCGATACTGGCGGATGTGCGTATGAGTGATTCGGCCCATTGCAACGTTTTCCTACGCGACAAACCCAGATCTGACAGCCCATATACATTGATCTCAAGATCACCTCCATTGCGCCAGATTCGCCCATTGCACTTTCGTTTTCTGGTATCGCCTTCTTTCGCCCATAAAGCTCGCAAGTTCTCATATCTCAGGCCCAGTCAAAAGCCTGGCTGACTGAGTTATTCACATATACATCGCGAAATTTCAATGATACAACCCATGCATCCAACTGTGCCTATACAGCCGTTATGCTACTGTGCACTGTTCCCAGTCGGTTGATTGTTATGATGCCGATTATCCGAAACATTATGGCTTCTACTTCCGGTGTATCCCATCGATCGGGATTCTGCTGGCATGATCGTGATCACAGTTCTTTGAGCCGTGCCGTCCCCTCACAATCATGCTCGATCCATCGTACCGTATGCAACGCTATGTATCATCTCGCAAGTGGGCTCGCTGATGAGACTCTTCGCTCAACTGCAGGGCGCTGTTGTCAACAGGAAGAGGTGAGAAAATTCACGTCGCATTCGACGTGACTCTGCTAGTGACTCTCGATTTGACAAGATGCGGTGCTGCGATGCGGTTTTCTACTGGCGGTCATCACCTCCGAAGTCGAGTTCCAGCCGAGCATCCATCAGTCTCGCAGGCACTAGAGACATCGTCACTATTCACACCGGATGAATCGTGACAATGTGCTCGAAACTCGCAGCAGGCTATGCTGCAGTCGTTCCCAATTGTAACTAGATTGTCTTGAAATACAGTCAACTCAGATCTTAGAACCCCCAAGCCGCTCCACCAAACGCTGCTGCTCCACCGACCATCAGAATCGCGCCAGTAGGCAGCGGCATACCCGGCGCGCGTCCCTCGCTGTCCGAAGCCTCTACTCCAGTCTCCTTGGCCCCACTCGCTTCGCTCGTGCTTGCGGGTGTAGGTGTGGACGTAGCGCCCACGATAGTAGCCATAGCAAATCTCAGGTTTGACCACGCCCTCAATTCCGATTGCGAGAAAATCGTCGGTGTTCCACTAAGTATAGAATTCTTCTCATTGTAAAAATCGGCATCGCACGTGACGGGGACTTCGGTTAGCACACCCGTCCACGTACAAGCACCGTTCCTGGTTATTGCACTCGTAATGGTCATGTGAAACTCCCATGTCTCGGGGCCTTGAAGCATGGTGAAAGGGATGCAACCGTCGACCTCTGATTCTGGTGTCTCTATTGGTACGGCGGTTTCGTAGAATGATAGCGCCCAGGATATCATGCTGTCGAGAGACGCTTCTCGTGCTGATTCTTCGGCTGGAGCTGTTAAGCAAGGATCAGCGGCGGTCCTAGCAAAGAACGATATCATGCTACATACACAAGTACGTCGGCGAAGGTGTAGATGTAGGAGTCGTTGTTTCAGGACACTTCTTCTCGTAGGTAGTGGCAGTGTCGTCGGACGACATGAAGGTGAGAGTCGGTTCCATTGCGTTCATCAAGTTTAAATACGTAAGATTATATTGCGCGTTGATTGCGCTCGCCAAGAGCGACGCGACTAAAAAGCTCTTCATCACTACTCTGATGCAATGCGATGCGATGCGATGCGGTACGATCATGCGGGGTGCAGCCTGGGATGCGTCGACACCACGACGGGCGCATGAGTCGCACTTTATTGCATGCTCACAATCATGACCGCAGCGCCAGTAGGTAGCTGCCAAGGCGTTATCGAGCAGGTTATTGAGCCGCGGGACAAGATAGCGATAGCGATGTGTTTCTGTAAGAGGGGCGTATGGTGCCCGGCAGGCCTAAGCGAGCCCAACAGCAAATGGGTCGCGTGTCTGTCGCTCCCTCAGGCTATCAGCTTGTACATAAGGGCTGAGATGATCCAGACCACAGCCTTATGGTCAGGGGACCCTGCACGTGCACCTTCAAAAGTCCTATATCATATCTCGATCCGACGACTACCTTTCGGGGGGAAGCGCGAGAGGAGTAAGACAACAAAGCCAAGCAATGCAACGGCAGCATTGCAGATGAACGTGAGATGGCTTTGGCCAGCCTCGGCAAGCGCAGCGAAGGCGACTCCAAAGACGGCCGACGTCGAAAGACGCGCGATGTTTTCGACAAGCGTAATGCCGCTTAGCGCGTCGACGCGCTCGCTGTTTGGTAGCATTTGAAGAATTGATCCCTTGGACGCGGCGCCGGTACCTGCAGCAAATGGCAGCATCACAGCGACGATGTACATTTGCCAACCTTGTGATACAAATACAGCAAGACCGGTAAGTATACCGTCAAGCAAGAGGCTGAAGCGCGCATAGAACAAATCGAATGCAAACGTCTCCTGCTCGTTCGTCGGTTCTGGGTTTGGCGGTTCTTCGCTCTCTAGAGGGTCAACAGTCTCCGTTACTGCCGGAGTTGGTGGTATGATATGAACCTGCACTGCCGATTCTCTTTCTTCATCTTCTGCCAAGTTGTTCTTCACGCCGTCACCCAGCCACTTTCGCCCTGCAGCGATGATGCGGGGAAAGACAAGAGAGAGGAAACCACCTCTCAATGCTGAGTATAAGAAGATGAGCGCTCCGTTCTCCTTGGGGCCAAAGTTGAACTCAACGGTGGCATACATCTGGAGTAAGATAGGAATGTAGCCAGTTGCAAGAATACCCAGGAAAACGCCGATACCAAGAGTGAGTGCTCCAAACTGCAGGCGAGTACGTCCATTAGGTATTTCCCACTTTTGTGGTGCAAAGATGCGGAGGGGGCCAAAGAAACGCGCGATGCCAGTAGTTTCGCGAGGTTTCGCATCCTTGTCTTCCTCCGGCGGTGGCATGGCAGGTAGCGATACTGCTACGTATACGCAGCAGAGCAAGAACAGCACCAAAGTCATGCGGAAGGGCGCAAGTATGCCAAAGTAGTCGCCGACGACACCTCCGATCAGGAACCCAATGGCACTCCCGAAGTACATGCAGCCTTGAAGTCGGCCCAATGCACCTGTCCGCCTCTCATGCTCGACAACATCCGCCACCAAAGAATTGAGACACAAAACGTATCCATTAGGGCCGCCAACTACCGTGATGACCTGCGAGCATTGCACGATCATGATGCCAACGTTGCCGCCATGCATGATACCGATGTTCTGGATCAGAAGGCGGACCGCAGGCCAGAAGATCTGGATGATCAAAGCCAACTTGACGCCCAGGCGTTTGATAGTCCATGCAGCTACTAGCAAATTGACAAGGCCGAATATCGTAGTCGATGATGCAAGTAATGCAAAAGCTCTGGCAGCTCCAGCGTCGATTTCGCGTCTCGCACACCTATCAGTAGCGTTCGGATCCGGCTCGTGATGTTCGTAATACGCATCGCAGGTCAATATCCGGAACGCGTATAGCATAGGAGCTTGCGTAATGCTAAATGTCAACGATACAAGGAATGCGCATAGTAGAGCGCGGAATAACACCGGTACGGCCGCTTTTCCTTCTCTTGGTTTCGGCTCCGGCTCATCGCGTGGTAGGAGGGGTGTGGTCTCCTCCTCTTGAATGGTCGGAGGACGTCGGAATTCTTGGTCGATAGCCATGCTTGAGGTTTGGCATGGGAATGAAAGGGAAAAAGCTTGGTGTTGGGAAAAGTCTTATCGTGATGCGCAGGGCGTCGACTAACGCTCTGTGGAAGCTGCGTCCGGGTATTGGCGGGGTAGCGGCTGCGCGTATCTCCAGACTACCCACACCGACTATATCGCGACCATCCTGTACTAGATGCGTTGATCCCGCACAAAGAGCCAGAATGCAAATTGCAGAATTCGGACGCTGCTGTAAGATAAAGAATGTCAGATGCGATGATGCAGAGCCCCGCGAAGACGTCAGCCTACAACGGCCCTTGCCACCGTGAACATCTTTTTTGCAACCCACTTTCCTCTGCTTTAGGGTTATTCATGACATTATGTCAGCAGAATGTGACGTGCAATACAATTGACTCTCTCGATATTGCAAGCACCAGCTTCACATCACAACCGGCAATGTTAGCTCGCTGACATAAAAAAAGCTAGACAAGAAAACGTTAGCTGATGCTGATGTATGATAGAAGAATGTTTGGAATCGATTGAGATGCGATACGAAGCTTCTATCCTCGTGTTGATGTACAATCGCTCAAAGTGGGGTATGTGGTTTCCTAATATATTTCTCCGTCCCAAAACAAACGCCGCTTATGCCGTCCGTCCAATACCCAATGCCATGCCGAAAGTTTTGAAAGTTTTGAAAGTCGTAGCCCCTTTCTCTTAATACACCAGCTTTCGCTGTTGTATTGAAGGAAGGTTCTGATAAAGTACAATGCCGAGTGTGTTTAGTTGCCGACAGTTTGAGTTTGGCTTGTTGTGCGCTTAAGCGAACTCGAAGCGCTCGTTGCAGTGCGACATCTCGCGGAAGCAGTGAGGGCACAGGTCAAGGCCCTGCGAGGTCAGGCCAAGTGCGGCAGATGCGGCGTGGAGAGTCTCGCGGGTTGATGTGGGTGCAGAGGTGGAGGCTGGGGTTGGGGCACCTGAGGCGCCGGCGGGAGTGGAAGAGACGGAGTCTGGATACATTGTTAGGAAAGACCAAAGCATTGATAGAGAGGCGAACGTACCCTTGAAAGAAGGCATTTTGATGGTGGTTGTTGTTTGGGTTGTTGATTCGGATAGGAGTATGATGGTATGACGTATATTATCTTCGTCTGATAACAAGTGGAATAGATGCAGATGTGGATGTGGATGAGGATGGGAGAAGCCAAAATCCCAGAGCCACAATCCCTCTTATACACCTCCACCTTCGCTGCGCCTTCCCAACATGACCCTGAATACAGTCACCAGCGAAAAATTGGCGAGCAAAAATCGTGCGCAGCAAGCACCATCCCGACTTGTCCCGGAACCGTTTCGAGAATTTGCGTCGAACGACATCAAGATGATGCGCCACGCTCGCCTCACGCGCGAAGTGGAGTGATGATAACGCGTGTGGCCCCACTGTTAGCCGTTAGTGCGGCTGAGATTTTCAGGGCCGCGAGCTTGAGGCTCGCCATCGTGCATTTGACATCGGCGGAAACATCTTTCCCGGCTTCGGAAAAGACTTCTTGTTGAGCGGTCGAGTGCAGTCCGAGTCGCGCTTGTCAAGTTTTTGATGCTCAGATAGAGTGATTAGTGGCTTGGACAGATGGAAGGTAAAGTCTTGTTTTCAACGGCCTCGAGACGGGAGATAGTCGGTGTAGCGTGTCTGTAATACCGGGCCTTCACATGTCAGACATGTTTTGGGCTGTTGCGGTTTCAGACGACGTCATCGCGTTCTCGTCATCGGGGGTCGCGATCTTGCGACGCCTCCACCAGCCTCGCTTATCTCTGACACTTCACATCGCAGTGCCATTACGTGACAGTCAGATGCTACGAATGAATTGCAGTGTCTGTGTCCTCATCCTCGAGTTCGCGATACACCACATTAATCGAAGGAGCGTTACTCATAATGTTTGACAGATGGCATGCAAAAGAAGTATGGGTCACATGGCTGTGAACCAGGGCGATGTACTAGCAGCAGCTATGAGAGAGATATAAAAATACGTCAGACTAGACAGGAGGTTCTCATAAGCGTCTGCATGCATTGGCAGTCCTTGACATATCGATGCAGTGGACGTTTCGACGCGTTCTCAGAGGATACGCTGAAGATGAGTTTACGCTAGTCTCAAACAGGATTAGTACCTAGACTGCCCGCGGGAAGCCACGATGCCTCCCCAACCGGCGTATGCGCTCTCTTGCCGTCTTTCCATCATCTGTATCCCAATTGCACCGAAAGCACTATATTCATGACTACAACCGTGTCTGAATGGCGGAGAAACCTCCGAAATCGCATCTCTCATCGACCCGATCAACCTTTGCCCTCATAGACCCAAGTACGTCCTTATTCCACCGCCAGATAGACCGCCACGCCTACCTCACCAGCGGGTTCCGTACCCACGTCGCGATATCATACGTGTGGAGCGAATGGCGAAATAATGCATTGGATAAGCTTCCGAGCTGGGCAGCGCTCCAGAAGCGGCTGGCGTCTCTTCTGGGAGAGCGTGCCTCTCCGGGCATGAAAGCCATCACGGGGAAGGCAACTCGCTGTTGGCTTGACTGCATGTGCATCGATCAGGAGTCGAGCGAGGACAAGTCATATTGGATACCGCGGATGGACGAGATATACTATGAGGCGCGTTGTACGATTCTGCTCTTGCGAGTACCTGGTTTGGATCTGGGCCCTGTGCTGCAAGTCAAGAGGCGCATGCACTGCCCCTTGTCTGGACCCCTGAGGCTCAGGGACATCGCGCAAATGGTTCCGCATAACTGTCTTCTGTGTCAATCTTGCACATCGCTGTCGGAACTTGACTCAGAGCTCGAAACGTCCGCTCTCGGTGCGCTGAAGATCCTATGTGACGCGACGTGGCGCGAGAGAGCCTGGATTCTACAAGAGATACTGCTCAGTCAGAACTACTTGCTCACTTGGGATGATAGTGGCGAGTGGCTCTCCCTTGCCGACACCGCTGTGATAGCTGCGCTCCTATACCGCCGTAATCTAGAAGAAACATGGCTGGACGGATTTGCGTCCTGGTGCCGCAGATTGTGGTATCTTCGGCAAAACTACGACGAAGCCCAGACGTACGAACTATGCGACGCGAATGTGTTGCAGCTAGCTTCCACGCTCAGCGCCACGGTACCTTCGGACAAGTACTATGCTTTGTGTGGCATGTTACGGCTCAAGCATATAAAGCCAAATCCCGAACATAATGCTAATGAAGCTCTTGTGGTTATTGTAGATGCCCTGGTTCAAGAAGGCCGGATGAGCTGGCTGTATGCTGTTCCACCGTCTCTTGAAAGCTCCATGCAACTTCAAGATGGAGAAATGGCACCTTTCGTTCTAACTCGGCTTGAAGATAGCCTGAAGCCCAATAAGAAACATAGGGCTGCCATTCAGTCCGAAGAGCTTACTCTTGACGCGATCCAACTCGGGCGCATCACTCAAGTGCTGCCACTCTCGCAGGTTTTGGAGTCAACATTCACCCACTTACGCGAGACCCGCGATTTTGACTTCCCCGAAAGCATGGCGTACTGCCATCGCGTGCCAGACATCATCCGAAGGCTTTCACTCGACTTAGTAGACCCTTTACTTCTTGAACCCACTTTCGGGCACATATGCAGAGCTCTTCAACCTTTTCATACCGTGAAGTCGGAAGCTCGTAAGGGATGGTTATGCGTAATGTTCCTCAGCTTCATGGATGAGCCTCTGATCCAAGAGATGTGCGAAGGGGCTGCGGAGGAAGACGTGCAGATTGTTAGGTCGGCAGCCGCATCGCTTCAGCGGCATCTGATGAAGATACGGGGTTTCTTCAGTGTTTTGCTCTGGACTAAAAAAGCGGAAGGAGACAAGTCCGTAGTAGTGAGTGTAGCGGTCTCGGGTTGTCCAGTCGATGCTCACATCTTCTCATTGAACGGCGAGCTCGACTCGATGTTTGCGGCTCGTTTGCTGGATCAAGCGAACGCCTATGATGAGTTTTGTGGCCCGCTATTGTCGTTGAACGTACGTGATACTATCGGTCCTCGACCTTCTAGACTGTTCACGACGCAGTTCTGGCGGAAGCAATCTTCCACTCCACACGTGAAGTCACTTCGTTTCAGATATAGAGGGGGCGATGAAGTATCGTAACATGTTACTGTCATTGTGTTTTTGTCATGTAACAGAACGAGGTACATACGAGCTCAAAGACACAAAGTAAGAAAACACTACTGAAATGCTCTGCCAATTTGACCTCCTTTGCATTCGGTATAATCTCATTGTCAAGCCAAGCCATTGACATTAGCTAGGCAGCCTCCCAGCGATGATGGAGATGTCTGTCCCGTACAAGCAATCCCATCTAATGGCCTTTGTTAAAATGATCACGCAGCTTGTCCTGGCGATAGAACATCTTGCTACAGTGAGGATGAGTGCAGGGAAAGAAGGGGCCGTTATGCTTCTTCATATGACGGCGGTACTCTTCACGGCGACGAAAAGTACCAGCGCATCCTTGAGGACACTGAAGAGGAGCTGTAGCAGTGGCATGCAGAACTTCGTTGTTGTTCAGCGGTATGAATGGAGCAACAGGAACTTGGGTGCGAAGCTGGGGTAGGAAAATATCCGGTGTGTTCCCGCTGTCGGTTTGCAAAGCAACGCTAATGTCGAGGGCAGATGAGGCTACGGCGTTGGCAAGACCCTGGTCAATGCCATGGATGCCATCGACGTCGACAAGTACTTCATCGTCACCCAATAGGTAATCGGCTGCACCGTTTAACACGGCGTGGGCGTCCTCCACTAGCGTAGGGTTTCCTACGCGGGTGTAGGAATATCGATATCCGTTATAACCAATGGAGAATTCGCTTATTGTACTGCCACGTTAGCACGGGTAAAAAAAAAACCTACCCGGGGCCAGCCTCGCCAGCCACAGGATGATGGTCCGGAACAATCCAGGCGGAGCGTCCATCACGCATTTGGTCTGACGTTCGAGTCCAGAGCATGTCAGATGGTCTTCTTGTCGTGCTCGAGAGAGAGTGGATCGGTTTCAATGACGAGATGCTGTTGTAGACCGGGGGATAGGAAGTAGTGCTGGAGCAGTTGAAGGTTTTGGAAGCTTTTTGGAGGGTTGTTGCGCAATGCTTTCGGTCAGTCGTAGTAGGTGAAGATCAAAGAATTGATTTCGAGAATGAGAACCGACCACGATGTGCGAGGCGGGCGACTCCCCGTGGACACTCCTTCGCCTTTGGGAGGCTGCGAAGGACCTCATACTGATTCGGCTAGTGAGAAACGCCACTGTGCCCTTCGATGCATCACGAGATTAGATATGCAGGCGAGCAATAGCGACCCAATCACTCGACTATCGAAGCCAGCTACGCGCTGGGGGCTTTGTGACGTGACTGTGCCCTTCGACACGTCACTGGGCTATGCCAGAGTAATAGGCCTCCGATGACGCTCAGCCTTGTTCATGCGTGGCTGACTTAGCAATGCGAAGACAAGGCTGAGAGCGAGGTTGACATTGAGGCTCAACTATCAAACAAAAGCTAAGGCGCACTATGTTGTCGTCAGCTTTGTGAATATCACACTACTCTGCAAATACATTTGGATGATGCTGACGTAATTGTTCCATTATTTCCACACAATCTTGCTCTTCTATTGGTCAATATACAGTACTCCAGCTATGATTGAGACTTTAGTGAGGAAGGCACAGTCTGAAGTAGGAGGAGCGGAATATGCGACGCAAAAAACGATATCATTACCCTCGTTCACATTCGCGGAATGCGAACGTACATACATGACCTTGACCTAACCGTACTGCTTCCCATCATCTCCCACCCTACCCTCACCAAATCCCCCATCCACCATTTTTCCATCAGACTACCCATCAACAACACCATAAATCGAAGTCCTTAGGTAAGGATGTAGCTGTACTTGTTACTGCCTACTAGCACCCATTCAGTGACACGCACACACTGCACCGCTACCTCGCGCCTCAGTAGTCTCCATCTGCTGCACGTCCAGCGGCTCCGGAACCAACTCACGCGTCGACTCCGAATACGACGTCTCATAGAAGCTCGGCGGAAGTTTTAATCGCTCGGTGAACTTCGACGTCCCAAACTCCGGCTGCATATTTTCAGAGTGAGGTTGGTCTTGCGGAACAGAAGCAGGAGCAGAAGCAGGGGAAGTGCAGACTAACGGAGTAGCAGGCGGTGTAACGAGGGGTTCGATATGTGGTTTAGGGTGGAGGCGGATGAAGTTGAAAGACGATTCTTTCTTCTTTGGCTTATTGATGGTGAGGGTGAGGCACAAGAGGTTCATTGTGGGCATGCTGGCATAGCAGGATGGCAGTATATAGTATAGCAGTGTGGCAAGATGCCAGGATGGCCTATAAAATTTGGGTGCGGTGAGTTTATGTACTGGTCGTGAACTTGGCGTTTCTGTTTACACGATGCTTAAGAGACAGTGCTGTCTCATCGTTGGGTTGTGTGGTTGTGAACGAACAGTGTGCGACATAGAATAGGATGTCTTACTCGGGATGTAGGTGAAGGATGACACTCTGCTTCATACGCACACTGTTAAATCATAAGAAGCAAGCATCTTCGAAGACAACGCGTGCCTCTACTTCGAACAACATCTATTTCTAAATGTGATATGAACTTTAGCCACCCGTAACACAGTCGCTATCCTTATAGCACAGGCATGAGTACTTCGCTCATCCATTTCCTCACATGTTCGCACAGCTGCTGCTTTTCATGCCCATTGCTATCCCCTGTGTTCCTTGTTCCCCAGCTTTCCTCGATATCGAATGCCAGCTTCTGGAAGAGCTTTCCAACCTCTTCATCTACGTTGCTCCAAACCAAACTCTTCAAGTCTCCATCCTCATGTAGCCAGTTCTTTAAGAAGTCCCCGTCAACGTGTTTATGTTTGGCACCCCGTTGAAGACTTTGCCCTAGATACCGTGGATCTACATCCCTAACCAAGATATCACCGTGTTGATTGCCAGGTGTGTTGTTCATGAGAACGTTAAAGATATCGCCACTACGGGGTTTGACCGTGTCGTGTTTATGGGCGCCTGCACGGTTGGTCTTGACCTCAATCAGGTTTTGTATCAGGCGGAGTAGTAGACGGGCGGATTGAGAGAGAATGGAGAAAGAGAAGATCGTACCATCGGTACAAGCGCCGATGATATCGTCGACAAGGACTCCGGTGATCTTTCCTGCAGGGTTTGGACGGCGCCAAGGTGGGCGAATATCGCCGCGGTCGAGACGGATCACAGAGCGGGAGAGACACGCTTCGAATAGAGTCGGCGAAGCGTTGCTATAGGTAACGAGAGGTGGCTGATAAAGTCCCGTCACCGAGCTGCTTTTCTTATCGGTAAGCAAGACGAATCGATCGTTCCTATCACCTTCTTTGTATGGCAAATCCATGACCAGATGTCGCGCGCAGTTGCGCATACCACTATCAGAGAACTCCCGCACAAACTCGAAAGTACCGGGTCGTGCTGATTCCATAACTTTGAAGCAGAGGTGCGAGTGCTGGAGCGTCGAAACGTAGACGAATGGCTGAATGACAGATATATGGATACCTGGAGAGTGCAGATCTGTTCTACCACGCTGAAACCATCGACCGGCTTCCTCATCGAAACGATCGATGCATAAAGACTTCCCGACGATACTGACTGTCGTCTGGTTATCCCATAGCGCTATACCATAGACTGGATCGTTATATGTGGACTGTTTCTGTAAGTCCAGCTTAGAGCCCGATTTGCCAGTGTTGAAGATCAGTCGCCTTCCGCTGTGCTGCGAGGCGCCGGTCTGAATTCCGGTACCAACAATGATGAGATTGTACCTCTTGCTTTCTTTGTTCAAGAACTGCCATTCGACGATGGAATAGACCCTCTCGGCGTTCATCAAAGGAGCCTGGGCAACGACTAGTCGCTCCACCGGCGCTTCTACTTCCTGTTTGATCTCGACGTCGTCGGTCGGTCTGTCGTCGCGTACCCTCAGTAACTTGATTGATGAGTGCAAGACTCGTTCGCCAGAAGGCGGCCCTCGTATCTCTTTCGCTTCCATAGTCGACACTAGTACTCGACGTAACTTCTGCATGTACAGTATGTTGGTCGGCTTGGCACCTGTGATGAGTTTTCTGGGAACGATTCTGGAGTGGTGCGGGAAACCAGAAGGCATGTCATGACTTGGCCATTTCACGTCTGCATCCAGTTGCGAGAAGAGAAGACGATCTCCGGCGACTGCAAACAGGAAGCCGCCGAGATTCCTCCCAACAACGTCCAGTTTCGGTAGAAATGGTAGTTGATAGATTGCGGATACTGGAGATTGATTGTACTCAGGGTGAACGCGGTCGGTAAACCATATGGAATCAATGTCGAGACAGGAGAAATTGCTTGAAGAGGGGCGCACTCGGCAGAAATCTGACCCACAAGAAACGAACGCTGCGGATGCATCGGTTTCGCTGCGGGTAATCTTGGCTGAAGCTGCGCCCATACGAGTGGAGCTCCAGGACAGGGGTGATATGACTGTATGATGTGAGAAACGTCTCGTAGTAGAGTCTTCTCAAACTTACCACCATGCTCTACGTGGATATGCGAACTCAGAAGAGTACCATCCCGCATCGCGCACACCAGAATATTCTTGCCGTCCTTGCTTAGAACTGCAACACTCTCACAGAGCTTCTGCGAACTGTTGAAGGTATCTTGGTCTTTCCAGGAGTCTTCCAACATCAACGAGGTCTTGTCATACGAGTACTGAAAGAGGAAGACCTTCGAATCGAACGTACTAACGAACACATATGGAAAACCGTTGATTTCCAGTGTCTCTACGCATGTGGGATCATGAGCTAGCTGGTGTTGGTATGAACTCGATCGGTCGAAGTTGCCGCTTTTAGAGATTGGTATGATCTCCAATAGCGCATGACCGTTCTTTCGAGACGCAAGCGTGATGAAAGGGCATGCAGTATGGGTGACAGCTAACAACAACGGAGAGTCAAATTTCAGAGACTCGACTTGTCTCAATGTTGGCCGGAGAAGAGTGCGGGCCTCTTGTCTCGTGATCTGGATCGATATCGTGTCAGACCAGGGACATGCCGAGATGGTCTCCTCTTCTCGCATCAGATCGTCTTCGAGCGGATCATCGTCGCTGGGTGTCTGGAACTTATCCCAGAAGCCCTCGTCCCATGCTCCAGTGGAGTCTGCGCGGCTCTCCGGTTGTGTACGGACGATACGAATTACCAAGGTCTCTGGCGGAAGCGTTATCGAAAATATGGCATAATGCTGTCTCTTCATCGTGCCATCGATATCTGCCATGTGACTTCCATGGTCAACCACCCATATCCCAGCGCAGCCGTTGATGCCGCTGAAACTATCGTCGACAAGAGCTTGTATGCCGCGTCGCAGCTCCGAGATCTCTCCATGTGGACTGTTACCGTTTGCGACGAAGATGGAAGACCGTTGACGTTCGTCTGGCGCGCGCGGACTAGAAAGTTTGGTTACTGTAAGGTCTGTAAGAGGGGTCCAATTCGGTATGCTATCGACGAAGGAGAATTGATTCGTGCTTGGATATTGCGCTGCATACGAGTACTCGGCGGGCCAGGCACCGACTTTGCAAAGCAACCCATCATTGCTTGCCCCACCAGCAATCAGAAGATCCGGGTATTGCTGCGAAATTTCTGAATTGTCGATACTCAAGCATGAGAAAGAGGTGTCGATTCGGTGTTGCCAATCACCAGCCTCGTCGATCTCCAGAGTGCCGGCTGGCCCGCGAACCACATATATAATACGGCCATCTTCTCTTGCAATGTAGAACACCTCCTTTTGGTAATCGGAGTTGCGTATCGCCTTATCCCAAGCGGTCCATCTTGGGGCGTGCCTGCCATCGCCTGGTAGTATTGATTGAAGTATGGTCTTGTCGATCGGCACTGTGGTATGCGCGGGATCTCCAGAGAGAATGTTTTTATAAATCGAGATGTGGTCGTTGGAGACCAAAAAGAAATCTGGGCTACGGCGAAGGGGTATGAGTAGAGAAGGTAGGGTGTCCTCTGAACAGGTCAGTAACACTCATATATTGCCTAGTATGTCTGTTCACCTACCATGCTTGACAAGGTATCGCTCTGTCCGCGGAGTTGCTTTACTGAGATCCTGTCTGCAATCCCAATCGAAGCAGGTGAGCCTGGTCCTTCCCTCAAGGACGACGACAAACAGTAAGACAACGTGATAATCGTCCTGTCCACCTCCCGATGATAGGAAATCCATGTGCATGATCTGCCCTTCAATAGACATGATTCGCTCATCTTCGATGGGCGCAGTGATTTCGTTGCTCATTCTGGAATCCCTTCTCCATCTTTCCATAGGCTTCGTCTTGTAGAGAATAAAGCGCCCTTCGTGTGCTGCGACTGCCATTGCTCGGCATTTGGGATCTATAGCGAGAAAAGTACCGAAACGATCGAAGCGGGAACTCCCTGCAGGTAGTTTGATGGTCTTCTGAATGAAGGTGGCAGTACCTGCCATGTTGTGTTGAGCCCACAAGAACATCAATGATCGGTTCGATAGAGTAAGCACGACGACTTCTGGAGGCAAGACGTCGTCTCTATTTCCTGTGGTTGATCTTCTTGTCCTATGCTTCGTAAAATTCTGATGCAGCGAAGGGCTGCCACCTGTAGTTGCGGAGACTTCACGAGAGTCGCCAAAGACTTTGGCGGTGATGATGCGGCCGCCGTTGAAATCAGTCTTAGAAGCCACATGGCGGATTTGACCATAGTCACGGATCTCTTTGAGACGTATAAAGTCTTCGCCGACCATGACAACGTCAGTCAGATCTTTGTGACGTATGTTCGCCGGGAGGATGAGTTTGCTTAACGGCGTCTCGAAGACAGTCTGCGACAGTATGCCATATTCCGGTACCTGGCTCATTGGTTTGGACGTTGCATCCCGCATTTCAACGTCATCTTGAGGGGCGTTGGCCATGATCTGATAAGGGTCGAGCGGCCTAGAAACCCACTCACCGTCGACGAGGCTGAGGCCGTGGGCTTGGGCCATGACCGCTGATTAATGCCTATTCGGAAGGCTGGAAACAAAGTATAACCTGAAGACCGAAGTCGATTGTGACAGATTCCACGCACAACACGGGATGAGATCAGACCAGCGTAGGTAGAAGCAACGAAAGCACACTGTTCAGAGCCGAAACGGATGACATGTTGCTGCCTGTCGCGGCAGGCTTGTCAGACACGCTGATAAGGCAAGGAACTTCAGCAATAGGTACTGGGATCAATTGATGCAACAGAAAGCTGGACGGTCAGTGGTGGTGAGTGGAATAGCAGCAGCGACCTAGAGCAACTGGAGCCGGGATGCCTTGACCAACTCAAGCCGGCAGCTGCAGCAGGCCAATGTAGCACCCTGGGCACCCTATTCAGAGATGGAGTTGCCGGATGTACCTACTACCAGCACGCAGCACGTGTAGAGCGCGGAAAGGCTCCTGTAATGCGCTTCAAGTATCGGAATAGGGTACCGATCTAGATCATCAGATGATCGTGCAGCAGGGAGTACGATCTTAGTCGGATCGCGGTCGGATCGCGATGGTTATGTGAGTTGGTTGCGAGTCCAGTGGTGCGGTGCAGTAGTTGACCGGGGTGCGAGGAGTCTTCCAGCAATGGTTGGTCGGCGTGAAGGTGTCGAACATGCAGTCAAGTGCCCAACACGGAATCTTTGGCGGCACGGCAGCGTCTCGGGCCTTGGTGGCCGCGGGCGAACAGGTACAGGGTGGGCGCAAGTGGTGTTGTTGGGTTACACAAACGTGACAGCGGATAAAAGATGATGGAGATGGGGTGGGAGACGGCAAGTGCCGGTAGTTTGACCTTCACAACTCGGTGGGGTGCCAAGCGCCTCGGTTGGACAAGGAGGAAGGCGCGACCCGTCACGTCAACCTGGCAGCTGGAACGCCTACGCGCAACAGCATGTAGTCTCTCCAACAAAGATCTTGCCACCCTCTTGCATCTTTTCCCTGCGCTCTCCCGCGCACACGAGGGCCCACGTTGGCCACGTCATCGCGTTCCAGCTCCTTCTTGCCGCTGCCGCGTACTAAGGGCACGTCTCGAGATGCGGGCACTGACATGGCATCACGCACTCCCTCTGGCTCCGTGTCGCGCTCAGTAAGCTCTGGCAGCTTGCCCTCACGACACGCTACCCCCATCCCCCACCTCACGCCTGCCGAGAAGGAGAAGGAATATCTAGTGCGCACCGCAATCGACAATGGCGACGTCACAGCCCTGGTAGACCTCGCGACCAGCCCCTCTGGCCTCGTCAGCGATAGCTTGCGTTGCACTGCCTGTAGGCCTCCCATTGCACGCATCTCCACCATAGGCTGATGATTATAGGGCCTCTCTTGCTAGGATGCTCTGACAAGGAGTCAGAGAAGGAGCCATGGAAACATCTCTCCGAGCACAAGGATGAGCATCAGGTTGGCTTGGATGTCAACCGCGCATTTGTCTACTACCCCAGGAACGGTATGTTGCATACAAGCGAACCACCTTCTGTTTCATGCTAACATGGTCAGAATCTGAGAAGCAGCTTAATCGTCGAAAAGAGCAGCTCTCCGATGTCATCCTCGACGTCCTGCGCCATCACCCCACGCTTTGCTACTTTCAGGGTTACCACGATATCGTCCAGGTCTTCCTACTCGTTCTCGGGCCCGAACATGCCCCCGCTGCAGTTGCCCGACTAAGCCTGCTTCGCATTCGCGACTTCATGCTGTCGTCGCTCGACCCAGCCCTTGCCCAGCTCGAATTGCTGCGACCGATCCTTCGCGCCGCCGATCCCGTCCTGTACGAGCACCTCCCCAAGAGCCAGCCTTCGTTTGCGCTTGCCGGAACAATCACCATGTTCGCCCACAATATACAAGACTACAAGGATATCACAAGGCTATTTGACTTCTTCTTGGCGCGGCATGCCATTATGCCCATATACCTCTTCGCAGCTGTGGTGTTATCCAAGAGGGAGGAGCTGCTGGAGTATGAGAAGGAGGATGAGGATATACTCTATGTCATGCTAGGGAAGCTCCCAGAACCCTTCGACGTCGAATTCCACATCGCCCGGACCGTTGAGCTGTACGAGAGACTACCTCCTACGTCGCTCAACAGTTGGGAGTGGTGGCGCATCTCGTCTTCCAGCGTACTCAAATCCTCTGCGACAAACAACAGTCTGCGTCATCTTACCTTGGAAGATGGCGAGATGCTGTTCTTGCAACAGGAGCAGGACCTCCGCCGCGCGCAGACCCTGAGACAAGCCGTCAAGACAATACAATACATCAAGCTGCGTATTTGGTACCACCGCCGGTACGGAGCTGTTGGTCTTGCCATGGTAGTGGGTGCCTATGCTCTATGGCTTGGCAGGAATGGAGGTCACAACACAGGATTCCCGCTGTTTGGACCATTGGGAGGGTACCTGATGAGGTTTCTCGGGGGCCCAGCATGAACGGAGCATCAGGAGTTGCGGATACAGCAAAAGTGGCTTCAAAGCATAGCATGGCGCTAGGGGATAAGATCGGCGTAGCAAGAGGAACAAAAGTTTGAAGAGTCGTTAGGCTCACATAGAGGTACTACCACATTGATAGATTGCCATTTGCCCTTTAAATCCCAGATGGCTTCTTTTACCTGCTCCCTTCTATCACGGTCTACACGGATGTGTGTTCCAAATTCCCGCCATGTAGTTCAAGCTTATCTCTCCCACAGCGCGTCCGTTAACGTCGCTAGAGGTTATACTCAACATCGCATTACCTAGTACCAGGACACTAACCACCACATTAGCCACTCCCCTTTTCCCGAACATACCCAACCCGACTGACCGTATCATGCAACGCACAAACCCACAGCTTACACTGCTGCACCTGCCCCTTTTGCGTCAAACCCGTTATGGTCTGTTATCCCGTTAGCTGATATCCTTTACTATCAATGCCACTCTCTGTCTCTCGTCTTCGTTACTAGTACGTACCCGCATACACATTTCAATATCCCGATTACACTTCCCCGAACCTGGGACCTCTGATAGAAGTGTTGCGGGGCCGGGGATCCATGCGTAGGTTGTGGCGCGGGGATTTGTGGTCGGTGTTGCGGCGAAGGCGAGGGGCGCTAGGAGGAAGGTGGGTAGGAGGATAAGGACGTGATACATGGCCTGGTGGTCGTAATCAAGTTTGTTTTCTTGGGTGGTGGGAAAAGAGTGATGGATAAAAGAGATGGTGAGAGAGTGGACCGTTCGCACTGGCGCTGTAAACACCTGTGTGATGCCGGAGTGAGGAGTGAACCGGAAGAGGGAAACGTAGACTTGGAGTGTCACTGGCTCGAAATCTCTCGATTCGTTTCGGTAGAAGGCTACAGATGATTATGAATAGGTTTACTCAAGGTAAAACATTTCGCCATATCGAAGACACATTGACGTCCCCCTTAGGCCTGTGTAGTTTCCACCACACATCAGTCCCGTCGCTACCTGCCTTTGTCATATACAAGCTGACATGCTGCTTCATTCCATCCTCTCATGACTACCAGTCAAAGTTGTCAGGCACTGGTGAACCGTGGAGCAGAGTGCGCAGATCCGGTTGTAGCACCTCGCCATAGCCAAGCTTATAAGTGCAGCGATCGCAGTCCTTGCACTATACAAAAGTTAGTCTGCTCCTTCTAGCCTTAAGAATAGTCCACTTACAGCCTCATCCGCGCACATGCTCTTGCGGTACTTCTCCTTAGTCTCGGCATCGGGTGAGCCCTATCAGCGCGTTAGTCATGGTTCACAAAGCCCAGGTGTATCGTCGTAGTTAAAGAGAACGGGGAGGGAAGGGGAATACCTACAGCAGTAGGGTAAAGATACAGCATGTACTCGCAGCTCTTGACCGTCTCACACACCCTATTGTCAGGGTAAGGGTACAGATACTTCGGAAAGCCCGCGCAGGTCATTCTTCCCTCGGGGAAAGCGGAGGTAGGTCCCTCGGGTTGGCAGCCACCAGCCCTGCTGCACTGGTACGGCTCCGACCAGGTACCGTTTTTGGCGCATTTGTACATGAAGCGCTGGTGGGTGTCGCAAGCCCAGTCCCCGTAGACGCACTCAGTGCTGTTGGTTTGACGTTGCATTTTCGGCCGACCCATACTACCTGTCTCGCAGTGCGCTTGACCTAGGCCGTCCGTGATGCAGTCTTCGTAGGTGGAGCACTTCTTCTCTGTATGCCACATCTCATCAGCTCCGCATAGAATTAAGGCGTATGCGTCAGAGTCGCAATTTCGATCTCCTGGTTTGCATGGCTCTGGTACGGTCGGGGGAGTTGGTGGCTTCATCCAGCATTGCACGACATCGTCATGCTTCACACATACCGAGGGACCAGGACACATGGTAGATTTCCAGACGTTGTCCACACACTCCTGACGTTTGTTCCCCGAGCAGCGAGATGTGCTAGTATCGCAATACTCGTGAGCATCTGGGGTTCCTTGAGAGATCCATGAGCGAGAGTCAAGAGCTTTGGGGGGAGGACCAGTGGACAGGATATCAGGGTCGAAGACGCACTTCGCAAGGCCTTGACTAATGTATTTGCCAGGCACCCAGTGCATACAGAACTCTTCAGGCCCACAAGTGCGGTAGGCAAGCCAGAATTGATCATAGTTACAAGTCTCGATGTGGTAAAGACCATTGGACCAGTTTGAGCATCGCGTCTCGCCCACTGTTTTGCAAGGCTCAGGTTGCGGTGGAGTGCCAGGAGGAAGAGGCACTGGCGGCATTTTTTCGGTCGCGCAGGAAGTCTTGTTCATGAGTGCGTTGCATACTCCAGGTATAGGGCATGCTTCAATGGCTTTCCATCGGTGCTCGTTGCTGCATTCAATGCGCCACTCATTGCCGAGGCAGCGCTCTTCGTCGGGGATGTCGCAGGTCTCGATACAATGACCCGGATCATTGGGGTCGTTGACGTCAATGGCACAGACTGCGGTCTTGCCACAATGTTGGACCCCGAGGTATTCGCTGCCGTGGTCATCGCACACCACCACGTCGTTGTAGTCGCATTTTCGAGTGCCTGGCTCGCAGAATTGGTGTGAGGATGGAATGCTGGCAGAGAATACCGCTGGTAGAACCATGGCCAGAGCCACGAAGAGTTTATTGAATCGCATCGTCAGTGAATATGTAGGATGAGATGGTAGTGGAATGTATTGGTAGGAGGAGAGAATTGAAGTTGATGGTGCAGGAAGGAAGAAAGGAGCGAAGGAAGTCAGTCTGAAAAGCTCATCGAGGTACAAAAAGAGACCAGACTAAAGGCATGGCGGTGTAGAGGCAACGGCTGCCTCATGGTCTGAAGCAGGTGATAGGTCAGTAGTGAGGGAAAGAATCACCCTGATACTGACAAACGCCGAAATGAGCCAGTGATTGAACTCTTTCTCGAGAATTTGCGCCATCGGTCAACCTTTAGCCTATCGAGTAACTTACAATACGATACTCTAGGTCCTCAATGCATCGAGCCAAGCCTTCTCCGCTCTCAGTGTTTGCGCTCCGATACGCAGTAATTTCACAAGGTAGGCATAGCTAACATTATCTAGACGCGATTGCTTCTATCAAGTCTGATTGTGTCGCTTACGGGGAGCACATGGGAGTAGGATTGAGGCTACTTGTTCAAGGGAGAATTGAGAAAGCGAAAGCAGAAGTCCACGTAACAAACCTCCAGCGAACTCTACAATGCGAACTCCAGCTCTGCACAGCCGGTCCCCTACATTGTGGCCTCAACGGTGCATGCGAGCGCCGGATATGCAAAGACCTCGCTAACCGTGCTGACTTTCTCGAACCGGTATATGCAATGGAGTGTAAAGACTGCTTGCAGTCCTGGGTTAGATGCATACACGACAGATGTATTCGACCTACACTTGACGCTTCAGCGGATAGCATACGCTTACCTAATTGCTCCAAGAACCACACACAATGTCAGCAACAAACATGGCAAGAGATAAACGCTTCGCTTGCACCGGATCGAAACTGTGTGGAGTCTTCCTGGGGGCGTACCCCAACCTATTGCCAGACTGATTCTTGTACCTTACCCTTTCGCTCTTCGGGGGCGCAAAACTCGACTTTGCTTTCGCTTACTCCTGCCCGAGATGGCTTTAAGACCTCATCTTGGAGCTGTAGTGCGTTTCGCGATACGTGTCTGGAACCCTGTGACCTGGGTAATGCTCACTTGAAGTGCGAAGAAAAGTGCGAAAGGCTCCATGGTAAAAAGGAAGGGTTCAGGGAACTCTGTGAGAAGACAGGCGGGCAAAGGACTTGCTGGACCGAATGCAGAGATATGACATGCTGTGTAGGACCAGAGCAATGTAGAGAGGGTGGAGAGGCATATAGGTGCAACAACAGACTGAGATGCGAGAAATATAGGAAGATGGTGGAGGGCAACATGATGCTGCGCGATTAGCAATTGCTATTTTTCTACCTTCACTGTACTTATTAATGTCGAGTCACTATTGGAAATTGCATGTTGACGACGATGGCGCATCCATGTTGGATCATAATCGATGTATTGAAAAGGATCATAGGCCTGCGACCTCGATTTTTGGGAGAACTCCACCCAACGCCTTGCATGTAGCTCATGATATGGGAAAATATAATAGCAGTTATAGCAAGCTGGCCGTCCTGATCGTGCCCGCTGCATCCCCTTTGGCTGAGCGTCGGCCTGCATGAACGCCGTCATGCGCATTGATGTCGTATTTCGCCTCTTATTTCGGACCTGAGCCATATCCAGCGCTGTTCTTTGGGTCTTCAGTAAGCAAATCGGCGCTATATACACGCTTGTAGTCCTGCTCACTCCAGCCCTGTTGCTGCGCAAGGCCGCTGAGACTCAAGCCACGCGAACGAGTCTTCTTAACTGCATCGCCTTGAGAGGCACCGACGGGGGTAGATCCGTAGTTAAGCGGCACTACGCCTTGGCCGGGAGGTGGGAATGGAGTGGAACCTGTAGGCGATGCGACTGTCTGGCCAGTGGTGACGTTGTCGGGTACTTCAGAGTCGGCAGAGAAATCAGATGAGACGGATGCTTGCTGCGCTCGCTTCAGTGCGTTCTCGTAGTTCGCTGAGCTTGCTCGAGCCATGCCAGGCCGACGGTAGCCAGTGTATGCCCGGGCAGCTTCAGTTGGGCCATTGTCTGTGGTTGTCTCGTTTCCTCCACCAGCACCCATTAAGGGCAGAAGGTTTGGGTCAGGGGCGGCTGCGTCGGTTTGCGAAGTGCTGTTGGAGGTGAAGGCGGCTTCGGCTTGAGAACGTGTGTTGGGTGTGAGGCCGGAGGGAGTAAAGGCGCCCGATGAGAGGAAGGAGCCCTCGCTGGGCGGCATGAGAGAAGGTCGTGGGCTCATGGTGAAGACGGTGTGTGCTGTGAGTTCTTAGTACGCTGCAAGACATTATGGCTACACCTAAGCGTAAACATACGTGAACTACTATTAGGGTCTAGGCGGTGCCGGGTCGAATAGTGTGATTGGTGGGTACTGGTTCCCTGTCTTTCAGTCAGCAGCGTCATCCCGAGAGGCCGTAGAAGGACCGTACCGAAAGTTCAGGGTCTTTGGTATGCAGATGCAGCAAAAAGAATCGTAATTGTTCGTTCACTTCGGTCCTAAGCGACTGCCATGTATTTGAGCAACAGCGGCTGATGCTATGCCATCATATCTTGGCGGGTGACGTCTTTTCAGGGTCCAGACTTGCGGGGCCCTCTAGCCGCATATGGCAGCTTCTCGTGCAGCTCAATCAACGATGAGGGCGATGGCGGCGAGCCGCAAGGGTTTGTGCTGATCGCTGACATGCGTACTGTGGAGATGGCTCCATTCAATAGGTGGGCATGGCGCGGTCGAGGTCTTTAAGCGGAGAGAAGACGTGCAACATGCATGTCACCGCGCGTTAGGGCTGGTGATACTCGGAACACGGGACACAGGTGAGTACTGGATCTGTGAATTCCTCGACTAAATATCCAACAGCCATCTAACCACTCACTCCTATTAATTTGAATCGAATCATCGGAACAATAACCAAACCAACCATCGACCAAATACAGACATGGTGGCTACATCGCCGATCTACGAAATCTTGCCATAAATAGCCCCTTGCTTCCTGCTCAAAACCGCCCAACAAATCTGCCGCAGTTAAGCCTCCAGACCATCTGTCATGTCATTAGATGAGGATCTCACTGTAGGGTGTAGGGGAAACAGATGTCTTACCTCACTACATTAGCCGCGAATCATCCGACAGTTGTCGAACTAGAGGCCAGAGTGGCAAACACCAATGGCGGCGGTAGTAGCACCACCAACCTTCGCAGTGCATTCAAAATAGGCAGCATAAACGTCTGCGAGAGCAAAGCCAGCGGTGCCTTCAATGGCGGCCAAAGCAGCGCCAGTGCATCCAGCGATACCGGAAGCGCCTGCGAGCCCAGCAGCAACGACGCAAGAGCCACACGCCCAGTTCTGGAAGCAGCCGCTTCGGCCTGACTTGATACGCGCATCGTGAAGGGCAAGCGCCTGACGCTCCATGCGACGGACAGAGTCGTTGCGAGCGGCAAGCTTGTTGCTGTTGACTTCGGATACAGCGTCGATGCGGGCGGCTTCCGGGGTAACCAAAGCCGAGACCTCGAGCGAAAGTTCGGTGAAGACGTATTCTTTGACATGATCCGGCCAGGCCTGGACGGCTTCAATGGGTTGCTGCAGGAGGGGGCACCAGTCTTCTACGGTCATCGTGACATAGTCGATAGTGTTGAGGAGGTCGACCATGGCCTTGATCGGAACATGGACTTTCTCGGCAATGACTTCGATGGGGATTGCGTCCATCACGGTATGCCCAAGAGATTTTCTGCTATGGTGGGTCTGCATTATATGATTACTTGCCGGTGAGGTATAGGGCCTTTACATGACGAGCTCAGCATACTTGGTTTCATCTGCTCGAATCAGTCACAGCCGTATCCAAGGCTTAGCAATGAGAGAAAGCCGATACTTGTTCATGGCTTTGATTCTTGGGGTCGAATGAAGTGCCGTAGGATGTGTCATATATGAAAGAGGAATAAATTGAAGCTGTTGCGACAGCTATAAGAGCTGAAGGAGTTGCGCAGAAAGCAAATATTCCTCAACATCTACAACGATCACTTTCAAGTCTTCCATCGACTCATCCCAACCCAACGACATGTTCTTCAAGACCATCACCCTCGCCCTCTTCGCATCTTCTGCCGCCTTCGCCGCCTCCATCCAGCAGAGGCAGCTCAACCCCAGTGTTCAGCTCTGCTCCAACAAGGACTTCAACGACTGCGACAATGTGAACTTTCACTTTGGCATCTGTGGTAAGTCTTTCCCAACTTTCCATGTCTCTTCGATGTGGCAGCTAACATACAGCAGAGGCCGCCGCAAGGCTGAACGACAAGGTCAGCTCGCTCAAGGCGAACGGCCATAACTGCATCTTCTACAAGTCAGCGATCGCGGAATACGAGCTCACGGTTGCATTAGCTGACTGCTTCATAGCGATACCGGTTGCCGAAATGGAAACGGCCAGATTGCTACCACCGGCGATGTCGCCAATATTCGTTCCGATGGTTCCTTCTCCACTACGCACGATGATGTTTCGTCGTTCTTGTGCAGTATCTAAGGGTTGCCTTCGGGGTTTCCTTTCTTTCTTTCCGATGCTTAGCAATTGTTGGTGCTATTGTTCTAGTTCGAGATGAGCTTGGTGCGCGAGCTCGGTACTTCACTGGAACACAGCACGGGAACGTCAGGATGGGACTAGCTTTCAGCCCACACAGCTGAAGATGTGCGCAATTTTGCTTTCGATCTCTTTCCTTGGAGAGACTCTTTTTATAAGTTGGAGGTTTAGTTAGGGGATAGGTTATGTAGCACGGAGGCCTTTTGGTTTCATAGTGAAGTATTTGTCTGCTGAACTCAGCTGAATAGGCATTCTTTTCTTAAGACAGCATCAGGATGCTAACATGCAGGGCTTCGGCTGAGGCCAGCCACTCTAACCAGTGAAAGTCTAAACAGATCTGAAGACTACACTGGTATAAAACGCGAAAATTACAAACTCTGGCGTTGACGTAGCCTCCAAGATAATTGGTTTTCTCTTTGATTGACGTGGGGCAGTTTTTGGAGGGATTGATCTACATGTATCGGCCCGATCCTGGCACGTGTCCTTGCCATCAGTTTTCCCACGAACATAGCAACAGTAACAGCATCTTGGTGATCAAGCTTTTCGGTAACGACTGTTGTATTTTGATCGATAAAACTAACTCCAATCATATTGGTCCCTGCGTAATGAGTGGCTGAAGGAAAGGTTACAATTTGGTGAGGCACAAAGAGATCCAACACTTCACCCAGCACGCCAAATTTCAACAGACTTCCCAATACCATATTCCATCGCACATGCATGCCGCATCGGGGCAACGCCAAAAGCTCAACCCTTACAAGTTCATCTTGTGGCCTTGGCGGACGTGATCGCGAAGTTTGTCCATGCGGTCAAACTTCTTGTTGCAACCTTCGACAACGCATCTGAGAGTGGGATCTTGGTGCTTCCGCATGTGGCGGCGGCAATCGCCAACACGACGGTATGCCTTGGTGCAACCATCAATGTTGCATTGGAAGCGCGGTTCGACCGTGCGGCGACGAGCAACGGTAGGCGCACGAAACGGTGGGGCGATAATGTTTGGCTGGACAACATCTGGAGCGAGTGCGGGAGCGATGGGCTGGAAGGCCTGACCAAGTCCTGCCGTAGGGTAGGAGGGTTGGGTCAGGAATTCGAAGGGGTCGAGCTGCGGAAGCATCTGCGGAAAGAAGCCATCACCAAACGGAGGGTCGATGACAGGATCTTCGAACACATGCCAGTCTCCGAACGTGCTGGCTTCTCCAAGAAGACGACCCTGGGTAGGAGTACCGTCGGTGACAGAGTCATATAGACCGGAAAGGCCGCGGGGTCCTTCAGCGGGTGCAGCAAGGAAGTACCCCTGCATGCCTGCGGTAGCCTCATCGATGATAGGGTTGCCAAGATCCTGCGGGTATGCATAGTCCGTGCGGATACCGACAGTATGCTGGGAAAAGGCATAACTACTTCATTAGAAAAAAAAAATTACCTGTGATTTGCTGCACTGCCACTTGTCTGTGCACATTCAGCTGGTGGCGACAGTGCCAGTTGGTGGTCGTGCCCGTCGTTGACGATCTGTCCGTTCAGATCCCGAAATTCCATCAGGTCGTCGTCGAATGTAACCATGTCGCGCGGTACCATAGTGTTGGATGTCTTCATCGTGGGTGTAGTTTTGACACTGGGTTGTCAGAAGCGCACAAGGAGAATGCGCTGCAGCTCGGTCAGGTAGTCGCAGGTTGCAGGTAGATCGATGGGTAAAGTGTGAGAAAATAATGAAGGTTTGAAGGGCTGGGACAACACTCAGACGAAGAGTACGGAAGACACACAACAGACGGTGAGTGAGAAAAAGGGCGACCAATGGTGTAGCGGTGATGCAAAGGGCGCCTCGCCGCTGCGTGATTGGACAAACTACCTTCTGCGGGACTTCAGCCTTGCTATGCACACCATCGAAAAGCCGCACTCAAGAGTACAGCCTTCCGCCAGCTTATACAAGGGAAAAGCTGAATACCCACCCCGTAAAAGCCTACATGACCTCAATACTTTGTTAGTATCAAATTTTATGCTATTGTAGACAGCAGTACATCTGTTCAGTCTTGTAAGGTGCCGCTAAGTGGGCAACTACGGCGAAACACGCACCATGGACTCGAGCGAGGTTTTTGGCTGCAATCAATGTTCCAAATGTTTTTACACCTTAAGTCGCTACAAGTAAGCTCACAAGGCGATGTTCTTCCAGTGGCTGCTAACATGACACTAGTCAACACCTCAAAACGCATACAAAGCCCTTCCAATGCAGCGAATGCGTACGAAGCTTCGCTCTGCGTTCCGACCTCACCAGACATGTGCAGGCACGGCACCGAATTGGCGTAGCCCGACATGCGTGTGTCGTTACGGGCTGCTCTTTCAAAGCTTCTCGAAAAGACAACATTCGTCAGCATGTCAAAAACAGCCATGCACAACTGCTCCTTGACCCTGGCAAGCCTAGATCAGGTCGTCGTCGTCGAGCGAAACTAGCTTCAGTTGACGTGCCATTAGACGTTAAAGACGAGCGTGCAATTGTCTGCACATTAATGCAGGCAGCATCGATGGGTAATGTTGGTCTCTTACGAGCCATCCTGCAAACAGGCATCGACATCTCCGCGCAAGCTGATGATGGGTCTACCGCTTTACATTGCGCTGCCAAAACAGACCAGATCGAGATTGTCAATCTTCTCGTCAAGATGGGAGCCCGGACAGACGTCGTAAACGACAAGGGAAGAACACCTCTACATGAGGCGATATTGGGTCATTGCACGCACACTTTCGCAACCCTTGTGGGGAGGAGAGCAGATCTCACGCAACGTGTGATAGTTGCAACAATCGAGACGAACCAGTCCCAATTCTTTCAGGATGCGTGGGCACTTTGCGGCGAGGAGATGTTTCGATGGTTCGGCAAAAAACTATTCGCGATCGCAGCCGATTCCACCAACACAGCATCCATGGCTACGATCTTGTTGTTACCCAACATTACCCAGCAATGGATCGAGAGCGCAGGTGGATTAGTATTACGGCGAATTATTCACAAGAACCAGGAAGCCATGCTCGAATACCTGCTGAGGTCTGGAAAGTTGGATGTCAATACGGCTCTTGGTACGCCCTATCATGAAACGCGCAGTCTTCTTTACCTCGCCGCTGCCAGGGGAAGAAGCGAGATTGTAGGTCTTTTGCTCGAATTTGAGACCATTGATCTTGACCTGGCGGTTCGCGACGAGATCTCATCGCCGCTGGGTATTGCTGCTTGGAGAGGACATCTCCAGGTTGTCGAAAAGCTCCTACAATGCTCTGGTATTGTTGTCGACGGCAAGAGAATGCGTCAAGAAAATGCAACAACATCTCTGCATCTCGCATGTCGCCGAGGACATGTAGGAATCATAGGGCTGTTGCTCAAAGCCTTCGACGACCGAGGACTCGATGTCGATATCCAGGACACATCTGGCCTCCGAATAACGCCACTGCAAAATGCTGTTCGCAGCGGACACAAAGAGGCGGTAGCGCTCTTGCTACTTCGACGGGACGTCGGTGTCAATCGAGCCTTTGTTCGCTCAGGGATGACCTTGTTGCAGGCGGCAGCACAGGGTGGCCATGGCAAAACGTTGAGTGTATTACTGGGGGATGGCCGAGTTGATCGAAACGACGTGAGGAACAGTCGACAGTCGCTATTATCTGATGCGTTATGGGGAGGACACTGGTGTTTGGTAGAAATCCTATTTGACTACGAAAGTGTCCCGCTGAACATCACTCGCCAAAGCTTAAATCTTGCGACAGAGCCGTCTGGAAAGCGCGTCGATATCTTGGAAAGAGGGTTACTCGAAATAGCGTCTCTTCCAACCCGGGACAATAATGCCTGGCATCGAGCTGCCCGTACTGGCGACCTCAGTTTGGCAATGCTCTTACTTGAACATGCCCAAAAGCACGACAGTTGCTCCCAGCCCATGGTGGATGTCAATCGTAGGAACTGGCACGGTCAAGCACCATTACACGTCGCCGTGGAGTCTGGGAAGATCGACATCATAGAGCTCCTACTCCACCACACACAAATCGATGTAAATCTCACTTTGGGGAGACCGCATTGGCAGCGCGGCCGATCTGCCATAGAGATCGTCGAGAGAGGGTGGTACAAATACTGGCGCTATCACAAGGAAGAGCGTGCTTACACAGTAGAGCTTCTGCTGGCCCATGGTGCACAGACTGCATCGCGTAATCGAGCAGACAACGCGAACAAGGTCGTTCTCCCACTCTCAGATATGGGTGTGGAGGGAAATGTCCAACATTTGTCTGAACATAGCGAGGACCTTAGAAGGAAGAACCATGCGTCATGGGCTTCAGTCGTTGGAATACATGACGGTGCTGGCGGACCTGGAGTAACGAACGTGGAAGACAAGAATACAGTTGGCGATAACATCCCATTCGATATGGACGATTCGATGGTAGAAGACCCTGACGCGATATTCGAGGAATGGATGTGCTTTGACGATGAAGAACCGTCCGGCAACAACAGCAGTTTGGAGATGTGGGAGCGAGAGATGTCGCTTGAGCAGCCCGGTACCTTCGCCTCCTTATAGAAAGTACGCACTACCTGGCATGCGATTCGTCTGTATGTGGATTGAACTTCGTAGGAGCAGTCGGTGATGGAGGCATCGCGAGGGTTCGTGAGGTTCGTGGGGTGCGTATCGGTTTTTGCACATGGACTGCGTTTCTGTATCTGCTCGCCGTGCGCTAAGTCAAAAGATCTCATGGAAGGACTTGTATGCGTTCCCGTTTCTAAATGAGTGAGCGAAGAGATGTGGCATATCGCGGAGGCTCAATGGTAGAAAATCGATTGCGAGTTGCCGCGTCGCTGCTGTGTATCTTGCGTATAGCACGACCTTAACGCGCCGGCTGCGGTAGCGCCAAGCTGCTGGCGAAGCTTGCAACACGACGGGACCTTGGGAGTCTCTCCAACTAACCACCACCTTCAGCTCTACCACGAGGGGCTATTCACCCCTTGCCCACAGATGATTCCCACACTGAGCGTACGAACATTGAACATGTTGATAGTCTCTCCTATTTGGGCGTAGCATAAACGTGTGTCAGCACTATCCGAGCCCTGGAGGCGTCGCGCGCAAGAGCCCAGTCTATCATTGTCTGGGCCAGATGCTGAGGATATGTAGATTCTCGCTGACCAGAGGTGGTCATCACAGTTGTTTCCACCGGGATATCGATGCCGCTTCGCTATGTTCCAATCAACGTGTAGGGCATACGACTGGAACATGCCCGCGTCTTAGATGTACACCTACGCTCGCCGTGTCAACCGCCCGTGTGCCCGAAATCACTTCAGCGCATTCGCAGGGCTGAGGAAGAGTATAGAGATCTTACAAAAACGCCCAAGGGAAGACACGGTGGCTCTGAAGGGTCATGATCCTAGAACAAGAGGGCTTGGGACTTTTTTGGCGAGGGCATTGAACACTCATGATCCAGGGTAGGGAGTAAAGACACAAGGGCTGTCGAAAGAAGAGATTCTTGGCCACTTTTTCGTGGTCAAATTCGTTGGACATAAAACAATGGTCTATAGTTTGGCTTTCGCGATGATGTGACTTGCTACAAGTCTGCAGGCACAGGACTGGGCTTGCGCATTCAGTGTCAAAGGTGGTTACAAATGGCTATGTGTGAGATTATGCCTGCAGCACCCACGTCTCATTTATATTCGCGCTGTTGGTACGTCTCTGCATCGAACTCATCGTCGACCACTAACAGATCCCAGTTCCAGACCACTTCGCCTGTATTCTCCCATCGTGATCCTCTCCACCCATAACTTCACCGCGTTTCAGCGTCTCAAATTTGACGATCACTCCCTCCTCACTCCAGCGAATACCTACATAAGTCCAAGTACAATGGCTATATATACTGGGTGAAAGCGTTATTGTAGGGCCATGGCGCTGGGCAGCTCTCAACACTATTAGCGGAGCCATGCACAACGCTAAACATCTTGCACCAGCAATGTCAGCTTTCTACTTCTGGCCTGATGGCCCGCGGAGTTGCCTTTGGTGAAAAGTTCTTCCATGTGAACTTCGGCAGTGTGCTGTCGTTACCGATGATCACGTTCATTCGGTATTTTCACCGAACACGAGTCCGTAGACCAAGCGAAGAAAAAACTTTAAGATGAAGTGAACGAATACGAAACGGAGGTCTTGTTGCGCATGAAGGACGATGGCGAAGCGAGGCTAAACTGCTTTGCGAAGACTTCCGGGAGAACTCGCAAAGAGTCCGGAGCTGAACTCATGCCGCAAGGCTGAAACCAGCCACAAATTTACAATATCTAGCTTATTTCCCAGATAAGAAGCATGGGCCAATAAAGATTCCTTGGATGGAGGATTAGCTATCATTCCTTTCCAATGGTCACTGGGTTAAGTCGTGCGCGATACTAATTCGGGCCAGCAGAGTGAGCGCCCCCGAGTACCACCACAGCCACTGCGCCTTTGCACTACACAAGCTTACTACGTATTGGTCCAGCCAGCAAATTTAATACCACCCCCACAGACGATCCTCAGCCGCACCGACCCAGGCTCGCCCGTTGTAGCAATACCGTTCCTTTAGGGGGCTTCGCACACCGAGCGGGTAGGTACACATACCGGGACATGGCGCGCGACGCGCATACCAAACTTCTTTCTACCCCAGCAATACATCACTCAATCACTCATGATACTCTTTAAACATCTGTTCGCGCTTTCGTTCGTTCTTTGCGTTACTTATGGCGATGGGAACAATCCCATGAGCAGTCCTGCAGCCGGCGAAGTCATCGAAGCCGAAGAACCGTATATAATTTCATGGTTCAATGGCACACCAGGTCCTGTGTCGATCGATCTTCGTTTCGCTGATACGACGGCGGTGTTGATAACAAGTAAGGCTTCTCCAAACTGCAGGCTTCAGTGACGCAGGAACCGTGCTTCAACTGAACGAGTGCTAATAGCTCTAGGTGAGACGCCAAATAACGGGAGCTATACCTGGATACCATCCGGTGTGCTTGCAGGCAAAGACAACTATTTCATGGCAATCTGCGATGCAGGCGTGAACGACTGTACCTACACCTTCAATGGACGATTTGCGATCGAGGATGCGGCAACCTTGTTGTCTTCATCGAGTTCAACGATCAGCAGGTCAGTTACACTATTAAGTGTCGCTGTTACAATTTATCTATGAAATATCCTTCGCTGACAGTGTGGTTGCAATACAGTACCACCCTCATTACGTCCTCATCAACCTCCAGCGCTGCTACCAGTTCAACTCCAGTTCTCACTACCAGTGAACCGAGCCCAAGCGCAACAACGTCTTCCTCGCCACCTCAAAGCACGAATTCTGGTCTGCCCATAGGCGCGAAGATAGCGATAGGATCTGTATGTGGGGTCGTTGGAATAATTCTCATCCTGCTTGGAACGTTTTGTTTACTGCGCAAGCGCAAGCGGAGCAAAGCTGCATCGGAACCGCGATTTGTACACGCAGAAGCAGAAAAGGTCCCCGCCTTGAAGACTGATAATGGTGCATCTGGAGGAGACATGGCGGAAATGAGCGAGTTGCATGATGTGCCAGTGAAGAGATCGAGGGTAGAACTGCCTTGATCGATCAAGACATGCGCAGTAGTGAGGCCTGTTGTAATAAGTTGCGAGACTGATATGTCTCTTTGTATGCACATTTTGACTTAAATATCTACAGCGAAAGTAATCAAGAAATGTCCATCTATCGTCCTAACCCATGCGATCGTCCCAGACGCACTCAACATCACTTGCCTCATCACCTCGCCAAACATTTCCAGGCACATTCTTCGCCGCGACAGCAGCTCTGAGCTGGGTACCTAGCTCAGGCGGACCAGAACCGACGACTTGCGTTCTACCCTTCTCGACTGTCTCGGTCATGAATGCGTCGACCAAAGAGGGGATATCCGGCCGTGTATTGTTCAGCCATGTGATAGTGAAGTTGGGGCATTGGCGGCTGAGCTCCTCAACTTTGCGGTCGAGAGACATGGAGTCAATGGAAGAGGTTTGTGACAACGAACCGCCATCACCGAAGTCCTTGTCCTTGTCGCCATGGAATGGATGAGATGGCTTTTGGTACTTCGTTGTATCGGGTCGAGTTACGAAGATGCGGATCCTGAAGCGCTTCTTCGATTCCACTGATACTATCGGTGCCTTCTCTAGCTTATCCTCGGTGTAGGCTCGATCTGCACCGGCACCATCAAGTTGCGACTTCAGATAAGCCAGTTCAGGTGCGACCCAGGCCAGATTTTCCAGGTGCCGCACTGTCCAGACTAGTTCGATGTTGCGCGCAGGGGAAGCGTCGCTTAACGCGTGCATGATGACGGGAAGGGTGTATGTAATTCCGGTACCGCCGGAGACAGCGAGCACGTTCGAGACCTCGTCATTCGTAATGGCACTGCCGTAAGGTCCCATCATTATGACTGGCGTCGAGGCATCGCGGCGCGGGTAGCACATCGCGGCTTGTCCAGCGAGAGCAGCGAGCTTGGCAGTCTCGCCTTTGCAGGCGCGGATGATGTATGTGTGACTTTGCATCGGAGATGAGCTTGTAGGATTTGAGGCAGGGGTGAAAGGATGCGATTGCCAGATGTTGAGCGCAGGGAAGGTCAGATAGTAGTGCTGACCGATCTCCCAGGCTTTGTGGCTGTGAGCGAATGTCATACGGACAATGGTACCGGTTGGGTCCTTGAATGTCTCCATGGTTGTTGGGATGGATCGGAAACCGAGACCGAGACTCCCGTTCTTATACCCGGTGTGTATGAGCCAAGTTCTAACGGTACGAGCGATGAGGTCCAAGCCCATAATGGCCAGTGATGCAATCATCCAGCATGAAAGCTTCTCCCAATGGCCCCAGCAGGCTCCCAGGTAAAGACCAGCGACGATGAGATGCGACTTGCGGAAGAACTCGTAACCCGTCCAGCGGATTACAGGTCTAAGACTGAAGACGAACAGAAAGGTGATGAAGCCTTGCGCAATACAACCCCAGATCATGTACTTCTGACTGATGAATTCTCGGTACGTTGTTGGCTGGGGTTGGTAAAGCTTTGCTTCGACAATCGTCCACATGATGGCGTGTACGAAAGATTGCACAAGGATGATGCGGCCTGTCCAGCGGTGCAAAAAGTTGAAGCTTTGATATGGGATACCTGTGACCATGCTGAGCATAGAGTCGCGGCTACACAGGGCGATAGTCAAAGGAGTCAAAGCGAAGGCAAAAGCACCAACGCGATCGGCAAAGCCACCAATGCCGCTGCGGGTGTTGTGTAGGTTGGTGCCTTTGACGGGTGTGATCCATGTCTTGTAGGTGATCCCGGTAAATCTTTGATCGTCAGCTGTGTTGTGCCATAAGGGTAATCTGACTTACGAAAAGACTGTCAAATAGACGCAGAGCACAGCTAGTATCAAAACCTGTAGCCTTGTAGTGTATCTGAACACTTTCGAACACTCAGGCATGAGATGTCGCCGTACAGTGGAAGATGTCAGCCTGACGAGGCGATACAACAGGCTTTGTCTAGCACCATCTTTTCTCCGTGGTCGAACAAGTCGAGATATGAGGATCGCGAGTAGGATCGCACCAAGCACAGCCCAGAAAATGAAGGTAAAGATCATCGAGGTTTGGTGATTGCCGTAAACGGAATCAAGATACTCGCAAGACCCAGGGTCATTGGTGCATGGAAAGTTGCGGGTCGCGTAGCCCCAATAGTCGATAGTATAATCGACATCGGCATCGTTTTGAATGTGACGAGCGGCTAGCGCGTTGTCGGTAGAGTTGAAAAGCATTGTAATGAGAGGACGCAGCGCAGCTGCAAAGCAAGAAGAACAACAACAAGGAAGAAAGATATAGCGTAGTCAGACACACAACAATATGGCAAGACGGCCTGGGAGGATGTCCATTTAATAAATCGAGACTGCCACCCAATTTCGCAGGTTCCACTCCGTAATTGAACCAAGGCTTGTCGTGCGTTGACAGGATGTGGGTTCCGCTGTCAGGTTCCTTCGAGGTGAACGTCCAATCGTGTTGTTTCCGTTACTGGCGCTGAAACAGGACGATACCCACCGACCCGCATTGATGGCGCCGTTCGTTTGGGAGTCCGGATCGGACGGGTATTCGGCAACAACGTCAGACTACGATGACAGCCGTAACAGCGACATGTCGTAGATGGCATTGTTGGCGTCGTATAGACAATTGCGAGATAGCATGGTGTAGCGCATGTGTCGCTTTAGTCACAACAAACTCTTCTCGTGGACGTTGGAAGATGGCAAAAGGCTTTTGCGCAAGAGCTACGCGCCAAGATTCTAATGTTTGTGACTTGTTCTCGACTCTTCATTCCAAGCATCAAAGGTGTGGCTCCTCATCATCGTGCAATATAGGACCTTGGAAGGCAGGTGAGGAGAGCACGGAAGCGCGTTCTTTCATCGCACTGACGCGAAAATCATGACGTAATCAGTTGCGTTGAGAGAGTCGCTCTGATTGGCTAGTATAGTCCACCGCGACAGAAGCCCGAAGATGCACCCGCGACCTGCGCACTTTTCATACCTTCACACAGCCTCATCTGTGCAGACCCGTTACACCGTCGACTGCGAACGCGCATAGTCATCTTATCCGTCATGAGCCGTCGCGCATCACTTTAGTAATTTCGTTGTGCTCCCGTCGTCGATGAGCCGAAGTTTATGTTCAGTGTTCCAGAACCTTCAGCGGTATCAGCAAAGCCAAAAGAACAGTACAAGCCGCGCCAGCCAACGAGAAGAGAAGAACGTCTTTGATTCCCATCATGTAGACTCGGGCCACTACCTTTAGATCAACCCCCGCAGGTTCTTTTCGCTCCTGTGACCAGAACCTTGCCCGCGTCAATGTTGGGCGAGGACGCAACTAGCCCTTGCAGCAGGCGAGTTGAGAAAAGAGATTGAGCTGCTGTAACGAATAAGCACCAGCGAGGGAAGTTAACACTAATCGGAATGTCAGTCAGTACGGCCAGGGCTGATTGAGATATTCACGACTTACTGAGGATAATGCTCGTAGTCGACTCCACTTCATCCGGCTTCGAAAAGCTCTGGACTGCCGCCATGGGTATCTAGTTGCCCAACTCAATGCCAACCAAGAAAATTCTGGGGCCCGATGGAATGACCCATAAGAATTTAAATCAATTGTCCACAACACATTCGCGCCCGCTGTGGAAAGGAGTCCGCTGATCAGTTGACAGAGTTGCAACAGCTTAGTCTTACTTATGCAGAAGCCACCTAATCCCGTTCCAAGCGCAAAAAATGCGACGTATGGAGAATTGATTAAACCGCTCAAGATGACAGACTGGTCGTGAATCTTGAAGAAACGTCAGTATCGCATTCATGCGAACCTGTTGGCTGGGTATATTTCAGGCTGACAGAAAAGCTCGGAGGTGCTGATGATTCGCTGCTGGAATGCGCCACTCACGTGGTGGCCTTCGTTCTTTTGACACGTCCACAGATTTGAGGTGTCCCGAGAGACTGGGACGACCTCAGCTCTCGCTGATAACAGTTAATCACCTTCGAGCTGGTTACTGGAGTTATCGAGGCCGTCAGATCCATATGCAGTGCGGAATTACGGGTAGTGCCTTATGTCCGACGCGGCACAGTCACCCAGTGTCAGCTTGGCCGCCCTGGCGGAGTTAATCTGTGGAAGAAGGAGCCTAGCGCTTATTAAAGCAACATTGAATATATCTATCTCACTGCCCTGGACTGGTCTAGCACAAGTATCTCAATTCAATTCACCAACACCTCGCCTTCATCTTCAACACGGAAACAACATGTCTTCCTTGTCCGCCCCTAAGACCATCGCTGGAAAGCCTGTCGGTCCCATCGGCTATGGTCTGATGAGTGAGTTGCCGTTCGAACGACGGCGATGCGCCGTCACATTTGCTAAACATCATCTGCACAGCCCTCACCCTTTTCGGCAACATTGCCCATGACGAGGCAATCAAGCCAATGAAGGCCGCTTTGGAAAATGGTGCCACTTTTTGGAACGCTGTACAACCCCCATAAGAACCCTTGTTATGATCTATCTGCTGACGTCCCCATAGGGAACCTTTTACGGGCCTCCAGATGCGAATTCTCTCCAGCTCCTCAAGTACTACTTTACCAAGTACCCGGAAGATGCATCACGCGTTGTTCTCAGCGTCAAGGGTGCCTACGATGGAGCTACGCAGTCACCAGCCGCTAGTCCGGAGCAGATTCGAGCCTCCGTCGACGAGTGCCTTACCTTGCTCGACGGTACCAAGACGATCGATCTCTTTGAGCCCGCGCGCGTTGACCCTCAAGTGCCCATCGAGGAGACTGTTAAGGCGCTTGCTGAGCTGGTCGAAGAGGGCAAGATCGGCTCCTATGGCCTCAGCGAGGTAAACGCTCAGACTATCCGTCGCGCTCACGCCGTACATCCACCCGCCGCTGTTGAGATCGAGCTGAGTTTGTTCTCTCAAGGTGCTCTAGACAAGGCAGGCGTCGTCGACACTTGCCGCGAGCTTGGCATCCCCGTCGTCGGATACAGTCCCCTCGACCGCGGCTGGCTTACCGGTCAGTTTAAGACTCTCGATGACATTCCCAAGGACGACTTTCGCCGTTTCTACCCACGCTTCCAGCCCGGCAACTTCGAGAAGAACGTTGAGCTAGCCGATGCTGTTGAGAAAGTTGCCAAAAAGAAGGGGGCCACTAGTGCCCAAGTCGCCATTGCTTGGGTACAGCAGCAGGGTGTTCTGCCCATCCCCGGTTCCACTAAAGTGGAGCGCGTTCTGGAGAACACCAAGTACGTAGAGCTTACCCAAGCCGAAACTGAAGAGCTTCACGAAGCTCTTAGCAAGGCAAATGTCTCAGGCCATCGATACCCCGAGATGTTCCAAGCTCATCTCGACAAATAGCGGGGCGGCGTGAGGAGAATGTCTTGGCCCGCCTTTGGTACAATGAGTACCCGTTTCAGTCTTCTCGGTCGTGAAATAGCAATGAGCCTTCAATGTCAACCCAATATATGTCTTGATCAATTCAGTGCCTGGATGTACGACGCTACATCAGATTAAGATGTCAAAGGGACTTAATTCCAGGCTTTGAGAGCGCCCTCTGATACAAAAGACCTCACGCGCGGACGAATTCAGTCCCATCTCTCACTACACATCTCTCTACATTTCGCTCATGTCCAAGTACCTTGAAGTGTCGCACAGCCTTCCGGGTAAGATGCGATTTCTCCCGTTCGCCCGGTTTCTCTCGCAATACATGGCCACAGTGAACGTCGACGGAAGCCTCATCCGCTGCTCATCATGGAAGAGCTTTGGAGATCCGAGCTCCACCGTCGTAGCTTTTACTCGAAAGAGTGGTGGGGCGGCTGTATACGGTCTTCCAGGTCTATTCCGCCGCCTTCAGCGAGCTGCCGAGGCTTTTGCGGAGTTATATAGCGAACCGAGAGCAGCGTTATTCTTGATTCCAAGAATATCCGTTTTAAGCAGGCATAAATTCTCCGACGAGAACGGCTCCCTGACAACCAAGGCCGGACGGGGCCTCGCAGAGCTCCGGCTCATCCTCGATACGGTAAAACCCGGCCGCCTAGTGTACCTGCCCTGTGTTGGTTTCGACGCCTTCACGACCAACGTCAACAATTATTTCTAATTCGCTGAGAAGTGGGAGCAGCCAAACATCATTATTGTTGCCGTGCAAAAGGGTTTTGACGGATCATTGGACACATTCCAAGTCGCTGACAACAATATTCGCTACGCAATTATTCCTATCGCGACCTTCAAAATGGCTGCCAACGGATTATACGAGACTGCGAAAGCTCACGAATTCATCAACACATATAAACTTGTTAAACTGTGTAAAGAGCATTAAGCAATCAGCCTACGTTTACTAGCATCATGAACTGTACGAATCTTACCTCCTCCGTCACAGTCTTGCAAGTAAAACTTAAGCAAGACGTATACATGACCTTGGGAGCGGCTTTGTTATTAGAATTTGATAGTTTGTATGCACCAAGGTGCCCTATAAAGTCTAGCTACTCCTAGTGCTGCTAGCTTTCTCGACTTCATCCACCATGTTTTTCGTCTGCTTTGACCAAGTCTCGATCTCTTCTTTTGTAGTATTGAGCCATCTCCTAGCGACGTCTTCTCCACTCAGCCGATTCGATTGCTTTCCACGAAGGGCCTGTTCGACGGCATATGACGCGTATTTGATAGTTCGCTGATGCGCGCATAGAAACTCGATAAGCTGGACTTGATGTGCGGCTTTAGATAGCTCTGAATCGAAGTCTTGGGAGGAAACTGTTGGACTGAGTGCGGCTGAGGAGTTTGTATGGCACAACGTCGCTTTTGTGGTGTTCGCTTGTGGCGCTGGGCAGTGTGTCTCTGGAATCTTGCTCTCGGTCATTTTAGCGATTATTGCAAAGGAATGGGAGGGCAAAGTTGGCTGAAGGTAATGAGTGCTATCGCGCGATCATTTTGCTTGCAATGTCACTCTAATTGAGTTTCTTCATCGCCAGCACCTTAATTCCCGTATCTTCAATTAGCGAGCTGCGATGCACGCCTCTTCAACACACAAATACCGTACGTCAATGGTGTCATCACATTCCACCGTGCCAACAAGACCATTCGATTCTGCGTTACATTTTGACAGCATATTGTCAGCTGTGAACGGGTGATATTCATAGTTAGTCGCATTGTTGCTTCTCCGCAGGCACAGTCGACTTCAGCCAGTTCACCTAGCAAACAATACGCTTGGCCAACGGCTGAGCAAGGCACAGCCAAGCTCTTTCAACTCTTTACGCATGCAGCGCTACGTTGCACGTGAGTCTCTGCGATCGGTCTCATGATGCGAGACTATTCGTTGTTTTGGTGTAGCCTTCTTCCAAGCTGTCAGCCTTCTTGCAGCGAGGGGAAGCGTGCGCAACGCTAGCCGCTTTCAGCAACACAACCCCACTTGGTACACTCGTACCATCCATTCACAATACGTCATATCATGCGTCTTATCACAGAACCATCCATCGCGAATCCATCGTGCCTGGTACGATACTTCCCAACGTGATCTAGACAGGGAGGTCTGATGGTTTCATAACCGATGTACGCGTCATAACCTGAGTACCTAACCTTGGCGGTGCTGCCCTCCGCCTTTACATAGACCCATGGCAGGTAGCATGCGCCAGTATTTACCTCTTGAGATCCGCTTTCGCATCAACCCCAAATTGCAGTCACACAAAGACCGACCTGGATTCGTAGAACTCCAACATGGCGTCGCTATCCGACTATCTTAGCTTTTACATCTCCATGGCAAGAGCATCTCTTACAATCATCTTCGCACGCCTTTACACACCTCAGCGCCCTCCCCATCGCGACCTGCAAGGCCAAACTGCCATAGTCACAGGTGCAAATAGCGGCATCGGTTTTTCCATCGCGACCGCGCTGGCAAAACAAGGCGCAACCGTATATCTCGCCTGCCGCAACCTTGAGAAAGGCAATGCAGCCGTGGCTTCCATCGTTTCGCAAATCGGTTCTGAGGGCAGCAAGAGGGTGTTTTGCTGGAAACTCGATGTTGGAGATTTAGAAAGTGTACGGGCGTTCTGTGAGAAATGGAAAGAGGAGGGCAAGAAGATTGACATGCTTTGTCATAATGCTGGGATAGCGGTGCCGCCCGAAGGTTCGAGGAATTTGGATGAGAAAGGCCGCGACGTGGTTCTTGTCACAAACTTTCTGGGCAGCTTCTTGATGACGTGTCTGCTTGAAGAGTATCTGGGTGACAAAGGGCGGGTTGTGTTCACGAGTAGCACTGGGCACTTCGCCGCCGCGGAGGCACTGATGAGCCCGAACCTGGAAGATGTGGCATCAAAGACCGCCGCTGATGAGGGTGGCGTTATGCAGAAGCTTCTGAACAAGACAAAAGCGTATTTTGGTATAGGGACATCTACCCTTCAATCATACGCGCTATCGAAAGCACACCAAGTCCTCTTCGCCACTCTCCTCCAGCGCCGCTTCGACTCCGGCCCAAACAATCACCGTACAGCACACGCATTCAGTCCTGGGTTTACATCTACGCCTATATTTAGCAAGTTTGCCGTCTCTTGGAAGACATGGTTCAGGGATCCTCTTTTCGCGGTACTCACGATGACGGAAAGGTATGTCGCGGTTGATACGGATGAGGGTGCAAAGACTGGGGCCTGGCTGGCGAGTTGGGGTGGGGAAGAAGGGGTTGAAGGGGGCTATTGGGAGTGGATGAGTAGACAGATGAGCCTGGTTGAGTTCGTTGAAAAGCAGCTTGGGGAGAAGGAGTGGAAGGCGCAATGTGGGAGAGTTTGGAGAGCATGGGAGGAGGATAGTGGCTGTACTTGGGCCACTGTTGAGACTTGATGTCGTGCTCATAAAGCTGGCCGGAGCAGAACCAGAAGTCAAGAGTGATTTGTCGTGTTCATTTTCTGTCTTTCTAGTCCCCTGTCCTACGTGAACTCAAAAAGTGAGCCATGTCTAAGGCGTGTCAGAATAGATTAGGTGTTGCATCGAAAGAAAGTGAAGCCGCTATAGAACGTAGCAGTGGCATACTAAACAGTCTATAATCTCACAGGACGCTTACCCCTACAAATGTTTGGATATCATGACCGTGGTGAAAGCAGTCTGTAGTTGGACTAGTGACGAATAGGGTCGCAAAAAGTGGTTGCTTAGCCCCGGCGTAGATGTGTAGCTGATTAGACACCAGGGCAAAGGCCTAGCAAAAGAAAAGAATACATCACAACACATGTAGCTGCTCTCGGTTTCGATCCGAGGTCCTCCGGGTTATGAGCCCGGCGCGCTTCCGCTGCGCCAAGCAGCTTTTGGTGCTCTTGATGTGGATTTCGAGAACTGATAGAACCATGTTCCAACGTCATATAGAAAAAGAGTAGGTGAAAGTCGAGCTTATCCATTCAGCAAAGTGAGACAGGTGGGGCGGGGTATGACTCCGATTTTGACCCCTCGCGAACGCTGGAAAGTACAAAATTTACTTTAAAAGTGTTTTGTACGCGTAGAAAGCGCTAAGGATGTGGAGCGTAGTGCATCGCGCAAGGGGCAAATTTATACTCTTATTAGGATGCAGTGTTTGCGAAAAGACGAACACAGTAAAAGCAACGAACTGAAAATCCAGTTTGGAACAGACATCAAAGTCTGGAGTAACGTAGCGTGGTGTGGTTAATCAACACAGTGCTGAGCGACAAAATCAATCTGTCAAGCATGGTGGGCAAGTTAATCGACTACATGGGACGAAAGCGAATGTGGCTAGCGGCAAGACGCGCTTGAACGCGACGCGTCCCACGCACTCTAGATCTCCACCCCGTCACCCGCGTCTCCTCCAACTCCAACCATGACACCTGCCAGAACCAATGAGTAGCTACTCACCGGGCATTCCATCCTCTTTCGACCCCGCGCTACTACATTCCGAATTCGAGTTCCTCGACAACGCGCCCGCGCTATCCTCCCATTCCGACGAACTAGACGCATTGCACGACTGCATTGCCGAAGACACCGCAAAGAAGAATAGTGCCGGTATCGTCATACAGCATCGCGCCTGGAACGTAGCGGACATATTCCGGAGTGAAGGAGAAGGACCAACTGGTACTATTAGCGTCTACGCGCGCTGCAACTGGTACTAATCCCGCCAGACACGCCTGCGAAGCGCCAGAAGCAGTCGCCAGTCAAGTGCCTGCCCCCACAATCGTCAGTTGAACTTGCGACGTTCCCTTCGTCGCCTCCGGTCTTCGCAATGCCGCTCATCTCGTCACCCATCGCATACCCACCGAGCTCGTCGATGCCCCAACCGCCCTCGCCGAAGAAGAGGAAGCGCGCAGAAGATGCACGAGAGCCCCTAAAGGACGTGCCAAACAACAATGCAACACGCAAGATTGGAGGCTTCCTGGATGACTCCGACGATGAAGAGGACATTGCGGCGCTGAAAGAACACACACTGAAGAGGAGGGCCGTCAGCAGCCTCAAGGACCTCCCAGCTGTTCCGGAAGGTTTAGCAGACTACACACCCCCTGCGAGCCAGGACGAGTTCGCAGACCCGGAATCGATACCAGTAGACGAACTAGACAACTACAGCTTCAAGTCCCAATCACAGTCGCCAGTGAAGCGATCGCAAACGTCACATCAGCCAACTTCAGCGCAAGCTACACCAGGCGTCCTGGCCCGTAACGCGTCGGGGAAGGCCTTTCATATAGGCAAGAAAGCCCAACGCGAGACCCAAACATACGAAGAGATCATTGCAGCACGATCAGAACCTGTAGAAGGCAAAGCGAGGACGAGCTACTATGGTCTCAACATTCATCAGCTCATGGACGAGGCGAAGGCCCTTGATCAGGAGAAGGCTATAAACGCGTCACTGAAGAATCTTGATCTAGCAGCACAACCGTCGATTGAGCAGCCAGTGGCCAAGGGTGGAAAGACCAATCGTACACTCATGTGGACTGAGAAGTACCGAGCGAAGAAATTCACAGACTTGGTAGGAGACGAACGTACACATCGATCGGTGTTGCGGTGGCTGAAGGCGTGGGACCCAATCGTCTTCCCCGGTTCCGGCAAAGCGAAGCCCAAGAAAGCAAAGGAGGGATTCCAAGAAGACGAACAGAGACATCGCAAGATTTTGCTGCTGACCGGGCCTCCTGGACTCGGAAAGACCACACTAGCTCATGTCTGCGCACGACAAGCAGGCTATGAAGTGCAGGAAATCAACGCTTCAGACGAGCGTAGCGGTGCTGTTGTCAAAGGCCGCATTCGGGATATGGTTGGGACTGAGAATGTGCGGGGTGTCAATACCAGCACTGTAAATGGCAAGGTGCGAAAAGCTGGAAAGCCAGTATGCGTTGTGGTCGATGAAGTAGATGGTGTCGTTGGCAGCGGAGGCTCAGGCGAAGGTGGTTTCGTCAAGGCACTTATCGACTTGATAAATTTGGACGAGCGAAACACAAAGGCACTCGGACAGCAGTCAACGACCGGCACCAAGAAGAAGAAGGGTGACAACTTCAGACTCTTGCGACCACTCATTCTCATCTGTAACGACCTCTATCATCCATCGCTGCGGCCACTGCGACAGTCCTCGATGGCTGAGATTGTGCATATCCGCAAGCCTGCCCTTAACATGGTCGTATCGCGCATGCAGGAGATCTTCGGCAAGGAAGGCATCCAATGCGATTCTGACGGCGTGCGCCGTCTCTGCGAAGCTACTTGGGGTGTCAGTACAAAGAAAGAGGGCGGGACAGGTAGTGGCACCGGCGAAGGAGACATACGTGGGGTTATGGTGGTGGCCGAATGGATAGCAGCTCGGTTACGATCATCACATGATGTGAAGTCCAAAGAGAGGCCCCATCTATCGCGGAAGTGGATAGAAGACAACCTCATCGGGGATCTGCGACATGGTGGTGGAGCCGCTCGAAGTTTGGGAAGAGGCGGTGCGAAGGACGTCGTCGACCGTGTATTCCGTGAGGGTGCTGGCTTCCCGAAGCAAGCTGAGACGACCGATGCGAAATCGGCAGCCGCGAGGGCCAAGAGTGGTGTTATCGGTGTTGCTGAAGCAGGCAAACGGCGAGCCATGGACCGCCTGAGGGAGATGGTCGACACGAGCGGAGATTGCGACCGTATCGTGACAGGTAAGACTCACCTTATCTTGCGACATCATCAAATACTAACACTGAACAGACTGCTTCACTGCCTATCCCGAGAAACCGTTCCAAGACGACACCCTCCTCAGCAAACCATCTGCTGCATACGAATGGCTGTACTTCCATGACACACTCAACTCGGCGGTTCATGGATCTCAGGAATGGGAGCTAGCGCCATATCTCTCAAACTCTGTCCTCGCTTTCCACAACCTCTTCGCCTCGCCCATCCGGTCATCTGCAAACCCCGTAGCAGACCCCGATGCACAACCAGCACCCTTCTCAGGACCTGGTGCAAGTTTTGCAGCTTTGGAACAGACGAAGGCTAGCAGGAGTCAACTGATGGCGCTGCAGACAAGTCTAAGTCTACCGTTGACGCGCATGTTCCGAAGTCCAGAGGAGATGGCCATGGAGCTCATACCTTACGTCTTGCGAATGCTGTCACCAGACGTAAAACCTGTCCTCGTAAATACCGGTGCAACAGGCTCAAAGTCTTTCGCTACTGCCTCCGTCCGCAAAGCTTCCGAGAAAGAACTTGTTAAGAAGGCTGTAGAAGCAATGACAGCCACTGGCATTCGGTTCGAAAAGTCTCGGATCGAAACTGAAGACGCGGCGAACAGAAGTGCTGGCTTCGTTTGGCGTATGGAACCCGCTCTGGACGTTCTAGCAACTTTCGAAACGCTCGCCGGGCGAAAGGACGACAAAGGCCGCTACGCAGTTCGCAGTGTCTTGGAACAAGAATGGCGCAAAGAATCCGCTCTTCGTGAACATGCCAACCGCAAGCGTCGCGGTGGCATGGATGAATACGAGGAGGAGATTGAGGTCGGCAAGAAAGAAGAGAAGACCACAGAAGAGAAAATTGCCGAAGCCAGCAAAAAGGCCGTGAAACGTGACTTCTTTGGCAGAGTCATTGTAGAAACGGATAAAAGCAGGAAAGAAGCGAAGAGGAAGCAAGACAGTGGAGAGATGCAGGGTGACGTAGGGAGGATATGGGTGTCTTTCCATGAGGGTTTCTCAAATGCGGTGCGGAAACCTGTCACTATTGACGATATTATGAGGGGACTTTAGCTTTACATTATACCGTGGCCTGGGGAACTCGCCACCGGTGGATGACGATAATATATTTGTATTCGGCATGCTCAAGCAATCCAGTTAGCTTTTCCAACTCATCCATGCGATTGGCATGGCAAGCCCAGAGACTCCGACTTCTCCACGCGCCTTCATCTAATGCACAGCCGTAACGTGATTGCCGGCGAGCAGCTTCTTCGCTGCATCGATCCTCTCCAGTTCTATCACCCGCTGCTTGTCGTCCAAGTTGTCAGGCAGCGTACCGAGCGCACGGTCGCCGAACAGCAGGTCAATCTCCTCGAGTGTGAGCTGCTTCGTTTCCTGCAGTATTGATTAGCACGAAATCTTCCGACGTGCTCTTCCGGATAAGTACGTACCTTGAACACGAACCAGATAGTTGGGAACGTGACACAGAGATTGAAAGCCACAAAGATGAAGTAAAACTTGTAAGTGATCTCACCCAACCCGATCGGCGACACCTGACTCCACACCGTTCCCACAAGCCAGTTACCAAATCCAGTTGCGAAAGCAGAACCGCGTCCACGGATACTCAGCGGAAGAATCTCACTGGCGTATACCCAACTAATCGGGCCAAACGACATACTGAAGATGCAGGACACCAGGAACAAGAAGAATACTCCAGCGGCAGACAGTGAGTCTCTCCGGGATCCTGTAGCACCTTCGACCTGAGATCCGATGATCGCCTCACAGACGAGGGCAATGGAGATAGCAACCGTGCCGAAGAGAAGGGGTTTCTTGCGGCCAACGCGATCGAGGAGAAAGACGATGAAGAAGAGGTTGAACACGGGACCGACGATGTTGTAGATGCTAGTAACGAGGAGGTTGCGGTCGCCGACAATACCGAGGTTCTCGTAGAGAATGGTGGAGTAGTAACCGATGACGTTGATACTGAGAGAATGTCAGTAAGACCAGATCCTAGAACTGACAGAGAACATACCCTGTCATCTGCGTAAACACCTGAACAAGCGTAGCATGCATGAGTCTCTTCCGCCACACCGGAACCGTAAACATAACTTTCCAGCCCGGCGCGGTAATCGCTTTCTCCGCATCGATCGTCAACTTGATCTCGTTGAACTCGGTTTGGATCCACTCGTCGTTGGTGCCGTTGTAGTGCAACTTGCGAAGCACCTTCAGGGCGTCGTCTGCGCGGTCGATCTCGACAAGGTAACGCGGCGACTCAGGGAAGAAGAGCATACCGCATATGATGATCAAGCAGGGTATGCATTGAAAAGCGAGGGGGAAGCGCCATGAGAAGGAGGATGTTGCGGGTACTTTTGAGGAGCCGTAGCCAATCCAGGTGGAGACGATGAAACCTACGCCGATCATTTGTTGAGTGAGTCCGGTGATCAGACCTGGGATTCGTTAGTATTGGAATTTTGGTTTGGTTTGGAAAGACTGACCTCGCGTTTTGGGGTGGGCGCATTCGGTTTGGTAGATGGGTACGGACATGGACATCAGACCTACTGCCCATCCAGCCAAGATTCGTCCGACGAGTATCATAGCGAGGTCCTGGGCGGCGCACTGGAGTACAGCGCCAACCAGGTTTATCAGAGCACCGATCATGATTGTCTTCCTGCGACCGAACCTATCCATAGTAAAACCTCCCCTACTATCCGTCAGTACATGCCAGCTTCTCTACACAAGAGACATCCACGTACATCAGCGAACCGAAAAACGCTCCACCCGAAAACGTCGCATTGATGGCTCCTATAATCGGTGATGTCTTGTCTGTATCGAAGAAGGCGAGGAAGTTGGGTGATTGGATGACGATGGTCATTACTCCGGAGTCATATCCGAAGAGGAAACTGCCCGTGCCAGCGAAGATGGCAAGGGCAATGTTGAAGATGAGACCCATGCTTGCTGCCTTGGTCGATCGAGACAGCGATGGCTACACTGAATGCTAGAGGCTGGATACTGTGGGTGGCAGCTCTTTCTAACGTGCTGCTGCAGCAGGTATATATTGCTCCGAGCAACTGGGTGCCCGCGCCATCGACGCATGCCGGTCATGTTACATCTCCAGGCCAGCCTCGCGTAACAAGCATTTAACCGGAAGTTCGCGCCTAGTTTCCACGGTGCACTCCCACATAGACTTTGAACATGTCTGCTGGCGGAAAAGTATTTGCTGATCTTGAGGCCATAGAACCCGGGGAGTAAGTGGAAGGATGTTGGGGTACAGTAGCGTGCGGGGAGGCATGTTGAAATTCCGCCAATGAATGGCGCCCCCACTAGCTCGCTTCAATGATGTAGGACCGTTGTAGCGGCTCTGCTTCATGCTCAAGGCCGTTAAGACTTGCTGTGAATACGTGCGGGATATATGACCCCTCATGTTGGCTAGGTCACCAGCCTATCCCAGCTTCGAGACCTTCCACTCTCCACCCAGAACGTCCATACCTTTGAGCTCACCATCGGCGTTGACCTCTAAGACACCCTTCTGGTCGCCCTTGGTATCCACCAAAGTCGCTTTGTCACCTTCCTTGACTCCATAAAGTCTAACCTCACCACCGGTAGCGAGCCAGTCATACCCAAAGCCGCCTTCGCCCTCTGTTTGCCCGAGCACCAAAACAGTGCCTTCCCTAATAAACAACGGTAATTGGAGGAAGCTATACTTCTCTTTGACCCATCGACCGCCCTGCACTTCTTTGCCGTCCCAGAAACTGAACCAACGGCCTGGTGGCAGGTAGTAATCGACGCTACCGTCTTCTTCGAAGACTGGGGCAGCGAGAATCTGACTGCCAACAAAGAATTGGCGGTCCACATACCAAGATGTTGGGTCATCTGGAAACTCGAGAGCCGTCGCGCGAACGCTGGTAGGCCAGCCCTTAGCGACACTCTCTTCCGCCTGCGCAAAAAGATACGGCATGAGGCTGCGTTTGAGCTGCACCCAGTGTCGGAGGACCTCTGTACAATTTTCGGGCTCTTCGGATGAGTCGTTGACGAGCCAGGGCACGCGATACGAGTTTGAGCCATGCAGTCGACTATGCGAGTTGAGCAGCCCAAATGCAACCCAGCGCTTATAGATCCAGGGTGGCGGTTTGCCCTCGAAGCCACCAATGTCGCTCGTCCAGAACGCGAAGGATGCGAGCCCAAGACTCAGGCCACCGCGCACTGACTCAGAAAGTGCAGCAGGTGTTGACTCGCAGTCGCCGCCCCAATGAAGTGGGAATCGTTGCGATCCTGCGCATGCTGTGCGCGCGAACAGTACGGCTTCATGTTCTCCCTCCCGCTTTTGTACTGCCTCGTAGACCAGTTTGTTATAGATAAAGGCGTAGTAGTTGTGCATGCGGCTTGGATCCACGCTCTTGTCGTACCACTGGACGTTCTTTGTAGGTATACGTTCACCAAAGTCCGTTTTTATGGAGTTGACACCCACGTCGAAGAGCTTCTCCATGCACTCGCGGAACCAGTCGCAAGCCTCCGGGTTTGTAAAGTCGACGATACCCATACCAGTTTGCCAAAGGTCCCACTGCCACACATCTCCGTTGGTCTTCTTGAGCAGGTAGCCTTTCTCGGCTGCATAATTGAACACAGGACTTGCTTGGCCAATATAAGGGTTCGTCCAGACACTGACTTTGTTGATAAGCCCATCGTCTTTCATGCGCTTGATCTGGCCAGCAGGGTCGGAGAAACTCTCCGGATCCCAGATAAAGTCGCACCAGTGAAAAGCGCGAAGCCAGAAACAGTCAAAGTGGAACACTTCGACTGGTATCTTGGATTGAGACATCTTCTCAACGAAATGACGGACAGTTTTCTCATCATAAGATGTCGTAAATGATGTGCTAAGCCAGAGGCCGTACGACCATGCCGGCACTCTATTCGACTTGCCAGTAAGGATAGAGTACTTCGTCAGCACTTCTTTGGGGCTTGGTCCATAGATGAGGTACCTTTAAAGTCAGTGAAGATATATATATCAAGTTTCTCGCTATGCTCACCATTTCAGGCGTTGCCCTTCAACAGTAGTTTGCAATCTTGAGCATCGCTCGCTGCCAATTTCCATATCAATCTTGTCGGGTGTGTCGATGAAGACGCCGTAGCCCCTTGAGCTTAGCCAAAACGATACATTCTTGTAAGCCTGCTCGCTTGATGTACCCCCGTCTTCGTTCCAAACTTCGACGTTTTGACCAATCTTGTTCCATGCACCAAAACGTTCACCTAGACCGTGGATAGTCTCACCAACACTTAGTTCAGTTTGGGTAAACATGTAATGTTTATGTGTAGCAAGGTCTTCCACGCTCTTGGGCGTGCTGAGTGCTGGCGAGTACGCTAGCCCGATGCTACGATGGAGAAGAGAAGTCAATGTTTTCGATCCGTCGGTGGCATGGAATTTGATGTTGAAAGTATGCTCATCAGAGCTGATGGTCGCGCTTAGTCCGCCTGAAGTGACTGTGGTCCCACTCTTTTGCTTCACGATTTCGCCTTTGCACTCCGGCTTACCCGCTGGGTATAAGTCAAAGTCAGGCCCAAGTCGCCTAGCACCAGCGAAGTGCGTAGCCTCGACAGAAATGACGCCGTCGAACTGGGCTTCGATTTCGACGGAGATGGTACTAAGATTCAATGTATCGCCCCTCGTGAAGATCTTCCTGGTTGGGCATAGTAGGCTGACCGCCTTGTTGTCTTCTCGAGGTGTGATAGTATAAATCTCCTCGGCATGCTGAACTGTGAACTGGTCATTGACCAGCCACATACCTGTGCAATCATCAGCGGCGAAACCATACAGACTGCGAGGCTCATACCATCACGAAACTTCATGTTTGCGTGGTCCTCAAATGTAGGCGCTCACGACAAAGTATAGAATAGTTTGACGATAATGTCGTGATTGACGTCTGATGTTCTTCTCCCGATAGTTCCATACTACTAAGAACCATATTGGCGTTCGGATATGCGGTCCGTCCCGTGGGCGATGCTTGGAGCGTACGGTACTGTATGGACGGACACTTCGGTGTTAGATTGCCCGACGCTCCTTGCGCTGCGGGGTACCGCTCGAGACGCTGCAGTGATCAGCATTGGTATGCGAAAATCAAGATCCCGCTCGCAAAAGGCCATCGCCTCAGAGAATTGGTTCCGAATGAACACCGATCCTGATTTTAGCCGACTTCTTGAGCATACAAGGGTCATGAAGCTTTTGCCCATGTCAGCTATAAGGACTCCCTATGTCGTGCAGCGCTTACACGGCACTTTCTTTACTCATCACCTGAGCATGCCCATGAACAGTGCGCGTCGGGATAGTTTCCCTCACTGATTCGTGTGCAGACTCAAAAAGACAATTCCGACGATACCTTCTGCAAGGGGTGTTGTAGTTCACGTGAAGGGGTAGTCGGACGCCCCGCATCGACAGTCAGCCACTGAGGTGATGGGAGGGCGTTTCACCAGTGTGGCATCCCGCGCACTTCCTTGGAATACCTATTGCCTACGCGGCACAGTGTGAAAGCTGCACGTATATCAACAGCCACACTTCCGCATGGGAAGTCCAAAGTAAGGGGAACATCGCAAAGCGAATGAGGACTGGACCCTGCTGCCGGAAATGCCTCCGGCGCGAAACGTTGTCCACCGACCCACAACCCACCCTTCCCAACAGGGCGCAACGTTGTCGCAATCGCCGAATCCGTCTTGATATCCGTGCAAGGCTTCGACACGGTCAATGTGTGTTGTAGTCCCACCCATAGGGCATCGTTGTCCATTGAAGATAAGCAGATCTCATCTAGCTCCTGAGAAGCCGTGTGTGATTTGTTGACTCGGACAAGCCCCAGGCCGCTTCTTCTCTGCCACAAACTTCAGCTTTTCCATTGTCCACAGCATCCTACTACCACACGCACCTCATCTTCTTTTTGTCATAATCCTTAGATCGAAAAGCAAAGATTTGCTGCCGACACTCCGAAAAGACACCATGACAGTATCAGTTCTTTGTTTCTATTCCCGTCGCCCAGAAGTCACCCCGGAGCATTTCCAGTCGTACATGGAGGAAAACCATCTGCCTTTGATCAAGGAGGTCTTCGAGATGCATCCCCCGCAGTCTTACAGGTTGCGCTATGTAGTACGCGTCAAGACTGGAGCTGGAGACCGACTGGGCGCTGTCACATCAAGCAGAGCAAAAGCGGATCCAGATGCGCCAGTTGTACTTGTCGGGTCTCCTCAGGATATGGATTGGGATGCAGTAGGAGAGATGGTATTTCGGGATGAGCTGCACATCCAGCAGTGTCTGTCCATAATGAACGGCCCCGGTGGGCAGCGAATAAAAGAGGACGAGGAAACTATTGCGATACCGGAGAAGACCCGCGTAGTACTGACGGCTGGGGACAACCTGTTCATCTGAGCCGGGCACGCGCAGGCGAACTTCAAGAGAGGACAGTAAAATTCAAGGTACGTCTTCGAGACAACTCTGCTCACGAATACACTGACATCAATAAATCAGGGTAGATCGACGGGCAAGAGGACAAATGCCACCGGGTGGCGTTTGAGAAGCAAGGGGTCCTCCAAAAGCATGGAAGATCATCGAGACCGAGACTGCACAATGTTCCTGTTTGTGCCATCTACGTGGAAAACGTGACGACAACTGGGATACCGAACGAGAGGCATATACCATACCATAGACAGTTGCAGACTGATAGAGAATGACTATCAATTTCGAAAGCCAGGGAGTTGTCAATGAGCTGCGTTCGCTGCACTTGTCGACGGCTGGCTGTTCCGGTTATCTCAACGATACGCCATCAATGCGCTTGACGAAACTTTGCGACGCGTCGGGATCTGCACGCCCAGCGACACGTACGTGGAAGCTCAACATAACGGTCGAGGCTTCCAGATCGTCAGAGGCGAGATTAGATCATTGGTGTGTACAACGGAATAGGCAAATAATGTGGTGCAAGGAAGGATGCAGGAAGCGTCAACGAGCAGACTTGGACAGTCGATGTTGCAGCAACAATACCTAGGCAGGTGCAGAACACGCTAGGGTCACGTGACGTGATCCTGTTGTCATCGATCAATTTACTGTGGCCCAGCGCAGCGGAGCCGCTTCTTACAGTAATTTCCCTTCCACAGCTCCAAGAGTCCGACAACAGAGTTCCCATCTTTGCATGCAAGGTCGACACACGAGTGCGATCTGCATCGGAACCAGAACACCCGCGTTGCACTGGATGTCGAGAGGCAAGGCGTTCAAAAGCCGTCCAGGGCTGTCGCAGATTGAATACCTACTATCCATCACTGTAAACTCACCGCCTCCGACAGTCGTGTATCAATGGAAGCCTATTACTTTAGGTTTTGCTACTGCTGCTAGGTGCTTCGCAAGCCAGCTACGACGCTCCAGGTCGTTACGCCATTACCCAGGTCTCCCGTTACGGAACGGCTCGGTTTCTCTCCGTTGGTACTTAACCTTTTCCAAACCAATATGATAACGTTTCAATACGCAGTGGATATCGCAAGAGCGCAATGTGGTCCTCGGTAGCATCTTTGCGGAGCCGCCATTGTATGCCAGATTACTCAATAGCGCTGCTATGAGGTAGGTCACAGCATGCACATGAGTAATGTGCGTTTGCACGGCCACAACGCACACTAGCAATGCCCATCAAACCCGAGTGCTCCATTTGCTGCAACCCGATATCTCCAGGCCTCACTCAATTCGCCAAGGTGTCCTGCACGCAAGTTTTGCTCGCGCACCCACCCGCATGACATGGCTAGGCTGATTCTTCTTTCCTTGTCTCACCGCAAGGTCGTGATTGGCGAGGAACGTGATCGGGCCGTAACCACGACTCAGCAGTCGAGACCTCTCTGGCCAAAGACGATCATGGGATGGCACCGGTCAGCGGCGCGCAGATATTGGAGAAAATCTTCGCAACACCTTGCATCCAATACCAAAAGTACGGAGCCGCGCAAACTCTGGCCCATGATGGGTCTCAGGATAAAGGGGAAGTGTGCATTCAACGGATGTAACCTCTCCACATACTGAGCTATATAGAGCGAACGCCTAAACATGATCCAGGGTCCAAGAGATATCGGACCAGCAGATACGCTAATTCGCCGGCATTCAACAGCGAGTCTATCGGAGGGGTTGAGTCGCTGCAGGCATCGTGTTCGGCCCTGTAAGCCCCGACTGCTCTGATGCGACGAGCTTCGACTCCGGTATAGTGATCAAGTTTAAACGAGGCGGACCAAATCACGCATGGACGCTATTTCTCGACGTCGTTGGCGGTACCCATCACTCCTTCTAGACTTTTCTCGGTGCTTTCCCACTCCCTTCTCACAGCGTCCAATACCCATGGTCCTCGAGGCTTCAGACGAAACTTGAACGGCCTTGGCTCAGTCATAAAGCCAACAACTATCATTTGCCATGGGTCCACCTCTTCTCCCTGTATAGCTTCCACGTCAAACGCCCACAGCAGATGTGCGATATTCATGAATGTTCCGTCAGTAGCGACACGCTTTCCTTGACATATTCTTCGACCTTGGCCAAACACAGGGAGTGGAAGATCACCACGGACCTTCCCATCACGTAGCCAGCGCTCAGGCACAAAATCCTGCGCATCACCAAGCGAAGGATCGAAGACTGCCTCGTCACGGCCGATGGCCCACGCGTTCGCCATGATGGTCACACCCTTAGCGATTTTCACGCCGGCGAACTCGTCCGCGCGATCAGCACGGCGTGGGATAGAACCAGGGGAGATCGGTCGCCATCTGAATAGCTCATGTGCTATAGCGTCAACGTAGGCGAGGTTGTCCCGGTCTGAGAATGTAGGTAAACGCTCTCTGCCAACGACTTTGTCTAGTACTTCATGCGCACGGGTCATGATCGCAGGATTGTGCATCGCCGCGACGAAGAGCCAGAGAATCTGACGAGGGGAGGTTTCCATACCACCCTGAATAGACGTTGCGAGTGTGAACGCAAGGTCAAGATCGGACACGGGCGAGGCGGCGGGAGCATATTTCAGTGCGGATGCGATTGCTTGCTTTGTCGCATTCCAACCTGGCACATCTCTACCATGGCAGAAGAGGCGCATGTAGAGCTTGACCTGAGACGCGTAAAGCTTGTCAGCATATTGCTGCCACGGGGAGATGAAAGTGGGCAGGTGACGAAGGAAGGGCATAAGATCCGGGAGCTGCGGATTCGCGGCCAGATGTGTAACTTTAGCTTGGATCGCAATGACCTCGTGCAGGATTGGCTCTTCGAACTTGGGTATGCGGAGACCGTAATGAAGGGCAAGGATGACACTGGACTGGGTTCGCTCGAGCAGAGGATATATCGTCTTCGTGGCGATTGTAGAGCCATCTTTGGACTTCTCTAAGGCGGTGATGAGGTCGAAGAGCAGTTGCTTTGCTTCGAGTTCCATAAGCGGCTGATACTTGCTCGCCGCCGGCGCACCAAGGCTTGGTGAAAGGATGCGGTGGTGCAGTTTAAGGTGATCGTCATAGTCGTGCATCAGCGTAAACCGAGAACGCCCTGGCCCAGCCCCAGTAATCATCTCCATGCTTACTGAGGCCGGTCGGTTGCTGTACCATTGGCTACGACGACTGAAGAGCTCAGTGACGGCCTCGTACGAGTTGAGCACGACAATGGGCACGATTCCAAACAGCTTGGGAACTGCAATCGGGCCGTGTTGTTTCGACCAGGCGCTCCAGTCTACCAGCGGTTTCTCGATTGGCGAGCTGTGGAGATCACCAATGAGGGGCAGCTTGAGGAGGGGCTTCTCGGATGCATCTTTGCTCTTGATGGTGTAAAGGTAAAGTGCGGTCAGGGCACTCACGGCCAGGAAAACGGTCACGACAAGGCTGGACATGGCTGGAAGAGTAACTCACGAAGGCTGTGGGCGACACAACCACTTGTAGGAAGATCAGAATGGCGGATACGTGCATGCACGGCAATACTCAGGGCATTGTTCCTGGAGCCATGCCCAAAATGGGTTAGCCCAGCCGGCACTTGGCAGCAGCAACGGCCACCTTTCGCGTATGAAGCTCCGAAATCGTGATAACAATTTGCTCGGATCTGGACGGCAGTGTCTCGGCGCCATGGCCTCGTATTGCGCGTGATAGGCTCTATTTCTTGCGACTGGACTCACATCGCAGGTGCCGCCATCCCTGACGTGATCAAAATCGGAAGACCCGAAACGTTCCCCGGACAGCATCGCATTGCACATCAGCCAAGTTTTGTGTGCGCGCATGGGCTGAGAGGCTCTGATATAGATCTGCTCGAGGTATGGATGGCGAAACCGTTCGCGTCGCGGCACACGCTTTATCCGGTGTTTACACGGTAGCCCGCCCTCTCCCGGGCCTGAAGCGTACTGGGCAGATTCGAGTGGGAATACCTGCATGCGCAGGTCCTGTACAAGAGGAAAGGCAGGTTATGCGTCCTATCAGGAAGAAGAACGCGACGCCGCACAGAACATGCCATGAAGCCTAGCCGGATGGGGCCGCTGTCACGCGTTTAGTGCAGTGGGACTAGTCGGGGTGAACGCCTGAGCCGGCACGTCGGGTGAGGAACGGCTCTTCAGGCGTACAAAGGATTTCTTGTTGGAATCCTAAGCCAAGGGGTATCTTGATCAGCGCGGGAAAAGACATGGGGTACGCAAACAGAAATGCGAGGCTTCGCACGGGGATGTCGGCAGCTCACATTCCCATCTCCTCCCCAAGAGCGATCTTCCCGCAGTGGACCAGTTTGTTTATACCCCTCTCAGCCTGCGAGTGCAGTTGCGACAGAGACGGTAGACGTCGCCGCGTGAGTCGCACACCAGAGTATTGCATCAGGATCTGCACGACAACATGACCACCACATTTCCTATCCGAACTCATGACCAGAGAGCAGTACTGGGTGTCGCATTCAGCTTCTCAATTCTTGCTGCACTGGCCGTTATCCTACGACTGATCGCTCACGCGATTGCTCACAAAAGATGGACAATTGCCGACTACTTCATCATTGCCGCCTGTGTAAGAAACCTAGATTCGGCCATCGTCAGCACTGCTAACAGTTCACAGATTTTCGCTGTTGGCCTGCAATCTATCAGTATTACCGGAGTCTTTCATGCCGGCATTGGCTACGATCACGTTCAGAACATCGTAGTCGCGTACGGCCTCGAACCTATCACCAAGCTATCGCAGCTCATTATACCCCTGCAATTTCTGTGGGTTCTGAGTCTTAGCTGCACCAAGATATCGATTCTTTCGCTCTACATCTTGATCTTTCCGATTCGATGGGTGGTCTGGAGCTCCTACGTGACCATGTCCATCATCGTTGCTTGGACAATCGCAACCATCCTCGCTGGCTGTCTGGTTTGCCGACCCTTCGCATACAATTGGGATAAATCGATTCCTGGAGGAAGTTGTGGTGACCAAGTCACCTCATTCACGATTACTGGCGTCATCAACCTGGTCACCGACGTCATGGTGCTTCTTCTGCCCATGCGCCCGTTGTATCAACTGCAGATGGCGACCTACAAGAGAGTTACTCTCGTCGCCGTTTTTGGCTTAGGCACTTTGTGAGTCGAGATGAGACCCTTTCGTCAGCTCTCATCTAACCGGAGCAGCACCTGTATCGTCAGCGCCTTCCGCATCTCCGTCCTATCCAGCATGGACTTCACCGATATCACCTATACCATCCCCAAAGCCAATGTCTTCAGTGGCTTGGAGCCATGCCTTGCCGTAGTCCTCGCATGTGTACCCCTGATGCATCCGCTTCTTGGTCGCTCCGCAGCAACACCTCACGGGTCGGGAAGAAAGAAGTCCTCAAATGCTGAGTCCAAGTCCTCCGGGCCGAAGGCTATCAGCGACGACGGGTTCGAGCGGCTAGACGATGATACACGTCACCTGTGGCTCAAACCGATGGGGCTGCAGCATCGTGTTGATGAATCGGATTTGCAGGAAACCATAACAGGAGATGCAAGCGAAGGAGACCAAGAGTCACTTCATACACATGGAAGGAACATCGGTATAGCTACTTAAGCTGTTGGCTCTTTTAGACCCTAATAACGATTACACGACCCGTGGAATAATCATGAACGAGTCCCGCTATTCACTGCTAGGCCTTACTAAGCCCGCCACCAAGTCTTCTTGCCAGTAGGTAGTGCTAACGTGAGTCTGGAAACAGTCGCGAAGGTCGATCCAACGCTTGACAGGAAATTTCGCAGGTATTTGGACAGTCGGCTGCGCAGATCCGATCTCAGCATGCTGATGACAAGGCTAAAGCAACCAGCTATACACATCACTCCGGCCGTAGCATCTCATAGGTCCAGTCTACGTCGCGTCGGTAGTCAGGGATCAGCTTTTGCAAGGACAAGTAGAGAACGTCGATAGGAAGCGACCAGCGTGAATATCTTGGCGTTCTTGTGGCCCGTGCTCGCCACCCGTACTCGCTTTCCTGTCAAGCGTCATCAACGCGTTGGATATCCCTGCTTCCATGCCATCAACTTTACTATCCGACAACAGTACTCCTACTTTCTGACATCGACAAGTATCTTAATGTGTTTATCCTTCTCGTGTAACAACGCGAGAATACCATCTTCAACCACTCTATCCATCGAGATCGTACGCGTGATCATCTTCTCCGCATCGATCGTTCCTTTGTCCAGCGCGTCAATAACTCGCTTAAAATCCTCACTGGTGTAACTCAGCGCTCGGAATAAGTCAGCAAGGCTTCGAATCACTCGAATCGTTTCGCGTGATGACTTACCTGTAACCAGCCTCTTTTCCCCAACCAACAGATTGTCCGGGTTGAATGGAATCTCTTTGCCCCACTGGGCAACATTCACCACCGTCCCCCTGCTTCGAACTGATAAACACGCGGACTTGATACTGGCAGCTACTCCAGCGCAGTCAAAAGCAACGTCAGGGCCTTGGTCATTGCACAGCATCTTGCATCTGGAGACCACATCTTCGTCCGTCGGATCGATCACCGCCGTAGCTCCAAACTGTAGAGCCAAGTCCCTTCGATTCTGAGCAACTTCAGCAACTATCACCTGGGCAGTATCAAAGGCTTTCAGGCATTGGACAATGGCCAAACCAATCTGGCCGGCGCCGATAACCAAGATGTTGTCCCCTGCTTTGGCGGCCGACTGTTCAACTGCATGCCAGGCAACTGCAAGCGGCTCGACCAAAGCGACGCCAATCTGTTAGTATCCTTCCCTGCCTGGAGTGAGCTTTCCGAATGTCTTACCTCCGACTTCTAACGTTATCTTCTCAGGCAGTTTGAACACGAACTGCGCATCTACGCACACCCGATCCGATAACCCACCTCCCCAACCCATGATTCCCACGAACCCAAACGAATCGCAACAATTGGTAAAGCCGTCTTTGCACGAAACGCATTGCTTGCAGCAAATGGTGGGCTGGACGGCCACTCTGTCTCCAACCTCGAGACCTTTGCGCACCTGTGCTCCGACCTCGACGATGTCCCCAGAAAACTCATGCCCGAGTGTTACAGGCCATATCTCGCCGGTGATCGGATGAGGCGTGTCTTTGAACGGAAGAACATCCGGCATGCAGTAGAAGTGCAAGTCGGACCCACAGATCCCACAAAAGGAAGGTCGAATCTTCACTTGATGGGCATCACATACCGGCTCTGGAACGTCGTGTTCCAGACGCATATCCTCAGCACCATAGTAGCGAAGAGCCCGCATATTGGTGGTTCGAATGATTTGGACGAAGCAGTCTGAAGTGGTTCAATTTCGTGGTTGGGTATCGATCAAAGACAAGTGAGTAGATTGCACGAAAGCAGTTGTAAGTCCATAGTCAAATGTACATGCTAATCTTGTAGCTTTATACTGAAGCTGACGTGAGAAGAAAGGAGGGGTACTAGCCGACGTCTCGCAAGATGCGTGTCAGTCCCCGAGACTCATGCGCCAAACGCGCCAATGCTAGATAACGACAAAATCACTGCATATTATACTAAGCGAAAGAAATCTGCGACGCAGAACTGATATGATTCTATTTCAAACGCGTATTGACATTCCATCTTTGGAAAATAGTATCGCTCAAGGCTCCACCGCGTGTCGAGGACTGGATCGATACTTCCCAACGCCAACTATTCCCCACTTTAATCTTGGGCGATAGCATCGCGGTACGCATGCTCTAACCATTTAGTACATTCCACCGTCAGATAACTCGTCAACCCCTCGATGCGCTCTTCCGGGGCGGCACTTGGCAGATAAACGGCAAAGTAGAGTGCAAAGCCATCGGCATCCTCTTTGAAAGCGCTAACAGAGCGGCTGAAAGTGATGTTATCGCGCAAGGCCTGCGGCACCTCCGCATTGACGTTCCATCCAGGAAATTCCAAGAAGAAGGGCTGATGCGGAACTGGATCGTGCGAAAACTGCGTGATGGGGCCACCGGATTACATGTAACGGCTCCTCTTCGAGGTAGATCTCAGGGTGGCCTGCGGTAAGGTCGTTGGGGCACCCGACTCACGCAGTGTCCATCCACTACTGGAATGAGTGCAAACGGCGTCGGAGTCCGCGAAGCGACGTCGAGCTCGCGATCGGCAGTGTAGAAGGGCAACTCACATATAGCCTGGAGGAGCACGCGAAACCATCAATAGTAGGCTGTAAATACTGCGACTAGTCGTAAGAAGTACAAGCTGATTCCATTGGATACAGTCATACTGTTCCATTCACCAGCCCTCAAAGGCGCTGTCAACATCACCAGCGAAGTTACCCACGGTATTGGCTCGCTTTACAAACCGTCAGCCGAAGTCAGAGCATGCATTTACGGCTTCATCTGCAGCCCCGCTGAGGGCGGCAAAAGATATATCTTGGGCTACAGGTAAGGGCAGTGGCATGTGTTCGCCAAACACACAAATGACCGAAAAGAAGAGGCAGCACGATATCCCAGAACAAGGAAGTCCAGCATTTTGGGAGATGGCCTTCAGATATTTAACCGGTATCTACTAAACTATCTAGGTCCTTTGTTTCGTTTCTCATATTTTTTGTTTCTTTTGCGCAATTTGAAGAGCGCATAATAGGTCTACACCTTGACTATCTCCGCCTTCACATGAATTCCTAACGAGACGGCAACCACGTGCCATCTCAAATCACTTATAAATCATTACTCAACAAGCAGGTCAACTTCAACCCTAATCAAACTGCGCCCCAGGGCCTTCAAACAAAGCCAATACAGTGTCGATATCCCCGACCGTGAACTCGTGGCCACCCGGATGCACATATTTTCGTGCCCATCTGGCCGCACGAGCAAGATCACCCAGGTCATTCGGATCTTGTCCCTCTGGACAATCCAGCAAAGGCATATCAGGGCGGTAATGAAATCGGGGTTGCAGTGACGTCGACGCCAATCGCTCTACGTCGCTGAAGTCGTAAGTTTGGTTTGTTGCCATGAGTGCATCCACTTGCCCCGCTGCTTCCTGGGGATCGAGGTATAGCCAAGAATCTGGGAAAGCGTTGTCGTCTTGTACATAGCCTTTGGGTTCGCAGATATCGGGGATGTCGAGGAAGTTTGCGTGGGCTGGCTGAGCACCCTGGTATACAAGCTCCGATGCTACTACGGCAGCGGCCTCTTGCGACTTCGATCGTACTGGGTGCGGTCCGGATGGATGGATATAGCTGTGCTCAGTGGAGTTTAACCCGTTGTACTCTTGGGACTGTGGCTGGATCTCCGCAGACGGTTGAAGTAAATCTTGCGAATTGGCTTCTGTCGCAGATGAATGCTGTACAGCATTGGACATCAAGACGCGCATTCCGGTCGGAGGCATACCGTTGTACCCTTGGTTCGAGGACGAGAAGCCAACCACCGGCTGCATTTGCTGTTGAGCCGGCAGATTCATCGTAAATCCGTTAAGCGACGAAGGCTGATCAGGGTAGAAACAGGGAACAGACTGAGCATCCGCCTCCTTCGCAGCCTGTCGCTGGCGCCGCTGTTCAGCAAGCTGCTTACGACGCTCACTCTCTGCTACTCGCACCGCTTCGGAGTACCGATGTATGACAGCCCCATCGTAACGATCTCGGGTAGTTTCAATGGGACCAATGCATCTAAGAATGAGATGGATATCATCCGGGAACATGAAGTCCGTCGGCTGGCCATGCTCGTCAAGCTTCTGGTACCGCAGCGCGTAGTCCAATGCGCGAGTGAGATCGCCCTTATCGTCATCCTCAGGTAAACTTTTCAGCCCGATCGCCAAGCTCTTGAATGGTATCGACGGCGGTAGGACATAATCAGCTTTCTTTGCAGCTTCGGGGAAGAAATTGGTGATGGACATCGCTGACTTGTCCCAATCACATGGAACGTGATGCTTTGCTTTGGTCCAGCCTTTCCAGGTCTTGCGCATAGTCTTTCGATACGTGTCCGAGATATGGTCGCGGGCGCGCTCTGCTTCCTCCGAACTAGCCAAGCCGAGGTGACGATGCTTATCCAGAATTGCAAAGTGCACTGCAGCAGTGATGCCGTTGTTCAGGATGCGCCATGCCACAGCAGGATTGCGGAACCATTGTGGAAGTATCACGATCAGATCTACTAGAGTTGCATTGATCGGTCCATCATTAGACAAAAAATACTCGTGGGGCGGTATGTCAAGCAGGAATTGAGCGCGAGGCTTTCCCTTCGCAGGAGCTTTCGGCACTGTTGTATTATCGCCCTTCTTTCTAGGTTGTCGATGTGGCGCAGGCGAGTCCCCAGGGCCCGCTTGCATTGCGTTTCCGTGTGGTAATGGCGTGTGGCCTGAATTAGATTCCGTGAAACTCATACTATCTTCAGGGTAGTTATAGTCGATTCTAGTAGATCCTAGCGGTAGTGGTGAGTTGCGAGGTGGTGGATATGTGCCAAGGACAGAGTAGAGAGGTTTCTATACATGAGCTGCAACGGCAAGGGGAGTGAATTCGAAGAGAGTAGATTAACTTTCACTGACCGCTGCGGTGAAGCCTATTCTACCATGTTTTCGTATCCCTTAGTATTCCCGGTAGGTGACTTTCATTTCCGCGGCGAAAGTCGTCGCCTTGAAAAGATTGAAAGACGAAGGCATTCTGAAGAAAGTGAAATACGATCTCGCTTTCATGCTGATCTCGTACAATGCCTCCAAGACTTTTTGAATGTGCCATGATGATAGGCGTATCAAGGTTGGGGTCAGAGTGCTAGCAGCTTCAAATCCCCCTTGAGCTGGGAAGATATCCTGGCGGATAGTTCCAAGCTTTCTCGATGCCAGCATAACTCGGAAAGTTTCCAGCTTCAACAGTATGATCTTGGGTCAAGTCGATAACATCCGCAGTCACAACCGCCAGCTTCACTTTCTTGCGTCTCTTATCTTGCTCGAATCTGCCGTATCCTAGGAGCAACTCCTTTTCCCTAACTCTTCTCTCTCTTGTCAGGCGTTGAGAAAGCACACCTTCTGGCTCGTGGTATTGGTCCCAGTGGCACAAATGGACTAACTCGGTTTCCCACATGTGATTCATTAGGTCGACGTTCGCAGGCCGATTGAGAAGGAGCAGGGGTCGAGATGAGCCAAAGTCATCTGGGGCGACTTCCCATTCGTTACGCCAGACTCTAGTGGTCACAGCATCTTCGTACGCCGCAGCCTGCGCGCTCATCGCAACATTCCCGTGAAAGTAGGGCGCCAGTGGAATTGATCTTTGTTGTGTAGGAACGATTGGCGCTATGTTAGGTGGATCGGGTGGCGGGGTGCCGTGATAGTAACCGTGAAATTGAGTCTTCTGCTGGTAGCTGGGCACTGCGCGGGCATCTTTTGATCTCTTCAACTTGCGGAAACCGTGGTCGTGTGGGTTCCAAACATGCTGTGAGTGTACTTGAGCTGGAGCCATAGCGAGGCGACCGGTTTGCTATCGATAGTGGCCCTTTTGCGCGATGTGTGGTGTAGTGGGCGTCGTCGGGGTGTAGAATTCGACTTTCTGGTTGAGTTGGATTCGAAGGCTCGCATTGAGGTCTTGAGCCCTCGTGGTGGTGATGTAAAGCTACAAAGCTGTTGTACACCGAGCTATACGATGATCCTCTCACGTCCTCCGTTTTCACCATGGTGATAATGATCTCAATAGGCAGTGGTGGACGTGAGAGACGAACGAGGGAGTTGCCCCATTGTGCGACGACGTAGCATTAAAGGCGTGATGTTACCTAGGGAGAAATGGTTTGTATTCCGGTAAGAACCCGCTGAACGCGCGTGCTGATCGAGTGCTTTCCATGGTTCGTGTGTCACAGTAGCGGCCGTGGTTGGTGACTTGCTCTTCGGGCAATCAGGTGGGCGCTATCGCCGAAAGCGGGCCCGGGCATCGTCGGCAGCGTCGGCAGCGTCGTGCCTACCGCGAAATAAAACGCGCATCACAAGCAAGATTGGGGCAAGTGAGAGCGCAAGGGGAGCTGGACGAAGCAGAAAGGAAACCGCTGGAGGCACTTGATGTTGGGGGTTAGTAAGCGGGGGTGGCGGGCGCGGGCGCGGGGAGAGCAGGCGCAATTCACATCGCCGCTGCGTGAGTGGACGGCACGCCAGCTATGAGCTAGCGCTAGCCTTCACAATGTATGCACGAATTCGCCCTACAGGATCTTCGACTCAGTGGTGTGTTTCACATTTTTGCTTTTCTTAAGTGTGAGACGAGGCTGTAAATTGCTTGTCCACCTTGGTGGGCAAAGAAGCGGAAGTACCCTCCTGCATCGGTAACTTGCTAGACAGCCTTCAGGCCACTCACACCTCGCAGAACAACGTCCAATTCTCAGAGTCTCACCCTCGATACGCAGACACACTCGATGTATCGTATCCAGCTGAAAAAGGACCTCGTCCGTCACAGAGAAAACACCCTTATAGCTATGACAAGATCCGATCCGCCGCCTTATCCAAGCGGATCAGTGACGAGCACTCGCGCTGCCATCCTGAGAGGCTGCTAATGAGCTCTCCTTGATACAGGACCAAGTCTCGTCCATGTCCATATGAGCTGAATGGGTCGAACCGTAAGCCATGATGCTGACAGCTCGTCGCCGGCACTTCCGGAATGGTGTTTTCTGCGTGCAAGGTGAGGTAGATTGAATTATCAGAGATGAGTGAATGTGACTGTAGTGTGAGAACTCAATTTGGCTTTATGGGTTGGACAAAAGCGAGCGTGGAGCCCCAGTATTGCCAAGGCAACGACTTAGCGCGCACCTCCTCACTGTCTCAGCAAACGATTGCTGTTCCTACCGTATCCGGAAAGTGGGAGCAGTCAGAATGGCACGAGTGAAAGAGGCGGTGAGGTTCTGAGATATGTTTGTCTTCGAAAACAGTATGCCGCTGCATGCTTCCATTGTGATCAACCACTATGAGTAGTGTGCCTGTGAGAGTACTGCAAAGAGACTGAGAACCTCTGAAGATCAACAAAACTGTGCGATTACATAGACTAAGGCCTGTACGTTCTATGTACATAGGCTATGAATTGCCGCAAAAGGAGGGAGAATTGAGAAAAACTATATCATCGCTAATGCTAAGAATGATAACCGCTAATAGGGATGCACTCGGCTCACCAAACAAAGTCCTCGTCATTTTAAGAGGCATCTTCTCCCATATCGCTTTCGTCATCATCGACAACGTTATTCACACCCACATTTCCCGTGCGGCCCACCATACGCATCTCCGACGGAGTAAGGATTCGTCTTTTCTTAGTAGGAGTGTGTTCCACTTCACCCGCATCCCCTTCCTCATCATCTTCTTCCTCGCTATTTACAGCGTTCTCGAAGTTATAGGGGCCACCGAAGCGCTGGCCGCGAGGAGATGATCGTGCGCTAACCTTGGCCTTCTTGGTCCGCTTCTTGGGTCCGGCATAAGCGTCTTCGTCAGAATCAGAGTCGACCGCTTCAGGCAGCACCTCTTTGCTAAGGCGCGATGACGACCGGGTCCTCGGTGAGCGACGTCCAGGTGTCCTTGGCGAAGTGTTTTTGCTGCGCTTGGACTTTTGCTTGGTTGAGGTGTCTTTGTCGTCTTCAATGGAAATACGCTTGCGTTTCGATGAGTTACGGGTACGCGGCGTGATTTCATCTTCGTCCAACGTGTCATCTTCCAAGACGTTCTTACGCCTCGAACCCTTATTACTGGCAGTAACTGGCTCATCATCTTCAATGTCCAAAGCATCAAAATCGAGGTTATCTTGGTCCGCTTCAAACTCCTCTTCAAACTCATCGTCTAATAGCTCTTCTTCATCCGAGTCAACCACGAAGTTCTTTGGCTGTTTCATAAGGCGCCCGTTCTTATCGCGCTGTCGTGCACCGGCCCGCTTCGCATTATTCAGCTTCTTTTCGGAAGTGTGTCTCCGAAGTGCGGCATCGTCAAGATGATATCGGTGCACAGTAGCAGCACCTCCAAGTTGAGCTACCAGGTTCTCGAAGTCTTGGGGATATAGCCAGCTCGAATCGTTATTCTCTACACAATACTGCACACAGCGTGTAAGATCTAGTGCATCATATCCTGAGGGCATGATCTTGACACCGTTTATCATATCGCGAAACGGGATGCTAGGAGGGGGTTGAGTCGCTGCTACAGCCCTTTCCCGAGAGTTGAAATTATAAGGTGTGCTAAAGCCGGCTACGCTGACACTGGCGGGATCAAATCCAGCGGGTGTCTGTAGAGCTGTATGTTTGGCGACTGTCCATTTCTCGTAAGTCGGATCAGTCTTCGCGCGATGAGCCATTGGTCCCTTCATCATCCGGTAGATCGTATTGTTTGTGATCGGACCGTACGGCATGTCTCGGTAATGATTAATCATGTCTGCGAAGGTCCCAGATAGGGCGCCATTGTGGAGAAAACGGTCCATGATGTCGAAGGACTTGATTGCATGCGGGATGAAAGCAAGAGTTTCTGGCAAAGTTAGGTTGCCACGGGGAAGATCTAGCCAAGCCGAAGGCGCATCCTTTAGCTTGTCATAGTTCAAGGTACCTGGGCCTGTAGATTTCCTCTTGATAGTCTTACGGGAAGTAGTTTCCTGATGAGCGGCGACCATTAGACTATCGTTCATATCCGGAGTGGCGCCTTCCTCTACTAATGCAGCCGGATCAGCTGAATAGGTTGGGCTGCGTTCTTCGTCACTTTCAGGCTGACAAATGGGCTGAGCTGTGGTATACACCTCGTGCGCTGCGACCTCAGCATGTAGCGGTGACCACTCGAGCTCTTCGGGAATGTTGTCGTTTTCGTTATAATCTACAGCATTCCCAAAGCGGTGGTTATTGTAGGCATCAATGATGATGCGCTCAACACGTATTGTTTGATACAGCAACTTCATTGGATCAACTTCTCGAGAGTTACACTCCATCAAGTTTTCCCGGAGAAGCGTTTGAAGCTGTTCGCGCAAGTTTTCTTTATTTGCGAAGAGATAACCAGCATTTAACTGCGCTGCATCGAGTATATCCTGGACTTGGTCCCGCGTGAATATGACTGAAGACATGGACTCAATACAGTGTGAGCGTGATTTAAGATAGTTGATTCGGCTGGTAAAGAGTGAGACAGTTGGGTTGTGCTCACTGAACTCGAGATTCGTGAGGCAATTCTAAATGGAAAGAAGAAGGGGTTACCGGGGTAGAGTGAAAGTTCAGCAATTCCTTGCCAGTATTGTTTTCACTTAGCACTTTGGGTATTAAAGACACTGTGTATACAGAAGGTGAACGATACGTCTAGAGTATGAGTGTATGGAGGCCGAGGCGACAAGGAAACAAAGACATCGGGTCGAACACTGTTCAACTCTTTGTTTCAATGCTCGTGAGAAGACTCAAGACATACTGATTCTGCTGCAGTGACGAATGTAATCCGAGAATAGACATTGAATAGACTCAATGTATACATCCCGGCCTGTCGATTGCTTCTCATCATGGTGGAGCATTTAGCAAAATCTCCAGAGCAAACGATGTAGACAGTTCGACGTGAAGTCCTGGCTCCCGTGCTGTGTTTCCAATGTAATGGTCTTATTGAAAGACATGACTGCGCTTTACTCATATGCTGGTACAATCGGCCTTTGAACGTATGCGGAGGAGTCTAGATTGCTTGACGGCAAAGGTTTCTGCAAGCTCTCGATGTAGCATACGGTGGACATATCGGTCGGCAAACGAATGGTCTAATTAAACAATGGTTCCGATTCCCCTGGGCATTCGTATCCTGGTCGATGCTGCAGTCGCTGATGTGATGTGTTGCGATGGATGGGGTCACGATTGGCGTCGATAGCGGCAGGCCAGTTCGTCTGGGAAGCCGCTATACCGGTTACGCTCTAGCGCCGCTTCCATCCGGAGATTATTCCAAGGTTCCATACTCTATCCGCGGCTTCCCCTCATTTCCTTGCGGCACTCGGGTCGGTGCATTACGACCAATTCGCAGGGTCGCAGTACACAATGATCGTCTAACGATGCTTGGATTCCCGTTACGTCGTCCCTGGGCCTGATATTGTCGCACCTAGGCAGTTTGCGGAGTACAGCCCTAGAGCCCACCTGCGCAGCTACTCTGCCCAGCCTGCTACGCCTCAACCTATGCATGTAAGCGCAACGCGACAGAACCTGCTCGGCTTACCTCCACCGAAATAACGTATTTCCTCATGAACAAAGTAAGCCCGCAGATGACGTTTCTACCCCTCGCCCAGAAATGCCATGGCAGGTCTAGTGCAGAACTGGCAGGTCAAGGCCACCACATCTTGGGGAAACGTCCCGATTACACCTCATCCATGATTAACCGGGCTCTTGGGCAACATCAATCATGTCACCGTGCGCACGTTGAGCTGCCAATATCCATGGTCAGGGCTTGGAAGAACATGCTTTGTGCTTATCATGGTGCCAGCAGGCAACGGCGTGCCCAGGTCAGGAATATGGTCAGCTATAAAGAGCCCATGTTCTACAATCTCGAATGCTTCACGCTCGTCAATTGATCGCTTCCGTGGCGGAACAACATCATGAAGTTCGCACTCAGCCTTGCCTGGCTATCCCTCGTTGCAGGTGCGACTATCCGCAGCCCACAGCCTCGTACATACGATGGATACCAAGTCCATCGCGTCCGAGCTACTGGATCCCAGTATGCTGCAGCAAAGCGAGCTCTTGCTGCAGTTCCTCACGAGACTTTGAACGAAATCCGTGGAAACCTGGATGTTCTTATCGCACCCGAGCAGTTGGACGCCTTCAATGCTTTGGGGCTCAAGTCCCGAACTTTGCATGAGAACCTGGCCCATTCTATCGCTCGGGAGTCGCACGTCAAGAAGGCCTGGAAGAGGCAAGCCAACGGTTCGGAAGATGCGTGGTTTGATAGCTACCACCCGTATGAAGACGTAGGTGATGTGTCACGGCTATTCGATCCAAAGCTAATCGATCATTGTTAGCACATTACCTGGTGGCGAGATCTACAGGAATCTTTCCCAGACAATTCGAATTGGACAAGCACTGGAACATCTTTCGAGGGGCGCGACATGTTCGGCGTTCACCTCTATGGAAAAGACGGCCCAGGAAAGCCTGCGGTCATCTACCACGGAACTGTTCACGCTCGTGAATGGATCACTGCTATGACCATCGAGTATATCGCGAAGGCGCTCACCTATGAATACAAGGCAGGCAACAACTACACGCAAGCCATTCTGGATAACTACGACATCTACATGTTTCCCTTTGTCAACCCCGATGGTGCGTCATGGCACCAAGGATGATAAACTGATTGTTGCTAATATATGATAGGCTTCGTGTTTTCTCAAACAGACGACCGCCTATGGCGCAAGAACCGTATGCCACCACCAGAGAACGCTGCCAACCAGACTTGCTATGGTCGCGATATCAACCGCAACTGGGAGACGTGAGCGAATTTCCTACCCTATTCATATGGCATATACTGACATGTAATCTCAGGAACTGGGATGCTGACCCACGCGGAGCTTCAACAGACCCATGCTCGCAGACATACAGGGGAGAAGCGCCCCGCGACACGCCTGAGAATCTGGGCATGGACACCCTGATCCGCAAGATTCGCGATGAGCAAGGCATCAAGCTATACATTGACTGGCACAGCTACTCCCAGCTGATCTTGTATCCATTCGGTCATAAGGAAACTCTCTATGCGCCAGAGCTCGGCATGTGGACCAAGGTCGCTGCACTGATGAGCGAGAACATTGCCTATTACTCGACCAATGCGACTACCTACACCTACGGCCCTAGTGGAGCAACCTTGTACCCGACAACCGGTGCGTCTATCGACCATGTGTACACCATTGGTCGCGCCAAGTTCTCCATGACCATTGAACTGCCCGATACCGGTGATTTTGGCTTCGTTTTGCCCCCGGAGAGGATCAGGCCTGCGGCTGACGAACAGTGGGTGGGCCAACAGGTATTGCTCAGTCTGTTGGACGAGGAGTTCTTCGATGGCGAAGGCCCAGCGATTGGCGCATTAGGCACTACATGGTAGACACATGTAGGTGTTAGTTGAGCTTATCATGGCGACCATGGTCGATCGTGGCTGTTAAAGCTGTTATTCATTAATACTAATACGACAATAGCAAGTCAAGATTGCATTGTCGTCTGTCAAGTCTCTGCTCTTTTTTCAAAGTCTTCTCGTTACACCACGGTATCTTGTAGCGAACCCTAATCATTTCATCGTCGCAAGCTACTAAGAAGTAATTCTTCTCGTGTGTCGCGCCACAGTCACCCCCACTTCCACGCAACTAGCGCTCATGACAACGCGTCCGTGCAAGAGAAGTGAAGGTGAAGCCAGCATCTCTTGTTATCCTCATCTTCCCCGTTAGGCATATTGATATCATTGTTCTTATCACCGCTCCTCCTCCTCGTTGCAATGCTAATCGAAGGCTTTGGACTTCGACTCGCCCAGCATGCTGTTTCCTTCTAGCGATACACACCTTTCGACTGCAAGTACGCAATTGGCCGGCATTATGGGACGTACCTACCGTACGCCCTCCCCCACTAAGGAGGCCTATATCAGCACCAGTAAGCATATTTGCTACATCAATTGGGCGCGACTCGAACACTAACACATGGACAGGCAACGTGAACTCGCCCTACGCTCCTCCAGAAGCCCGCCACGCAAGCTATCAGCAACCCGCAATAAAGACAGAAGAGCAACATCAACGAGATGATGCAGCCTTAGCCCGTCTCCGAAGCGATCTTGATGTCAACAGCGACTCGGTTGACCCAAAGCCGTTCAATAAGACCGCTCCCGTCAACAGTGAGGGTGCTGAAGGTATAGCGCAACCTGACGAGCCGCAAACACCCAAGAAGAAGCGCACACCGATTCTTTGGCACGGTTTACCTTCGCCTGATACACCCACTTTCCATGGCGATGCAGGCACTACGACTTCAGCAGCAGACTCTACGCGAACTGAGCTAGTTTGGCGGGCCTCTCCCTTTCCAGCCAAGAGAGTTGTCCATCAAGTCCCTGTCTCAGAACAGAGTCGCATCGAGACCGATCGTGGCGGTATTGACAACGTCAAAATCACGATCTCGCCGGCCTTCGGTATTACAACACAGAATGATGACGAACTTGCGCGCGAGCTGGCACAGACTCTCAGTCCTTCGTTAACCCGTAGGAGTACCAGACTGCGCAAGCAACCAAAGCCGATATGTAAGTGCCTCCTCTATCAATGCTGTCAGCGCATTTGCTGATCATTTTCCTTCAACAGATACTGTCCAAGTACCAGTCACAGCGCCCAGGACTCTTCGTAAGCTACTCCCCGCAACGAAAGCGTCAGATCCCGCGGCACAACCGGAGTTCAGCTTCAGCACTGAACCTATCAAGGCCGACCCCGTACCGTTCGATGGACTGCCAACCGTTCACTCGCTGTCCTGGCAGCTCCAATATCCACCTGGAGGCAGCACCCACCCTTGCTACCCGTATCCTGCACTGGACCCGCGTCTTCTCTTCCATCAGGCTTTCGTTCCAATCATCGGCGGACTACCCGACTTCAAGTTGGTGCCAAAGCTCGTGCTCCCAATGGGCTGGAAGCAGGTTTCATGGTCTGGCCTACTGCCGATCGTTTTCGATCCATATCGCCAGGCTTTCAAGCTCACACCAGTCGGACCAATGCCGCTGACCTGTGAAGAACTTCACCAGCAAGGTCTTCATAAGTATGTCCCCGGCGGTGAATTGCACCCAGAGTACGGTATGTTGCCTGACATGCTCAAGCTCAGCGACGGAAGCGATGCAGAGGTCTTCAACTTCGATGGAACGGATTGGACCTTGCCGTGGGATGGGCAGTTGGACTTCCATGCACCTTCGTCCGAGACCATTACCAGGCGCGAGAGCGAATCGTATTCCACACCCTCAAGCCCATTGGTCTTCACGCCAGTAGCCCCAACTCACTACAACGAAGCCTGGGACTGCCCCGACGGTATCATCGACTTATCTGATGCATGGAGATGGCTAGCTGAGTACGACATCAAGCCTACATCGAGCTTCATCGCCTCCTCGGGCAAAACTTGGAGAGGTACCGGCAGCCACCGTGTTCCCCGCCGCTACAAGCAACCGATCGCAAGTCTGATGTCGAATACCATCGCCACCCTCGTGTCCAATCCTACTGAGACTTTCCTTGTCAACCAGGATACCAGAGAGTTCTGTACCTTCAGGAGTGTTGCGACACCCGTCCATGTCAACATCACTCTTCTCGAAGACATGGAGTTCACCTTGAAAGAGCTGCTATGCTACTTCCCTTGGCATTACTACTGGAGGAAGGCGGCCGATCGATTCGTCGCGGCAGGTCTGTCTGGCGGGGATGTGGCCAATATGATCAATCTGACCAGAAAGCTTGAGGGTGATGCAGCAAGGAAGTCTGGTGGAATTACTGGCAACATACTGTATGAGACAGCAGAGGACGGCACGCGCGTCAAAATCGTACGCTCCGGTGACGGGAAGCCAAGATACACGGCTCAAGGTTGGACTTACGATCAATGGGAGCTAGCCGACTATCCCCTACTCGGCCTTGCGCATGGGCTGGTGGAACTACCAACTGGAGAAGATGCGGGACCGTTGACAAAGATGATCATCTGGTGTCGCGAGCAGGGCAAGTATCGTACGATGCTTTCCGAAGTACCGGCGCTGTTGGAGGAAGCAGGTATTGAGGAAAAGATTCAGCGGCCCGAGATTGGATGTCCGGACCAGATGATGTTTTTTGATCATGCCGAGGTGGTGAAGGAGGACCGTAAGAGGGTGATTGCGAGTGAGAAGCTGCTGAAGAGGAAGAGGGAGCATGAGGGCAGGGAGGAGACCAGGGGCAGAAAGAGGAAGTCAGAGTAGTGCAGCGGGGAACCGCTTATGACAGCGAGATGCTCTGCGGAAGATCCTGGGATAGTAGGAGTGTGGGAAGTCTCTTGAGAAGTATGTACATGAGTAAATTTTATGCGTCGTCGGCAAGGCGTCATATCTATAGCACTCAACTTATAAGAATATCCGATGAATACTGTACATCACCTCCTTGCATCGCCGTCTACTGCATTGGAATACCCGGCAGCGGCCCAAGTCCACACTGCAACTCGTCAGCATACCCTCCTTCTCGGTTCAGCTTCATACTTACAGCAGGCGCCGGCGACGGACATCCGCCGTTTGAGCTCATATAGCAGCCCATCTCAGCAGCATGTTTCATTAAGCACTTCTCATTCGCGCTGAGCAAGTTCATCGGCACAACCGGCATAGCGCATTTGCATGGCTCTTTGAATGTCGGTGTCGGTTCTTTGTGCCTGTGCCTATGCGTGCGGTTGTGCTTGCGCGTTCCGCTGGGTGCAGGGACGATGCTGGCTTGTGGTGCAGCCCACGGGTAAGGTGTTGCGAGAGCGGTGGTAGCAAAGAGAATAGTCGTGAGAAGCGTTGATAGGTACATCGCGGGTGGTCTCGAGGCGTGGTATGCGTTGAAGCGAGTTGGGTGTGAGGTGCTGTGAGATGCAGACAGCCAAGCGTCTGGGATTCTTTGCAGACGATCTGAATCTTGTAGGAACCGTGAGCGCCACGCGGCAGAGGGCTTCTTCTACCGAGAATTTGCGATCCAGTACGCGGCGCAATATGGGTTGATGAAGTTCCATCTAATCGTGCATTGCCATTGTCCAGTGACGCGCCGCCGGCTAAACACCCATTCCTGGAAACGGAAGTGCGAAAGCGCCTATGCACAACGAGGTTTTCTCGTTGCTCTTCCACTTTAGGTTTCTAAGCAGGGACGAACATGTGAATTCCGATGTTCAGGTGGGTATCTTGGTCTGGTTGAAGCTTGGGGAATGAGAGGAACAACTTGGGTCTATTCTGGATGCGCTGGTTATGATGACACCCACTACTTACTAAAGCGTTATGCTTTCTTGACCACTACCATGATCGCTTTCGTCAGCCGAAGGCTCGGAGTTGTAGTCATGTTCCGGATCATAGAACCTGAGGTCCGCAGAACCAAAAGATGCGTCGGAGGCTCCCCAACACCCTGGTTCAGAGCGATCATACCACTCCGGGTCGTGGCGCTGTATGCCAGGACTTTCCTCCCAATTGGGAGCTTGTGCATTTATCGGATTGAAGTTGGGAAGCTCTGTGCTTAGAGCGGAAAGCAGTATATCGATACGTTCAGCAACGTATGTCGCCTCGATTATCATGTCACAGAGCTCAGTCGGCAGTCGTCCTCCAGCACACACGTACACACGACTGGACACTTCTCGTCGAGCTAACCGGAGGAGCTGCTTGTAGGTCTGCTTGTAAATGTCGTGCAAACAATGTACCTCATGACAAGTATGTGGTTCCACTGCCTCGAGCATGCGTCGCGCGCCGCTTGCGAGATTGCATTGGTGGAGTTTCCGATTTTTTACGTTCTCCTGATACATTGCTTCTTCGCCCATCTTTTTGAGAACGTCGCGGAAATCATAGTGTATTTGCCGTTCTTTGGGCTCGGTAACGCGGCTAAGGACCCAGCGAGGAAGCGCCAGAAGTACGTCGACGATGATAGCAAGGCCGAAGTGGAACAGGTGCTGGTAACCATGTCCTGTCTCGTTGAAAACGCGTCCGGATTCTGCTGTAATGCGAGACACGAAGCTGATCTTACTCTTACTGCTGTATGACTTGGACTGTAAGACCTCCAATTCATCGTATAAACTCTTCTCCAGTTGATGCACGTACGACGCAACGTTTTGCAGCTTCCCATTGTGGATGGCCAGGTGTTTTTCGATGAAGTCGGAAGGTAACTCTTATTATAATCAACACGTCGCCTAGGGCAGTGTATTGTAAGCTTACCACGAGGAAAGAGGTTGTGGCCTTTCCACCAGTCCTGCTTCTTGAAAGTTAATCGAGCTAACAATGAGTTGACTTTCTCGATCCGCCCAAGATTTGCCTTGAGCACCACACAGCAATTGCTGAATGCCTCTACTGTACTATGCCGAATATCCTCAGCCTGTCTTATAGCCTGCTGTAGTTCCGGATCGGCTGACTTCTCTGTCTCTTCAGTGAACTCGAGCACTGTTTGGTATTTCATGAGTGCCGTCCGCAGGACTTTCGATAATCGCGCAATATCCCCCAAAGGATAATGGCCGCCTGGTTCGATCGAGGTGATAAGGTCGTCACCGTCACTGAGGTACAACAGATCATCGAATGCATCGTATCTTTTCGCAGTCCACGGCCTACGCAGTATCTCATTTTGCAGGCCGATATATCTGCGCCTGCCTCTGCGTTCGTATCGACGGTCGCCCATTGTTCGTCGAATGGCTAGCACTTCGCGTGGTGTCGGAAGGTTGACACGTCGCGTGGGCTCCGGCCGCGTTTTAGCGTGTTTTGGTCTCTCCAGGCTCCAGCCATCTCACATCCATCAAGCTGCTACTTGGCGACTAGCACCTTCCTCCCTCATAATCGCGAGTGGCGCAAACAAGCCGATGTAGTGCTGTTTCTAATTTAATGACGTATGTTCGTACATGAAATACAACGATCGGATCAGAAAGTGTCTGGTGGCTGTCTCCATACAGACCCGGCAGCAGCGCAGTGAGACCTGCGGTGGCTTTGCAGACTCAGGCAAGCCATGCCTAGGCATGGATGCGGTCCAGAGGTAGGTCAGAGAGATAGTACTAAATATTACGTTCCAGGATATAAACTTACAACTATTGAAAATAAACAAGACATGTCAGATCCCACAAGCCTAATGTACCCTCGCATACATCAAAACGACCACCTGAAACTCAGTATCGTTCTTCGCTTTCTCATGCTCAGTACCATTCCAATCCGTCGGAACAACCTCTGGGTTCGACAAGGCAAAGTCCAAAGGCACTTGATTCACACTCCCATCGTTAATATTATACCACCTTGGATGGTTTCTTACAGTCGCGATCCAATGGCCATGTCCAACTTCACCTGAGTGCGGCAACACAGCTACGAGCTTGTACTCTAACTTTGTACTAGAATTGACCTGACAATGCGTCAAATCAAGCTTCTCGTCGATGCTAGGAAGTTCAGCCTTGTTGGTGATCTTGCGCATAACAGGTGGTGGCGGAACTTTGCTGCCTGGTTTGGGAGGCGGAGTATCGTCGTACGCGGGGTTGAACTTGACGAGCATGTATTCTGGTGCTGCCTCAACACGAAAGCGGCGCGTCAAAAGTTGATCGGGACCGCACTTGGGGCAATCCCTTCGTATGCCAGCTCCGCCAGTGGGGTGTTCGACCAGCTGGGCATTGATGGCGTCTGCGACTGTACCAGGGCTTGCGCGGTCAATTGGACAATTGATGAAGCCTATGCTGGGTTGCTTGAAACTAGAGGTTGGATCGCTGGACACCCGTGGTATAGGCGTATCGCAAACACTGCAAAAGCGTTCTTCTTCGAACTCAAACTGGAAGAGTGCTCGGTAACCGGGCCTCCAGTCTGGAGCTTCGCTAGTAATGCAAGCTTCTTGGCATCTATCTAGAAAGTAGGTCATCCATTCTTCGGCGTCGCACTGTGGATCGACTCCTTGTCCATCAGGTGCAAACCGATCGTCTGCTGTAGAATAATCGTATATCAAACGAAGTCTCGCATCGCTTGAGTCAAGAGGCTGCGGTTCTGCTCCGTTCATCTGATAATCTCCCCAGTAACGGCGGATGAGTCCCTTCATATTGCAGGCCATACAGTTTTGTTTCGTTCCACCTATGACTCCGGCAACAACATTTCTTGGGTTCAGATGACAAGGGTTCTTGACACGAGTATTAGCATCAGTATCTGTGAGGACTACATTGTGTTCTCGAAACCAACTCAAAGCTCTCGGGAGATGGAGGAGGCACTGTAACGCCGCTAGTCTGTAGCATTCATGCCCACTTCGATTCAGCCCTCTGCTTCGATTGTGTCGCCTTGTGCGTCTGATGGGAAAGGTGTTCGGCATGCCTGCCAGTATCTGATTCTTTGCAAGTTGCGCCGGCGTGTATGAAGGCGGAGGTCGGGGTGGCAGTGATGGACCAATTGCTGCTATTCGCCGTGAACGGAGCTGATAATCCCTGTGTACCATGTTTGTCTCCAACACTATTGTCGCTGGGTCTACTAGCCTTGAAAGCTAGTTTCAAAAAAGAGATACGGAAATGATACAGAGGCGTTGGCAATAGGAAGTGTGCCCTTGTATACACTGCAATAAGAATTCAAACGGCATTGCGTACGACAAAGAGCGTCTCGAGGACAATGAGCATTGTGCTCTGCTGCTCATGTAAAGAACTGACACAAAGACGTTAAACTTTGAACGCAAACAAGGAAAGAATCAGGAGGCGCACGGATTTCCTGGAATTTGTCGTATAGTTAACCATAACACAGACAAGTAAGTAGGTAGCCTGTTTCTACCAGTAGTGTAAGCTGTACTAATCTTACCTTCTCTGTTATAGTCTGGCACATGGACATGAACTGGATTATCAGACGAGAACCCGCGCACACTTCTGCGTCAACGCTGAGCCCATCATGCAAAAAGGCATCGAGGTTGGACTAACGCAATCGGAACTGGCATCAAATCTCTCACATGATTGGGAGAAGCACTCAGAAGCAGGTAGCAAAAAGAGAAGTAGAAGAATGAGAATCACGGCGTTCAGGTGAACCGCTATGTACCAACTACCGCGCGCGCATCTTGTACAAGTCCGATTTACGAAGTCCAATATGGTAGTGGGGTGAGAAGTAGAAGGGGAAGAATCAAACCGTTTAAGCTAAGATCTCTTTAACTCTTTGCTACAAGTATAGAGCACGAAAGACGCAGCGCGAGAGACGAACACTCGCATATCCAGATAGCGTCTTGGCACCCCCTCCACCCCCCATTGGCCGTATCCCCATCCACCACCACTCCACGCACATCAGCACTCGCTGCAGTCACATCTCTACTCACCCATCGATGCCATAACCACGATGGCAACTTCAGAAACCCAAGGCGCATCCTACGAAGCCGAGCACGTTCACTCGGTCTATGAAGAAATTGCATCCCACTTTTCTTCCACCCGCTACAAGGTGTGCGTCCACCTGTGACATCAAACGGGCAGAGAGTATGCATGACTAACACGTGAACACTAGCCCTGGCCCATAGTTGAGCGTTTTCTAACAGAACAAAATGACGGCGCCATAGGCGCAGATGTGGGATGTGGGAATGGAAAGTATCTGGCTGTTAATAAGAAGGTGTGGATTGTGGGCAGTGATCGGTATGTTCAACTGCCGTTTTTATTCACGGGATTGATTATCCTACGACCAAGTAGGCATTTTGGTCCTGAAAGTTAACGTCGATACAGGTCTACAAACCTTGTCAAGATTGCGAAACAACATGAACCGCACGATGTAGTCGTAGCAGATAATCTCTCGCTACCTCATCCAAACGGTGTGTTTGATTTCGCCATCTCGATAGCGGTCATCCATCATTTGTCAACGCCGGCGCGGAGAGTGGAGGCCGTCAAGTGTGTTTTGGATTTACTGCGGCCTTCATCACCGTCGAAGCAAGATGGAGATGCTGGCTTGGAGGGTGGTAGAGCATTGATTTATGTCTGGGCACTTGAACAGAAAGACAGTAGAAGAGGATGGGACGAAGGTCACGAGCAAGATGTCATGGTGCCGTGGGTCTTGAAGCAGAAGAAAGAGAAGGAGAAGGGGCGGAGGAAGAAGAAAGATGAGAGTCAGGCTGTTGAAGAAGAGGCGCCGAAGCCGGATGGTGATAAGACGTTTTTGAGATATTATCATTTGTATCGGAAAGGGGAGCTTGAGAGGGATATTGAACAGGCTGGTGGGGCTGTGTTGGAGTCGGGGTATGAGAAGGATAATTGGTGGGCTATTGCGAGACTCAGATGAGTATCTCGATGATATTTACTTGTGCTATGCGTCATGTGTCAACATGTGGCACGACTATGCGCGTTCTACTGCTTCCTGCCTTTTGCGAGTCAACTGCGCATGAGGTTGTTACGCCTTCGCCAAGTCAACAGGCAGGGCATGGCTGCTCTCAGTCAGTGGGAAGAGCTGGTAGTAGAAGCCCAAAGCGCCTGCTACAAGCACAATGTAGTAGGCCACGGTCCATCCAACACCCTTGCCCTGATACGGTGGGACACTCTTCTGCTCATCATCCTTCTTGTCAACGTCTGGCGGTCCGATGGGACTGCCGGCTTCGACACCCACACGGCCGTAGAACCGTGGAAGGCCCATCCAGTTGCAAAAGGTATGCGCTATCATGCATGTGTAGACATTTCCGGTTCTTATGAAGACAAAGGCAGCGAAGAAGCCGAAGAGCGACGTGTATGTGAACTGGAAGAGTGAGCGGAGCACGGCGACGAAGAACGGGACTTCAGAGTGGGTTATGCGGAACTCGTAGAGGTGGTGGAGATGCGCGATGCCGAAGTACAATGGCGTGAGGAAGACGATCTGCTTGCCCGAGAACTGCGCGAGGACATGGAGGGGGATGATTAGTGAGCGCCAGACGACTTCTTCACTAACGGGGCCCTGAGTAGGTTAGAATAGGAAGAAGTGGAATCGAGTATGTGGCTTACGACTACGTAGTTTCTGTATCCGATCCAGCTGCTCAAGGTCTCGTGAACGCCCTTTAGTTTGATCCAGTCTCTCCAGTCGCCATCTACAATGCCATGCTCGAAGATGGGACCCGCGAAGAGGATTGTCACCAGAAGCATGGTCCGAACAGTATCTACAAGTGAAACAGGCCAGATGCCAAGCAGACGGATGATCTCCATGGCCGATGCGTCATGTTGGTACAGTACGACGATGGTGAGAACGGAGCATAGGACGGTGGAGAAGGTCACTGCGCGCACTCGGGCGCGTATCGAAGACGGCGCATCGCGCGTGAGGGTCGGAGAGGGTCGCGTGGCAGGCGACAGGTAGAAGGGGATTACGTAGATGAAGACATAGGCGGCCTGTAGGCGTGGGTGTTAGCTCTACTTCAGCATGGTTGGCGCGTGCGGTGCTATTGGGTGAGAAGAATGGCAGTGGTGGTGGAGGGGAAACTTGAAACGTACCGACAGAAGCGCCGCAACTCTCGACGAGAGAACAGGCGGTTTGGGAACTGGCACTATGTTAGAGCTCATGGCGATGTTTCGACGAGAAAGCGCAACAGAGTTCGTCCGATGTGGGTCGCGCAGGCGTTTAAGAGGGTTTGAGGTGGAGGAGCGCCAACTTACCGCCCTTGACATGTCGCTGGTACAGCTCTTCGAGCGCACTGAGCTTGTCGCGCCAGCCGTTGAGGGGTGGAGGCATAGCGAGGTGTTGCAAAAAAGCAGCCGCACGTCAAACGCGCTACAGGAGAGGCAGGAAAAGAATCATGGGCGTTGTTTATAGCTGGCCGAGATCCCCCCCGCGTTGTCGCGCGCATCTTGTTGGCGCAGCGCAGCCTTTCACTATCGATACCCCGCCAAGCCCAATCGGTCACGCTGGATCACGTGCTCCGATCGTCCGTTCGTCTCGGCCCCTGCGACTCGCGCCATCACCGCCCACGACGTCTTAGCACGCCCTCCCGCGTTACCCCTGCAGCACGCACACGGCGAGGCCCACTGGCCAGCCTCTCTGCCACTCAACGGCTAGTCCGCCACGCTGCGCGTCGTCACTGGCCCGTCCCAAAATATAATTTCATTTTAACGTTCAACCGCGACGCGCTTCTACCGATTGACTAGGAAGGCCGTTCGACGAGGGTTCCCCAGGCGCGTCGCAGTGATCGCACTCCCAGGTGGACCGCGCATCCAGCAGCTCATATCATCTTGTCGACCGCCGGTATAGGCTAGACGAAAGTCATATTGTGCGAATTGGGTCCATCTCTGTACAAGTTGTCATAAGTCGCGGGTCGTGCTCCAGACTTGCCGGGGCTGAGCTGTCAATTGGATCGCTCCTGCAGCGCGAACCTGCTTCTGCATACAGCCACGAACCCTCTTTAGGCCGAGCTGCTGCCAAACGCCCGCCGTCCTCAACTCACCACCACTCCTCGTCCTCCCTCCCTCGATTCTTCATACTGTTAATGCCTGCGGGCCGCCATTCTTTTTGATATGTTTTAGCACTTTTGTCACTCTTTGACTATCTTCACACACTGTCTTTACGTCCTCTTTCTACTGCCTTTTTACCCATTCCCCGTCATTAATGATCGGTTTCGACTTCTCCGCCCGCGTTTACAACCAGTCCACAATTCGGCATCCTCGGCCCACAACACCACCACAGCATGTCCTCACAACAACGAAACAGTCGCGCAGACTCACAAAACGCACTCGAAAAAACACTTGCACAAGGTCCTCGATTTTCGCCGCCGCAATCGCAGTCAACAAACACGTCTCCTGTCCGCAAGCCGCTTCACGAACGCTCAAACTCGCAAACTAACCGCGACTCTGGGTCAACCATCCGCATTGTTCAAGATCCCGGACATGACATCTATCAGAAATATCCCGTACCCAGCGAACCCTCGCAAATCCTGCCCCCACCCCGTCATGCGCCGGGTTATGGCTTTGAAAGGCCGGGATCTCGTGTTTCAAATAGCAGCCAGGTCGCCAATACCATTGCAAAGTTCGAGGCGAGCCGAGCGCGAACACCACAGCCTATCCTGTCACGCAAGAAGGGTTTCAGACACTCGGGTTCCACTAGCATGTCAGAGGAAGATACCCTCGTAGCATCTTCTTTTACGCCATCGTCTTTAAGATTTTCCCAGGGGAGCACTGCCCCATCCTCCCCCCCACCGGAATTAGAAGATGAACCAAAAGGCCTCGAGGTACTTGAGGAGGTTGTCTCCTCACAATCCACAAGGCCAACTATCCGGGCTGTTCCTCCCTCTTCTTCTGGTGGAGATTCCGACCGTGCATTAACGCCCAAGGCCTCTGCTGCATCTTTTGCTTCACCTGCTCCTTCCACCACGCCACACCCAAATAGTAATGCCGGAAACTCGTCAAGTGTCAGTTTCGGTCGACCGTTACCAGAAGTTCCCCAAGGCCCAGCGGCAACCGAACGTCAAGCTAGGGGGCCTGCTCTCACTTGTGACACTGACTATCGACAACCTGTATTGCATCCTCAACAAAGTACAGAGTCGTTCACGTTTTCTGATATTTCCTACACCAGCATCGAACCAACCCATACACTAGCCTCGTCGCAGCCATCGCCATCTCTTCATGAAGCCAGCACAGCATCCTTCGCGAGCGGAATCCGAATTAATTACCCAGTCGTACGCGCGCCGTCGGGCAATAGCTCGCGAGCCGAATCCCAGGACGCGCCCAACATCGCATCCCGAATGCAAGATCCGTCGTTGGTACACCACTGGAGCTCCCAGCTGTCAACAATCGCCTCCGTTTCCGAACGCGATTCGCGGTCCCTTGCACGAAACTCACGGTCGCTCGGCGCCAGATCCCATTCACAAGAAAGCTATGTGGGCAACGGCCGAACAGCGATTCCACGCCGGAGGGGACAGACGATCGGGAGTGCACAGTCGTCGTCGGACAATGTATCGTCGGAAGGCCATACCGAGTTCTCTGCAGTGCCAGTGCCCCGGCCGCTCTTTTCTCCTACCACAAGATCCTCGTCCGACGATAACAGTGAACACATGGACACGATCTCGCCGCTGCCTACGTCGATCCCTCTACGGATGAAGAACTCGGGGTACTTGCGCAACAGAGCCAACAGTGCCGATGCAGTATCGATGAGTGACGAGCGACCTGGATCCTCTCAATCGCATATGTCTAGATTCATCGCAGACAACATCCCAGCTTGGGCAAGGGTCTACTACCAAAAGGGAGAACGCATATCAGTTGGAGCCCCGGAATCCGAGTCTTCTGAGAGTGTACGACTGGGAACTGCCCATAGCGGACGATCGCGTACACCTTCAGAAAGCAACTTCCCGCTCAGCATTTACCGACCGAGGAACCGACCGAGGAACAATTCAAGGAACCGCGCTTCACACGCCGATACTGTCTCGCTAGCCGACGACGTTCACTCGATTGACGGAGCAGTATACGCGGTTGGACCTCACATGTACCCGCTCAGCGGTTACTCAACACCGCACCTCCGGACTGATCGCAGAGGACAAACACGATACAGCGCTTGGAACGCACCATCGCTGGACGACGACGTTCATGTCACACTCTTTGGGCGCCAAAACAGACAGATCCTGCTCTTCTGCATAGGATTCCTGTTCCCACCCGGTAAGTTTTAGACCATGGTATATGACTGTATGAATGAAGACATGTACTAATCAAAAATACAGCTTGGATAATCGCCTCGTTCCTCCCCTTGCCCCTCGACCCGAACGCTGTTGGTACCCCGACTGCCAGCCAGGCCGACCTGGAACAGCAATTCGCCCAAGCCATGGGGCCTGCCGACGACAAGTCCTTCCAGAAAGCAACTTGGTGGCGCAACCTCAACCGTGTCATGTCTGGAGTAGGAACGCTCTTGATCGGCGTCATCGTCGCGTTAGCCATCCTCGCATCGCGCATGTAATGAGTGATACCCACTCTGCACTCCAGCGAACCTCTCCGGCCGTCCTCTTCAGGCCGAATCCCACAATTTACACCCGACATTTGCACGCGATGCATTTGCATAACGAACCATTTACGATCATAATCATGCCATCACGCAAGTGTTAATGTTTTTCTGGCTCCGGCACACGATCTGAACGCTCTCCTCGACATCTACTTCGATCTCGTTTTGGGTCTACTGTCTATGCGCAGCCGCTATTGTACATTTTCCACTTTTCGATTCTCCACGCGTATCGTGTACGGCATGCTGCAGTTTAGCGGGCGTTCTCTTTTTGCTGCTTGTTCTAGTGTGACCGAAGCGTATTACCCATTTGCTTTGCCCAGTTTGGCGCCATCAACCACTTTACAATACTATTATCTTCATGTTCCATACCTGTT